CATCTATAAAATGTCAACAAAAAGTTTATGTAGATGTATAGGTACCTAATGTATGCAAGATCGATAATGCAGTATAATGATCTTATCATAAGTGATAAGATTGTTTTCAAAAGCAGCCATAGATGGAGCAAATGTAATTTTCGTTAACACGCAGCATGCTACTACGAAAATAATTTTCCTTCCGGTGTAAAAAAAATTATATCTACTGTTTTGAAACCCTAAATAAAATGGTAAGAATTTTGATGATTTCATCAAGAGATATTTAATAGAATAAAAATTGCATTCTATATGTTGTAAACATGTAAATTAATATTTGTATTAACATTCTTCGAGAAACATAAATGCCAAGGCTGTCGAAGGTACAAAAGTATTTCATCATTTTTTTTTTTCATATCGATAAACATGCAATATTATTATCGTAAAATAAAGATAATATCGTTGTAAAAGCAGTTATATAATTTTTCTATTAGATATCATTGACATTCGATACTAATACAACGCAAATAATTTTAAACTTAACCATTGAAGGTTAAGTTTACTCTTTATGACATATACTTTTTTTTATTAAAATAAGTTTTTATTCGTAATATTGAATTTAAAGTGCTGTTAAAAAATTTTAATTTTTTTTCAGGCAAGTACGGCTGTAGCAGCAGGTATTGGCCTCGCTGCTGTAGGCTTTGCTGGTCGTTATTTGCTCAAAAGAATGCCAAATTTATCACAGAGGATGGCTGAGACGGTGAAGAAGCTAGATTCTCAGGTAAGAATGTCTATAATATATTTTTTAAACAGATCTCATAGCTGCATTTGCATGCACATGAAAGTGTTGACACTGTTTAACATTTGTAGTCACTAGCAAACAGCAAGTATTATAAGGGTGGTTTTGAGCAAAAAATGACCAGGCGAGAAGCTAGTTTAATCTTAGGAGTGTCACCCGCAGCTAGTAAAGGAAAAGTAAAGGAACAATTTAAAAAAGTGATGGGTGTAAATCATCCAGATCGCGGAGGTTCTCCATATATTGCTGCAAAAATTAATGAGGCAAAGGATATACTTGAGAAACAGTAAAACGGGATCCTGTAGTACACATTTGTAATATATCAGATTTTTATGTTATTTTAGGAACCAAATTTTAATGTACATAGTTATTAACATATTTAATCTTGTATATTATCTACTCCCTATAATAAATAAGCTTTTTTGAATCTACATTCTAAATCTGCTGTTATATAATTTCGAGATTTCAATCCAAATTAAAAAGTTTTACGAGAAATTTATGCATAAATAAAGGCAGTATGTATAAAACTTGGTACTAATTATAAAATATTACAAGAGGCTAACTGTCTTTTTAAATACTTAATTAATATTCCCATGTAATCTCTTCATAAGTGTGTTATAATGATGACTTTCATTATATTTCGTATCACAATTATACTTTATATTTCATTATTCTTGATAAAATATTAATAGTTTATAATTTGTTTTTTTAATTGTATTTATATACAGTAATGAGCTAAAATAAATTTAGAGTAATTGAAATGTACCTTTTAAAATTTCTTATGTTGCTAATTTCCTTGAAACATTGTATTTACAGCAATAGAGCATAGAATAATTATGCAGTAACAAAATATATATAATACAACTTTACATGCATTCATTTTGCAAAAGATGCAAATGAATAACATAACGACTAGAATATTTCGGTGTATGTGAAAACTTCAATCAATAATACTATCGTCCTAATTTATCTTGCTTTTGTTCTATACGTTGTCGTGTTATTTTTGTTCTTAGTTTTGTTATTGTGTTACCAGGCAGTGATCCAGGTACTTTAAAAATACTCTGTGAAATAAGAAGAAAAACTATCTCAGTAAATATTTGATCTAATTCATCTACCTATTCAATATTTAAACTATATGTCATATACAACTATATATACCTGCATAAACTCGTGACATCGTAAAACAATACTGTCTTTTGTAATTTCTTTGAAACATTCAGCTAATGTTGTAAAATCTTGACAAGCTAATAAATTAGACCTATTCCTTTTTATAAGCGTTAATGCAACACGGAAGATAATTTTGGTACCCTCATAAAAGAGACAATCCCAAATACGTAAAGTAGTCTGCAAAATCAAAACTATTTAACATTTTCAATTTTTTTATGATACAAACATTTCAAATATATTGAAAATGCATGTGATTACATATATTTGTTAAAATTATATTTAATATTTTAATAATTAAATATACCTCTATAGGTAAGACCTCTGCGAATAAACACACAAACCATTTTGTTGTAATTACTGCCCAAGGCAATCCTATATTTGTTACATGCTGATAAACATCAGGCATTTTTATCCTGTGTAAATAATATACACATATATTTATATGAATATTACTTATAATGATACTTCAGTCAAAGCTTTGTTATGTTTTACCTTACTAATTCTGCGAGCACATCGATATCAGTAAGTAGACCATCCATAGTGCGTGTGTAATAATCTGGTAAGATTTTATCAATTAACACTTTTAATAACCAAAATGCTGTCTCTTCACTTTTTGTTACAAGCAAAAGTAAACCTGCTATATAGTTCAGACCCTAAAAAATAAAGTATTGCAAAGTAAGATGCAGTAATTAGCAAACATCTTGCTTGAAGCTTTTTTGAAAACTTGTACTTTTATTATATTCATTAAAAATATTTATATTTAAGAGTCTGCATTTTGAATGTTACCTGACAATATCCAACAGTTTTATTTTGATGAGCAAATGCCAATAACACATTATATAATTGATGCTGTTGATTTTCTGTATTATTAAAGAATATATTATCTGGAAATGTTCTTGGGAGATCAGTTTTTATAATTTCAGCAATTTCTGTATTATGTGGAGACTGCAATAATTTTTGATAGAGGTCTGGCGATGTATTTCTTATTTCTTCTCCACCACTCACAGCGAGCCATACCTGATCAAGTGATCCTCAATTTATTTTAAACGTTTAAATTTCAAGTACAATAAATGAAACTTAATAATATTACCAATCCTCTATGTTCTCCTGGAATACCTTTACGAACATATTTCTTTATAGTAATGCTTCTCTGTAATGATTTTCCTTCGCCAATAATTTTTGCCCATTTCTTGGCCATTTTTGCGAGAACCTTAAGGTACTCTGACATAAAATCTTCATAAGTTTCATAATCAAAATCATGTGGTCGTTCAAAACCATATTCGTCCACATCACTAGAGAATTTATATTAATTAAATAATTGTAAGTAGATGGATGAAATAAGTATAAACATTTTATGTTGCTTAAAAAATATGATATAAACGATTGATGTGAATATTGATGTCTGATAAGAACACATAAGGAATGAGAGAAATAAAAAATCAATTTTGATAAAACAACATAAAAAATATAAATTTTTAAGAAAGATTTTCCCATTTAAAGTACAAAAGGGGGCGTGTGCAGAGGAATCTAACCTCATATAAAAATAGAAAATAAATACGGTATTCGTCGTATTCACCGGAATAAGTCGCTTATTCGACAGAAAATGACAAGCACGTGTGTGCTAAAATCATTCAATAAAACTGAATAAATGAAGCACACTCACCTGAAGCATGAACTTGCCATGCCCTACGTAATTCGGCAGGTGTCAAATGGATTTGTGCGATTGCAGATAACTCCGTCCATAGATATTTAATACGTACGTCTAGGAATTTCGTTGTTCGTCGAGCAAACAAAGCATCGAGCACGGAAAAGGTATTTCGGAGCACTGTGCGTTCGCTTTTGTCACACAACGGGTGTCTTGAGACGCGCGTGTTTTGTTCTACGTATTCCGAATTATTATTCAGGCGGAGTACACACGGTGAGAGAGAGAGAGAGAGAGAGAGAGAGAGGTTTCTGTGTCACGTTACGAAATTTATTATTGCGATATATATCACAGGCGGAAAAAAAACATTGAATATTCCGCAATCGCGTTTCTAAATATAGATTTCCCCTCTCGCGTTCTCCTCGTAAAAGTACAATCGTTCTTGTAACGAAAATGACAGAGAGGACACAATGCGACACTGAAAATATATCGAATCGAAGGATATAAGAAGATTAATCGCGCGAACGTAACCGCGCGCTTCGACTCATCCGCAAAATTATACACATATTTCGCGAGTTATCGCGCGTAAATTATTATCGAGAGTCGCGCGCTGTCCTGTCAATTGATCACAAAAATGATTATATTTGAAAAAGCGCCGTCAATCGATCTCGCATCGAAGGAATGCGCGAAAATATAATTATATCGCGAGAGTATCGAGTTTGAGTGTCGACTGTCGATATGATCGATATCTCGCGTACCGACTGCAGTCGGGCGCGCGCGCGCGCAAGCTGTCATCGGAGCGCCGGAAGTGTGGCCAACTTCAGGTCGCGCGTACGTAATGTCGACTGTGCGATACCACATGGTGACGGTGGTAAGATGGCTTCGCCGATTCCCTGCGTTGCTGGTAAGCATTTTCGCGCAGAATTCGATATTCTTGGATTCGTGCAAAAGTGTCAATTTTTAATTATCGAACGCGCGATTCTCTGGATGAATTCCCTTCCTCGAGGATTGCCGCGTATCCATTCACGATCCTCCACCTTGCACGATGTTCCGGATAGTGCACACTTTTGTCGCGATAAACATGTGTCAGACACGTGTCTCGTCGATGTCGAATAAATTTGGGCGTATTTATGGTAACGGTGATATTCGCGAATTATAAACGCGTAATAAAATGTATGAAAATAAGAAATACCGTAGTCTAACCTATAACTGCTGACGTGTTACTCTCGAACTGCTGACGTGAGTTTTCGCGAGAATAATAAGATTGAAAAAAAATATTGAGATTATTCTTGCCTCGATACATACATTTATCATATAAAAATCCGTCAATTTTATATTTTCTCGTACATTCTATTCAACAAATGCGTACAAGATTATACAGTGTAGCTAATATTTGTATTGTTATTATATATATGAGAAGAGAAAAATAATATATTTTTAATATATATATATATATATATATGTATAGTGAGAGGATCCACTGGTATAAATCTAGCGCAAGGTCCACCATCTTACGAATCAGTCAAAACATTTCCCAAAGATGACAGCAAAAGCTGTAAGGCTATGCTCTTTAGTCCAGACGGCCGGTACTTTGCATGGGTTAATACTGTTGGTGTTAAAATTGTACTGTGCGAGACCTGGAAGATTGTTGCTGAAATTGCGCGACCTAAAATCTGCGCTATTCAATTCTCTACCCATAGCACGTATTTCACAACTTGGGAACCATCTTTTGGTAATTTCAAATTATGTATTATATCTCAAAAAGCTATAAGTAAACTTTTAATGAGTTTTAATGTGATGTAATTTTATTATATCTGTAATAGTGAGAATATTGTAATATAATTTCAGTAACACAAGCAAGTCCTCAAGGAACACAAAATCTTCACATATGGAAGTCTGAAAATGGTGAATTAATTCACAGTTTTGTGCAGAAGAAACAGATTAATTGGTAATGTATTATACAATTGATTTACATTGATTATAATCCCTTTTTTTTTTTTTTTTTTGGTAAATTTGAAGAGTTTGCGAGATTAGTAATTACAATAAAAATATAAACCCTAAATGGTAATCCTCTGGAAATTAATTTTGTATACATTGCTGACATTGTTATCATTAAATATATATATATATATATATATATATATATATATATATATATATGAGATAGAAATAATAATTTCAAATTTATACCAATAATAGGGAACCACAGTGGTCAAGTGATGAAAAGCTCTGTGGATTATTGAATGGTACAAATGTCTTTTTATACGAAGATAACAATTTTGATAGATATGTGCACAAGATAAGTGCAGGCAAAGTTGCCAAATTTAGTATAGCACCTGGTAATGCTCCCTATCACATTCTCTGCTACATGCCTGGTAATTATATTTATTATTATAATGCAATATTTTTTCCACATAACAATATATATAGTCAGTCAATCAGTATTAATTACAGTAAAATACTGAAATACGAAAGCAACTATATACATCTTAAAGATATATATCACATTTTAATTTGTATATAAAGTATACAGTGATAGCATTTGATGACATTTGTTGTTGATATATTTCAGAACTTTATAATGAACATATAGATAATAATAATAATATTGTTACATGAAATGTGTGATTTGGAAATAATACATATGTACAAGTAACTTTATGCTACAGTTTACAAAATACTATTTTATTTTAGTTTATTTGTTTTAAAGCATATATGTATTTGATAGAAATATAGTAAAAGTGATAAAATGAAGACATTTAAATAATTTTCTGACCATATATATTGTTTTATATTATTAAAAAAAAATAAAATAATAGACACATACATATTGGCATTTTCCAAAACAAAATATGAAACACAAAATATGAGGATCTGCTATGGAAAATTTTCCTAATTATTATACAGCATACAATTTGTAAGTATTTTTTAAACAGAAAAATTATATTGCTATATGTAATTGCACAAAGTAGTTCTTAAATTTATCTAGATTTAATGTAAAAAATAATTTAAATATCTATATTTATATTGAATCATATATGCTTATATATAATGTACAATAAAATAGAACAGAAAATACTGTATAATGTTATTCTAACATATACATTTCCACTAAATTACATTACTTTATAAATTCAACAAATTGAAATTTATATGTGCATTGCTGTTATACCACTTTCCACATTTAGTACTTCTATAATAATTAATTATTTGTTACTTATATGTCTTAAAAAGTATTAAGTATGTGTATTATGTATGTCTTTAAATTGAAAACATTAATGTCACTTCATAGAATTTAAAAAATATACATTTAAATTAAAGACTTTTTAATATATAACTTAGGAAAACCTGGTCAGCCCTCCTTTGGAAGATTATTTCAATATCCAAAATTTGAGATTGGAGAAGCACTTGCGAGCAAAAGTTTTTTTCAGGTAAATCATTGAATGTATTCTAATCATGTCATTATTTGTCTTTTTCTTTTTTTTTTTTTCCCCTCAATATTACTTTATGATTTTTAGGCAGATAGAGTTGATATCTATTGGCATCAACGTGGAACAAATGCATTATTGATGGCAAGTACCGAGGTTGATAAGACTGGTGCATCATATTATGGAAAACAGACTTTGCATTATTTCAGCACAAAAGGAGATACTGCTATGGTTACATTCAGTAAGCTTTACAAAAATTACTTTTTTGTTGCAATTTAGCATATTTAAAATTAATTTTGTATCAATATTATAATGTAAATTTTTCCAATTAGGTAAAGAAGGTCCTATACATGCGGTAGAATGGTCTCCCAAAAATACAGAATTCTGCGTGATATACGGTTTTATGCCAGCTAAAGCAACATTGTTTAATCTTAAGTGCGAAGCAATCTTTGAGTTTGGAACATTACATAGGAATAGCATATATTACAATCCACATGGCAACAATATCCTTTTATTACTTAACATATGCTGATAAATCTATACATGTTTTATTAGTATTTATTGAATAGTAATTGAAATCGTACTTAACTAATACTTGTAATAAAAAATAATAATATGCATTAATTTCCTTGACTACTGTGCACTATTGCTTTTGGCTGGATTTGGTAATCTTAGAGGTGGCATTGAATTATGGGATATTGCTAATAGAAAACTTATTGCTAAAACTGATGCACCGGATACTACACTACTTCAGTGGTCGCCGGATGGTGAACATTTTATGACAGCAACTACAGCACCTAGATTAAGAATAGGCAATGGGTAATAATAAACGTATAAAAAGAGACTGTATTTAGTTTTAAATACATTCTATGTACTATCAATTAATAGATATATATTGTTAGATTTAAGATTTGGCATTACACTGGCTCATTAGTGTATCAGCGACCTTGGAATAACCAAGAAGAACTATGGGAGGTGACTTGGCAAAATTTCCCTTCAAGTACTTTCCAACAGAGACCTATAAGTTATAAAGCAGTCGAGGGTATTGTTTCTAGTCCTAGTCAATCACAAGGTAATGATTATTTTTATTTATGAATATTTAGGAGTGAATATCTTTCTAAGCATAAGAGAGAGAATCTAGCTTCGGAATACATATACATAATAATATATAATAATTATTGACGTCTCTTTCTAAAGCACCGAAAGGAGCATATAGACCACCGTGTGCTAGAGGACAAAATATCACTTTTAAATTGCACGATGACATAGAGCCACCTTCAAAACCTGCAGAATGTAAGTATATACAAATGCATATTGAATATATCATTGTTAACTCTGAAATTTGTTTATAGCAAATCCATCAAAAGCTGCACTGAAAATGAAGAAAAATCGGGAAGCGAAAAAGGCTAAAAAAGAATTAGAATCTAATAATTCCACTGTTAATGGACAAGTTACAAGTGCGACAACAAGTGTAAAAATGGAATTAACAGACGATCCTGAAAAGAATAAAAAAATAAAGAAAGTGAAAAGTGTAAGTATATTAATAGCAATATTTTTCCTTTTTTATTACTATCATATAATAAAGATTTAAAATAACATTTCGATTTATGTCACAGAAATTAGATCAAATTTCTAAATTGAAGGAGCAATTAAAATCGGGAAAACAATTAGAAATTAATCAACTAGATAAGATCAAGAAAGAAGATGAATTACTAAAAGAACTTGAAGAACTTACTGTATGATAAACACTCTAGATGTCGAACAGAAATTGACTTGACTTTGCAAAAAAAAAAAAAAAAAAATTGCAATTAAATGGTTCTTTTTAAAGTAAAAGAGTTGCAAGAAATTAGACTTACACTTATGAATACAAATCAAATTATTCATTCTGACAATTTGAAAAACTTGAGATAATTATATCACATGTGTGATACTGTAAGATAAAAATAACTTTGAATCTTTCAAGAGACAAATTATAAATTGAATTGATACTGCATCCAACAATTGTGTTCGCACATACATAAGAATACATGGTCATATTAGTTTTAAACAGAAAACTAATAAATACTATTAAATAAATATGTTTGTTATGTATGATTTTGCTAAAAATTAATAATAATAGAAATAATTGCAGTGTTTATTATCAATCTTAGCAAGAAATCACAAATGATTGTGCAATTTAATAATTATAATTAAAATAAAAGCAGTCTACTGTGTAATTGACAACTCACTATTGTAACGAAAACTTGAAAAGATATTTTTTTTGTTTATTAAAATATGAAAAGCAAATGTAGAAAGTGAGAATATTGGAACGATATAATTGGCCTTTTTTTTATTTTTTCTCAAACATTAGTTTCAAAACTTGAAGTTATCTAATATTTTTATAGTGCAGTAATAAATTTTGCATTTAAATATTAGCTTAACATTCTTCTCTGCACATGACTATTACCTAATATTACTTTTTGTAAATTATAAGATTTGGATGTATCAGTCTTTATAATATTAAAAAAAACTTTAAATATCAATTTTTTAATAGCATTTAATACTTAAACTTCTTTCTAAATATTATTGTTTTGATTATATTGAATGTTCTATTCAATATTCAATGTTATATTCAATATTTTTAGATAATAATTCAGAAAAAATATTCTCTTTTATATTATATACAATACGAAATCAAGTTAAATGTTTTTGCAATTTTTAAAGAAGTATATATAAATAAGTTTAATTATATACATACATAATTAGTATAAATAAAGAACATTTTTTCAAAATGACAAAGCTTGTTCAATTGACAATGAGTGAAATAAAGTCCATATAAGATTGTATACAATGTGTGTATGTATCTGGGATATGTGTATGTGTAACTGCATTAAAAGATATGTGCAAATTACGTATTATCGATACATAATAAGAGTTTATTATGATGTAGACAGGAACAGCAAAATTGTGCGAATGTTATGTATAGTAAGATGAAATTTATGGAAATAAATTATTAAAGAAAGAATTCAATGGTTGTGCAAGAATATATATAAATATCAATATGTGTATGTATACTCTGTATTCTGTATACAATATTTTATATTTGCATTTCAGAAGATTTGCAACAAAATCTTTAATAATGTAATATAAAAAAAGCAATATCTACTGATATACAAAGAATTTGGAATATTAATGTGTGTGAATACAAACAAGTTTATTATATTTTATTGTATTTTTCTTGCATAAAATGCGAGAATTTTCTCGCATAAAATAGAATTGTATATTTCTTTTTCCTTCAGATGGAAAGAAATCTTAATTGAGTTTAAAGGAAAGTACTTTTTTACAATTAATTTTCCAATAATTAAATTTAAAATAAAAATGTTTTCTGGATCTTATTTCATAATTCCCGCGTGAATGAGGAAAGCTGGTCGCATTGGGCGATCAGCGGAGACCGGAGCATGGGTGCCAGGGGAAATCGTCCAATCGGAGCCGTCACTCGTCACCCCCACGTCGTCTCGGACGGCGCCGCAGCGCCGCGACAGTCGTGTTTACAGATTTGCCAGTTGAGTTCCGTAACGTCACGTCAAAAAAGTGCAACACACGAATTTCTACAACGTTTACTATGTAAAGGTGCGTTCCCCGGCGACGAGAGGACACGGTCGCGCCGCTCGTTTTCCCGGACGTGATCGTCGACGTCGTCGACGAATCGACGCCATCCGCGGCGGTTTCGCGGGCCACGGAATATCGGCGCTTTTGTTAATATTACGGCAGTGCCAATCGTTAGGATAGTCGCCATTTTGTCCGGAGAGGTTTTAGCCCGGTCGCGGCGAACGTGCGGCGAAAATAGGCGCTGCCTGGACCGCCGAGGATTCTCGCGGAATAATCGCGTAGGTAGAGCGAGCCGCGCGAAACGTCGCCGTCGAGGCGTCTCTTCGGTCCCGGGTGTGCGACGTGTCTCGACGTGTCTCAACGACGATCTCGTCCATCTCGGAGTCTCTCTCCCCCGTTGCGGCCGATCGTTTTCCTCTGCTCCGACTTTCCGCACCCTGGTTGTTAATTATTTCTTCTTCACCTGTCATCCTGTTTTTTACCGAGACTCCGTCGTCGGGCGCGACTTCTCGGCGAAGCTCCTCGTGTGTCGTCTCGGAGGACCGGCACCGCGGCCGCTCCCTGTCGTCGTCGTCGTCGACGTCGACGTCGTCTTCAGCAGCGCCGACTCCTTGACGTTTGACAGCTCACGCGATGCGCGTGAATTCTCTTACGGCGATAATGACTCGAGATCGTAACCATGCGCGATCGCACGATCCTGAGAATGTAAAGTCACTCGCTCTTCTTCGGCGGCAGAGAGAATTTCGTTTGCCCTGTCCGTCTGCGACTTCGCGCTACCTTGCTTAACAGCGTCCGCACGAAGCCCTGATAATGTAATCACGGCTGTCATGCGATTTCCTGCGTTCGGATACACTCCGATTCCGTCATAATCGAGAATATTCACCAGCGATTTTCTGAAGCGAGTGACCGTCACATTGAAATCTCGGAAAAATTTATAATAATTATATTAGGATATTATTCGATAATAGGATAATAGGATAACTTATTCGAGAAATAAGGGCTTATGTAACTGTCTTTGCACAGCTTGAAAAAATTATTAAATTCTTTTATTGCTTGTGAACTCGTAAACTGAATTTAACAATTGTCATTATTGATGGTGTGCACCTACGCTAGACATAGACTCTTGGTTGTTTTTCAGGACACTTGGAAGAAGACAGTGTTAAGATTGTGTCCCTTCTGTTCCTTTGTTTCAGATAATGTAGGTATAGTTTATTAAAACAAGGCCTTTAGGATACAATTATATTTAATGTCAGTATATAAGCTGGATGCTTGTTATTGGTGGTGTAATCATTGGACCAAGAGATATTGAGACAATTAAGGTGTAACAAAGAAAGGTGTAAAATGACGATTGCCACTAGGGGCCAGGGAGTTGGCATAGACCCTCCCGACAGCCAACAAAATACACAGGTATGCGTTTAGAGTATAAAATTATTTAGTAAAATGGTCTGCGATATGCTTTGATTGTATCGCACAAGCAAAATATATGAAAAATCTGTTCTGTATAGATGCACAGTCCACCAGGCCCGCAACAATTGGCTGACACAATGTCGGGACTCCAACTCACTGAGAATGTGGTACAAACAGAATGCAACAATGACGCTATCACTACAGTGGAGGATAGCAATCAGCTTCATGGAGAACCTGAATTTCCTATTTCCAAACTTAATATGCTTCATGAAAAGATATCTAGTCCACGATGGGTTGTACCAGTTCTACCCGAACAAGAATTAGAGTGCCTGTTACAAGCCAGTATCGAACTTTGTAAAAAAGGTAATACATTGTAAATGTCTTAAAGATAATTGTTTGTCTACATATAAATGCATTATAAATAATTATACTTCAGCAGTGTTATTAAATATTTAGATTGCATAGTAACGTATTTGTCTTTGTTATATATCAGAATGTAGCAATTTGTATTTACTATATTGCAGGAATTGATGTACAAAGTGAAGCGTGTCAACGCTTTTTTCGAGAAGGTCTCACAATCTCATTTACCAAGATATTAACAGATGATGCAGTAAACAGTTGGAAATTAAATATTCACAACTGTATTAATGCTAATTGTGCACGTTTGGTGGAATTATGTGTCCTGAAATTAGACGAAGATTGGTTTCCTCTACTTGATTTATTGGCAATGGTTTTTAATCCTAGTAATAAGTAAGTGTATATATTTTAATTTTTTTTTCTCGATTACGAGATATGAGCTTTTAAGATGATTATACTTATATATTGTCAAATTTGTATTTCTAGATTTCACACATTTAATGCAATAAGAGTGTCTGAAACCGTTCCTCCTGGTAGTGATATTCCTGATGAGGAACTTTATGCTCGCCCACCACCTGATTCGCGAAGTCCCCGTGGTTGGCTAGTAGATCTTATAAACAGGTATTTTATATATTATATATATTTATATTTATTATATATATATATACATATATATTATATATATTTTTTATATGTATTATGTATATGTTATGTGTGCAAATGTGTTTCATTTCAATACAAATCGATATCAATTTCTGTTGCAGATTCGGGAGTCTCAACGGATTTGAAATTTTGCTCTCTAGATTTCAGAGTGGACGTAATTTAACAGTGCCAGTTATTTATGCTTTAATCAGACCTTTTGGCTTGTGTTATGAACTATTGACTGTTCACACGATAGTTAAATATTTGATGCCTATTGTTGTAAGTATTTTTTTCTTAATTTATCATTAAACAATATTTATTTATACGACTTTTAAAAAATATTTTTACATATAGGAAATGGTACCTCTTATTTTGAATAATTTAACTGATGATGAGTTGAAGAAGGAGGCAAAAAACGAATCAAAAAACGATGCAATATCAGCCATAATCAAAGCTGCTAAATGCTTGGTGTCACGAGTACCTCATCAGGAAGAGATGATAAAGAACTTGGAAATACTGAGACTGAAGATGATATTGAGACTCTTACAAATTTCTTCTTTTAATGGGAAGATGAATGCTTTAAATGAAGTTAATAAAGTAATATCTAGTGTTAGTTATCACCAGCATCGTAATACAATAGTGGAGGAGGAAGAATGGCTTACAGCAGAGCGTATGGCAGTAAGTTTTGCTTAAAAATCGACATAATATTATACACATGCATATATCTTTTAATATAATGTTTAAATCATGTTAAAGAGAAAGTGTATTAAGTGAATTTTCACTAAATATCACGAGTTTGACACTTATATCGTAAATATTGTAAAGATGTAAAGTGTATTTAAGTGAATATTTCACTAAATATCACGAGTTTGACACTTATATCGTAAATATTGTAAAGATGTAAAGAGTATTTATTTGTGATACAGAAATGGATTAAAGACAATGGCGTTTTGGAAATTGTACTGAGAGATTCGTTGCATCAGCCACAATATGTAGAAAAACTGGAGAAGATCTTACGCTTTATTATAAAAGAACGTGCACTTACATTAGAAGATTTGGATGCTGTTTGGGCGGCTCAAGCTGGTAAACATGAGGCGATTGTGAAAAACGTTCATGATTTGTTAGCCAAATTAGCTTGGGATTTTAGTCCTGCAACTTGACCATTTATTTGAGTGTTTTCAGGTATTTATTACAATAGTGTAATGTAATAACAATATCGCAAAAATTGCATAAAATTTAACAATCAAATGTACAATTATTTTAGACAAGTTGGAGGACTGCCAATAAAAAACAACGGGAAAAATTATTAGAACTGATTAGGAGACTGGCAGAGGATGATAAAGATGGCGTTATGGCACACAAGGTTAGAGGAATCTTCAATATATATTTATCATATACATGTAAATATATTTCAGAGACTTTGAAATACTTTTCTATTGTTTCTACTGCTAGGTGTTGACACTTTTTTGGACTTTGGCTCATTCCGATGAAGTTCCGACAGAAATTATGGATCAGGCATTGAATGCTCATGTAAAGATTCTTGATTATTCATGTTCGCAAGAAAGAGACGCGCAAAAGACAATCTGGTTGGATAAGTGTGTTGAAGAGTTGAAAAATGGCGATAAGTGGGCCCTTCCTGCATTGAAGCAAATTCGCGAAATATGTTGCCTTTATGAACCAAATCCCAACTTGGGTCACAGTACACGTAGTCATCATTTACATTACAGGTATGTACACACAAATGTACATGCAGATACGCATTACATTACATTACATTGATCATTTTTTACTCTTTATTTCTATTACACAGGCAAGAAGTAATAGAACGTTTACAGAGCGAACATTCAGTAGTGATACTTGTAACAAATAGTTTAACAAATTATATGGATAAAGTGCGACAATTGGTAAAGGAAGATCCTGAAATCGACGCGAATTCTTTTATGCCTGATGGTCGCTATAATCATATTATGCAAGTGCAGGAAAGATTGAATTTCTTGCGTTTCCTATTAAAGGTAAGATTCCACATTTTGGAATACTAAGATAAGGATGAATTTCTGTTAAAAAATACATTGAATAACATTACATGGATTTTTCAGGATGGACAATTATGGTTATGCGCCGATCAAGCGGAGCAGATTTGGCAATGTTTAGCAGAGCAGGGTGTATTTGTTTCGGATCGCGAGGCGTGCTTTAAATGGTTCTCTAAGCTTATGGGAGACGAGCCAGATCTAGATCCAGCAATAAACAAAGACTTTTTTCAAAATAATATACTGCAATTAGATCCGACATTACTTACAGAAAGCGGTATTAAATGTTACGAAAGATTTTTTAAAGCTGTTAATTCTAAAGAAGGAAAATTGAAGCTGAAACGTAGAACATTTCTTATGGATGATGTGGATTTAATTGGGACTGATTATTTATGGAGAGTACGTAATAACATATGTTTCAATTTTATTATTTTTGTCTTTTATCTTGTTTTACATGCATGTGTATATATATTTTTGCTTAACAATGGTAATTTTATTTATCTATAGGTAGTAACAAATAGCCCAGAGGAAATTGCAAACAGGGGTATAGAACTCTTAAAGGAAGTGAATACGAATTTAGGACCACGACTGCAGTCGTCTGTTTTAGCATTTCATGAAACATATATAGCGGAATGCATGGACAGACTGAAAGCTCATTATGATACTGTGACTGTTTTGAGCAGAGTATATTTGGATGGAAAAGAGGAACGTGAAGAACAAATGACAAATAAAATTAAAATAGAAGCCATAAAAATGTGTCGCGTCATGAAAGTTTTGCAGGAATATATAAACGAGTGCGATACAGCTTTTCCAGGGGAACGAAAAATATTACCATTGCATAGGTAAAGTTACAAATAATAACGAGAACGTTTCTTCTTACAAATGCATGTACGATGTAAGCGCAATATTTAAATTCCATTTCAATTACAGAGCAGCTCGTGGCAAGCATCTATCACTTGTTATTCGTTTTGCGAGTCCTGGTCGAAACGTCGACGACATAGATATCTTCACGCATAGTAATGACACATTAGCTTCATTGAGACGTCAGATATTACGTAGAATTAAAGCAAGCGGAACAAATGTGAAACTCGATTTATTTATTAATGGAGATTCGCTGGAACAATCCGATGATAGGAAACTCCTTTCTCAGATCCCACTGAGAGACAAAATGGTGAATATTAATAAGATTATTAAAAGGTTTAACATGTAAAGATTCATATCCGTACAATTTTCGTGATTATTTGTTTTTTCTTTTAGTTGTTATCTGCGAAGCTCAGTCAAGTAAATAGCAATATGCCAAGCTCACCGGATAGTAGCTCTGATAGCTCTACTAGTTCTCCGCATCATCCGTACGACGGGCCGAATGTAGAGGCAGAGAACAGTTTGCCCGGTGTGGTAAGTTTACTAACGTAAAATTTAGAAATTTAATCCTCGCATTCTCCGCATTTGTTATATTGCGTTCTTATTAATTAATTTAATTGTGCGATTTCGTTCCTAGGTCATGTCGCAGAGGTCGCAATACGCGACATTCTTCTTTCAATTGGCAGATCTTGGCTGCACGCTTCAACATTCGCAACTGCGTGACGGTGCGCGAAATCTCTTACAATTGGTGCCGCCGGATACCTTCACTGTAACAAGATTACAGTGGTTATTTGGTCATTACAAAGACGACGAAGCTTTACAGAACCCCTCTCAGTATCATTGTAACGAGCAGAATACGACGGTAGATTCTCTATTTTTTACTGCAAGTCCTAGCCAAGTTTTATACAATTTAGAGGTGAGTGCGGATTAAATAAATTTTATTCTTCTACGCTTGTACTATCAATAATGCTTCTTTTTTTTTTTTTAATTTCTAGGTGTTGTATACTTTGTTAATGCCTGCTCTCGACCCCACGTCGGAGAGAGCGTTTGAATTTCAATATAATTTCATAAAAAGCGGTGAAGCGGGCGTTATCCTCGATATGCTAACCAAAAACAAGTTTTTACCAAATGCGGACGAGACTACAAAACGCTCTGCGTATTTAACAGTGCTGAGATTATGCAAGCTTCTTCTGACGGTGATGGGTAACGTGATGGCATGCGTGATGGACGAGGTTCAAAGCGGGACTCCGGAGAATCATGACAATCACGTTAACAATCGCGGTCGAGTGACGGTACTCAAACAGGCACTTCAGAGTGTACCGAATCAAAGTACCGAGTACATGTTGAGAAGCGTAGCGGCTAAATTGGCACAGCATCTGGCCCATCGAATGCTATCCGGCGGGCCGGAGGCCGATCGATGTCGGCAGCTTTTTGTGCAGGCCCTTTCCTGGGAATTACCGGATGTGGCTACTATACGTGCCATAATTAGATTAGCGTGGGCCGCATCTACGGGTAACTTGAACAACATTAACGCGTCGAACGACGTCCTTCACTTGATGCACGAGATTAATCAGAAGGAACAGAGAAATCCCGACAACAACGACGTCCTCGTGTGTAAGGAGGCGCTCGAAGTGCTAACGATCGCCCTTGTGTTGAATCCATCGGCGTTGGAAACGTTATCGCACGACAAAATCTGGCACACTTTCCTGATAGACCTGGTGCTACTTAGTACGTCGAGAGCCATTAGGATCGCCGCCGGCGAGCAATTTTTTCTCATCTCGACGTGGTGCAGCGGCGGACATCAAACGTTACTGGTCACTATAACTCTTCTCTTCGCTGTTTTAAACACTATCGTTACGGAGAACGCGAAACAGAGTCACGAATACTTCCAACTTCTGTGCCGGTTATTGAACTTCGCGCATATGTCAGGTTGTCCCTTGACGACCGCGGAGACGCTATTAAACGTGGAAATAGCGTGGTTGAAAAAAGTTCGGGATAACATGAAGGAGACCGGAGAGACTCAGGTAGACGAGGCCTTACTCGAGGGTCACCTAGGTCTAACCAAGGAACTGCTGGCCTTTTTGCCACCGAGCCAAAAATACGAGATCGGTTCCGACGAGAAGCACGGAGTTAATTTGATCAAGGAGTTAGTCGAGGACTTTGTGTTCCCCGCGTCTCGTTTGATGCTGCAGCTACGTAGCACCGGCGAATTGAGCCCATCGCAAGCGTGTCCGGTCTGCAGTACTCCTCAATCGACTAGTGCCGCGTTCGACTTGCTCGTAGGTCTTTGCGTAGGCTGTGTACCCAACATGAAACTTCTAGTCACAATGCTCACCGACATGTTCTACTCCGAGAAGGACGAACCTTTAGCTGAATGGGATTATCTACCACCTGTGGGTCATAGACCGCTTAAAGGTTTCGTAGGCTTGAAAAACGCAGGGGCGACCTGCTACATGAATTCAGTATTACAACAATTGTACATGGTGGAGAGCATTAGAATCGGACTATTAGCGGCGGAAGGCGCGGCGACTGATTTAAATGAGGACTTTTCGGGCGAGGAGAGAATCGAAGGGGAGCAGACGATCGAGACGAACGACAATGATACGAACGAAGAAAAGTGCGGTGCCGATGAATCTAGAAAGGAATATAATATCGGTATTTTGAAGCAAGTGCAAGCGATATTCGGTCACCTGGCTTATAGCAAATTACAATATTATATACCTAGAGGATTGTGGAAGCATTTCAAGTAAGAATAATTACAATTTTATTTTTACAAACTAAAAGTAAAATTAGCACAATGATTTATGTCCACTAGAAATGTAGTTTTTTTTATATTTTATTATTTATTACCAATATATATTGTATAATAATATAATATTTACTTATATATAATATTATATATAAATTCTAATAATTTTTTATGTATGCATTCGACTTTTATAGACTTCAAGGAGAACCTGTAAATCTTAGAGAACAACAAGACGCGGTAGAATTTTTTATGAGTCTGGTAGAAAGTCTAGACGAAGCATTGAAAGCCTTGGGACACGAGCAGATAATGGGCAAGATTCTTGGTGGCTCGTACAGCGACCAAAAAATCTGCAAAGGTTGCCCTCATAGGTACCTTTTTAGTTCTTACATTTTTCTTTCTTCGGTAGACTGTAATACCGCATTACATTGTCTTCAGATATTCCAAAGAAGAACCGTTCAGTGTGATAAGCGTGGACATACGGAATCACAGTAATTTATTGGATTCTCTTGAGCAATATGTAAAGGGAGAATTGCTAGAAGGTGCAGACGCCTACCATTGTGATAAGTGTAACAAAAGGTATGATTCTGTGCATTAATATCATTTCTTACGAATGTATAAAAGATCCTTTGAAAGTAATTTCCAAAAGATAGATGATAGTTTATTAATTAGTGATGAAAATAAAATGGATCTTTTATACGTCTTAAAAACAAACTAAAGGCAAAGTTCAACTCGAGCAAACATTTTACATATTTTGCATTTTATTTTAGGTCGTAACAGTAAAGAGGTTGTGCGTGAAAAAACTGCCACCCATTTTAGCGATTCAGTTGAAAAGATTCGAGTACGACTTTGAGCGCGTATGCGCCATAAAATTCAACGATTATTTTGAGTTTCCGCGAGATCTGGACATGGAGCCTTATACCGTTTCCGGTTTAGCTAAACTGGAGGGAGAGGTCATAGATTGCGATTACGAGGAATCTGTGAAAGGAACGTGCACCAAGTATCAATTAACTGGTATCGTGGTTCACAGCGGTCAGGCTAGCGGTGGCCATTATTATTCTTACATCCTGCACAGGTACTTTGAACATGCGAAATATATATATATATATGTATACGTGTAACGTGACTGACTGACTGAATAAAGTTTTTTAATATTTTTTAATTGATATTCAATAATTTTGCAGGTTAAACGATGGCACTGCCAAGTGGTACAAGTTCGATGACGGCGATGTGACGGAGTGTAAAATGGAAGAGGAAGAAGAAATGAAATCTCAGTGCTTTGGCGGTGATTATTTAGGGGAAGTATTCGATCATATGCTCAAGCGAATGAGTTATCGCAAACAGAAACGATGGTGGAATGCGTACATGTTATTTTATACGAGATTAGACGTAGAAGAGAATTCTCTAATGAAGAGTGTAAATGAATTGTCATTGTGTAAGTATATGTGTATCTAGTAACACTGATAAGCTTGATCTTAGCTATAATATCGTCTCTTATCGCGCATTGTTTCCTTTCAGATACGAAACTAGGAGTTATGAAAATGCCACCGGCGATAGAATATAGTGTGCGGAAACAGAATATCAAATTTATGCACCACCGAAATCAATTTAGTGCCGAATATTTTCAATTTATCAAGAAACTGGTGTCCTGTAATCCACATAATATTAACAGACAGAATCTGAATGAGAAACTCGTAAGTTGCCATGACGCATACATAAGATACAAGATTTCTCAACAGGTTCTTCTTATTTAATAAACATTGTATTCGCATATTTTCAGAGTCCCGAAGCGGAAGAGCTTGCGATGCTGTCGGTTCAATTAGCATCCAGATTTCTTTTCTACACGGGCTTTCATACTAAAAAACATTACGCGGAACGGCGACAGATTGGTACGACATCATATGCCATCATTTGCGTAGCAGTAAAACAGTGCGTTCTTGGTTCGCCAATGAAGTGTTGTTCAATCATCCGCATAGGTAATTCAACAGATTTTTCAAAATACATGATCTTGCACATAAAGAGAGAGAGAAACATTTGAGACATTTTAATAACATTAATTATTTTTATTCATGTATTATAGATTTTGCGAGTATCTCTTGAGTTGTCCCAGTACGGAAGTACGCACTGCTTTTCTCAAGATTTTGGTGTTCCTTGCACATGTTTCTCTACAAGATGGTCCATGCGCCCCGCCTAGCCTAAATGCACCGAGTGAGTACTCAAACGATTAAATAGAAATTATATATATATACACTATTTGATACACTTTTATAATTCATAAATATATTTTTTTATCAGCCATACTCTTCGATCCAGTAGCAACGCTCAGCGATCATCTGTTACATGCGGTACTGTCGTTATTGCACCGTGAAATTTCAGATCATGGGCGTCATCTTCCTCATTATTTCTCCCTCTTTCACGCGTACGCTTCGCTCGGTCTTGCCGAGAAGGCACAATTGCTTAAGGTATAAAGTTAATTATTACAAATTTAAATACACATATATATATATATATATATATATATATATTTTAATATAGATATTTATATATAATATCAATAACATATATATGTTACTGATATTATATATAAATATCTATATAATTTTATATAAATATATAATTATATATAATCACTGATTTTTTTTCGTTGTAGCTAAATGTCCCGGTTACGTTCATGTTGGTCGCCATTGACGAAGGTCCGGGTCCTACCATAAAGTATCAGTATCCCGAATTGACTAAACTGCATCAAGTAGTAAGCATGTTGATACGGTGCTGCGACGTGTCATCGAAAGCACATTCGAGTCACACGCAGACCCGTGCAGAACCTTTGCCGAATCCGTACGGAGATCCCGCCTGTCAGTCGGAGTATCTTATGCCGATCCAGTCGCAAGCGGCTGATATATTATTTGTCCGTACTAGGTGAGAGATTGATTGATTCGTATTTTTAATAACGGAAAATAAAATCTGTATATGTCTTTTTTTTGCTCAACAATTTCTTATTCTGTCCTACATACAGTTACATAAAAAAATTGATAGAGGACGCTAATGTGACGGAGGACACGGTTAAATTGTTGCAATACTGTTGCTGGGAGAATCCACATCTGTCGCGTACGGTGCTTAGTGAATTATTGTGGCAAATAGGTTTTGCGTATACTCACGAGCTGAGGCATCATACGGATCTGCTGCTTACGATACTATTGATGGAAGATTCGTGGCAAACGCATCGCGTGCACAACGCACTCAAGGGTAAGTTGATTCTTTTGCGCGAAACATTGAAGTTAAAAAAAGTTGTTCCGCGATAATTATTGAGATTGTATCTTTCAGGAGTTCCCGACGAACGAGAGGGTTTATTCGAAACGATCCAAAGAAGTAAAAATCATTATCAAAAAAGAGCTTACCAGTGTATTAAGTGTATGGTGCAGCTCTTTAGTAAATGTAGACCTGCCCATCAGCTTTTACACCATAGTCCAGAACTGAAGAGAAAATGGAGTCATGCCATAGATTGGCTCCACGACGAACTCGACAAAGTATGTAGCGCGACAGCTAAAAGTAGTAATTTACATACGCATTATTACGATATTAATAAGATCATTACAAATGCTGAATAAATATATTATTTTCAGAGACCATATGCCTCTACGGCGCCTTATACACATGCGTACAATAATTGGTCTCCGCCAGCACAATCCAATGATTCCGCGAATGGGTATGTTTTGGAACGTAGCAATAGCGCGAGGAAGACTTTGGAACGAGCATGCGAACTGTGTCCGGACGAGGAGCCAGAAGTTGAAGACACAACCGAAGATTGCGCGGAAGAAGCTGAGAAACGTGTGTTTACATATCCCAATTCACTTAAATATTCCAATATTTCTGCTGGAAAATCATTCCAAAGTTCATATCGAGTCTCAAAGAGGCGTAGTAACAATAGAGACTTAGGATGGTACTCTGTATCATCTACGGAGTAAGTTGTACAACTATACTATATCTTTTTTATAATATATATTCCAGTAGTAATAATTAGAAAATATAATTACTTAAATTTCTCTATATGTTACAAATATTGCAATTTAGAATTTATTGACAAGTGTTTTATAAAATTAGATATTAGATATTGAATTTTATCATTTTTGTAAATATGATTGTTTTTTGAAAATAAATTCACAATTGTTAATACTTTTTGCAGTTACCCCGATTTTACCGTAATTCAACAAATGCAAGATGAACAACAGCCTCAACCAGGACCTTCTCCAGTACACACGCCCCACTTAGCGCTTCAAATGCATAATCCGCAGAACTGTGAGTCGTCACAAAATACCAGTCAGGATCCATAATGAACGCTGAACACTGATGTTCTACCAAGTTGCTGCCTCAGTGAAATGATTTCGGAATACTTAGATATTACTGCGCCAGAAGCTTGGTGGCGAACAGTAGCAGCATATGTACAGATATAACAAGTGAGGGTTTGTTTTTTTTAGTGATCTTTAACAAATTCGTGCTAATCTCTTAGTTTCATTGTGGGTAGTTCTTTTGATAATATGACGCGCTATAAATGTTCGAATCGCAAACAAGAAAAACGAAATGGGAAACGATTACGACTGAGAACTGAATTAATGCATGCTGGTTGAGGCAATCAATTTTCGACAATTTTTTCCTCCTTGATCTTGACATTGTTTGTCATTCATCATGTTTGTGTCCCCCGACAACTGTTTGGCTTCCAATTCTAGAAATGACAATTTGACAAAGAAAAAAAGAAAAATATATATAAAGATGCGCGCACTCTCCCTGTCTCTCTCTCTCTTTTTAAGAGAGATCGATAAAACTAATAGTACAGCTAAGAGTTTCATTTGCCTCGATTAATGCATGTCGATTCAAGCTTAACGAGTATCATAAGATTGTATAAATGTATAGCGAGTAGTGTTACGGAATCCCGTTCTCTGCCGATTAGAAAACAAGAATATAAAGCATAATTTTCCGTATGCCTATGTAAATTTGTTACTAATAATAAAAAAGAAGAGTTGAAATAGAACTTTTTAATGATCGAAAGATACAATTACAAAAAAAAAGAGAAAACGAGTTAGTATATTCTCATCTTATTCAGAGAAAGCACAGTTATCGCGAAGCTATGCTCTAACATATGTATGTATATATACATACATACATACATACATACATACATATATTCTTATGTATGTATGTATTTATGTGCATATAGCTATGTGCGATATATGTATAACATAGCTTTTGCTATTTAATCTTTTAACAACAGAATAAAAGAACCTTCTTGTACTTAATAATCTCGAGCATTCTGGAAGAAAGACACTTATCCGGCGGCCTGCCGTGCTGCTAAAATTTCAACATACGCCAATGATGCCTCCTGTTGTGCTTTCTTTCAGTTCGACCGATTTGAAAGAGTTGTGCCTTCGACATTGTGCGACTCCATTGTACTTTTAGGTAGATATTTAAGAATCAAGTTGTTGCTTCAAATTTGATTGCTTATACTTCGCTTGTTGAGTTGACTATGAAAAAAAGAAAGGGAAAAAGAAGCTAGAAACTTGTCAGGAAACTTGCGTGAGATTCGATACAATATTCATCGACGAGAGATATTTATAAGAACGTTGAAACGTATTTCGAAATCCGAAAAAACGTGATTGCTGCGAGCCACTCTAGTTTATCATGTCATGACGCACGCATAATACGTTAAAAATTATCGACATCGAGTTGTCCCGTAAGGGTAATCGTTTAGAAATGAAAAATGTCCTCATTCGGAACACAAATTTTTACGGAGAAAGGAATTGAAAAAAGAAAAAGCATGACGCAAGTAATAAGATGCAAAGAGGATATGGAGCAAACAAATAATTAATTTGTATCGTTGTATGGTACGACCTATATCGTTGATAGAGCCGTGGTCTTTTCGCAAAAATTGTGAGAACGATCACAGCGCGTTTCGATAAAATCGTCCCGGCATACCACGTAACAGAAATATTCTACGAGAAAGAATGAGAAATAGAGACGAAGAAAAGGAGAATGAGTAACGAACGACCTTTGAATTTATGAACTGGCCATTGCTCTGACTTATTGAATAAAGAAAGGAACGTGTGTGTGTTATATATATATAGAATATTATATATAAAAATAATCTTATATAAAAGAAGAAAAAAGAGAAATAAAATCACATGTAACGTGGAATAAGCGACCCGTGTGTATAATAAGATTTCGTGCGAAAAACCAACGACTATGTCAAGACACCAGGAAATAATGACGTATTGATTATTATTGTTCGTATTTATCGAATACCGAGTTAAACACAGTGTACCAAATTATATAATAGCTTCTATTGGTTAAAAAATAATAATGGTACCTAATCTTACTCAAACATGTACATATACATATAGACATTACACAGACAACTGCTTTTTATATGTGATAAAAAAAATTATTATATTCCTATTATATATACATTGAGATTTAGAGAAACACTATTGTAAATCCTGGTTTTTGTACACAGACTGTATGCTAAGTTCACTTTTGTTAACACGAAAATGTAGTCTATAATTATTTAATATTTAATTTTACCCCCACCAATAATAAGCGCGTATATCATGTAAAAAAAAGTTACTTTATTTCTACTTTTCTTTTTTTAATTTGAGAGAGATATGGTTCACAAAAACTGGAAGTGTCATGATACTAGTGTCATTTATCTTATGCGTGGTAGAAATAAGGGAGACATAAATTGTGTGCGATAGCCGAGCGCATTATACGTAATATAAGATCGCTGAAATTATCGTTTTTTTTTGCCATCAAGATGAAACAGCGCTCGGCATTGTAGTATAAAAAGAAAGGAGGAAGAGAGATAACGGGGGACAGTAGAGATTGCGACGGAATGTCATTTTCCCGCATACATACATACATACATACATACATCATTTAAGATTAGTGTAATTTCGCTGAATGTAGATTTTGCGAGAATGCTACGAGGATGTGCAAAGCGAAAATCGTTTCTACACTTATTTTTGCAAAAATAATGACACGTATTTACATTGGAATTTACAACTCACCGGAATTATATACGATTTCCTATAATACTTGTGTACGTAATAAAGTAAAGGGAGGAAAGAAACGAAAGGGAGGATTGTGTGCACCAGTTTTATGGTATGCGTGATCCCATCTCACAGATATCAATTTACGAACCAAATAAAATTTGCTATTAATTACTTTGCGTATTTCGCGCGGCGCACTGCGATTTTTTATGTTTTCGAGTACGAGGGTCGTCGGACAGAAGTCAAACAAAAAATCAAAGGCAAATGCGTGGACTGTGCCGTGCACTGACGGAAACCAAAATCATTGGTTATTCTTTAAATTGTATGCTCGTAAAGCTAATTATCGTAAATACGTAGTAAAAGAAAAAAAATTATCTCATTAACGTTTCTTTAGTTCTAGTTCCAAAGGTAATTTTAATTGTATTTAGCGCGATTATGACGCTCTAGTCAATAAAATTACGAATTAATGAAAGGGGAGATTTAATAGTTTTATTCGCATTTAATGCGATCTGTTCTCGGAGTTTTTATAAGATTCTAACACCGCGAAAAGAGATTATGTATGTCGCCCGTTGTCATCAATTTTGTATTAACACACGAACGTTTCTGCAGATTTCGATTTGCGATTTCTTCTCAGCATTTTCTCATTTGCCTTTGACGTGCGAGTGACTCGTCATTTGTAAACTACCTCGATTACTTGCAAAGCAATATATTTACGCTGTACTTCGTTTTAGCGATCCCGCCTCGTGGAAGGGAGACGATCGCGAGCGCTGATGCATCGAGTGCACTCCCCCTTTTATAATCTCGTTTTATTATTGAAAAATAATTACAAATTAAAATTTATTCGAACAGAATTTGTCTAAACTTTCTCTTCATCACGCTTCGCAAAACTTCATTGAAATATTTTAAAGGAAGGGAAGAAGGGATTCGTCATTTTTACCAAACACTGTAAATACTTTGTGCACCAGCGCGATCGTTGATCGCCACACAGTATCGTTTACGAAACTATTTAATTAGTTACCATCTATAAGGAATGAATAGAAAAGTATTTGTCGAACAGCGATTTGTTGGTCGTAAGTCTGCGTTCAGACTAAAGATTCACCGAAGATGAATAATATCGGTTTCAAAGCTCCGATATAAACATCGATCCTGACGCATGATCCTTGGGCCAAGTCTGTGTTTCGCAAGCTTAATCCTTACCAAAGTTAAATACGAGAAGCATGTTTTCCCACTTCTATTCGCGCGTTTAACATTTACATGAACATCTTTATACGCTCATGTAGAGTAATTTTTTTAGAGGCGAGTACAGATTGTGTGATTTGTACTCTCGATTAAAAAATATTAATTAATATATTAATTTATCTTTTTCGCTGCGACGCATTTAATGAACACTAAGTGTCACGCCGCTTTCGTATCTTTGAAAACTTTGAGGACGAAAAAAAAGTAAAATTGAAATTTGTTTACCAAGAAACGAGACTTTGAATTTGCACAGTATAATAAATATATGTAATTAACATTTAACCAATTTTTGAAATATAACAATTTCCCTAATTTTGAGATAATTATGTATTCTAATGCGTGAATATTATTTAACTTATGCATGTGTGTAACAAGGCTTGTCTTGTTGCATGTTTCTAATTTCTACGCTTTCTTCACACAAAACTAAATACACATGTTTTTTTTAAAAAGCGAATAAATGAAAGAAGTAAATTAAGAAGTGTAGAAACACGTGCGTCACGAATAAAAAGAATAAACCGAATAATTTATTGTCTGGGACTCGTATAAATATTTTAAATCGCGTCATGGCGAAAGAGCTAAAGTAATTTACAAGAATCGAGCATAAACAGTAGAGTTAATGTAAATGCCTTTGCGCTGTTACTTTCACCCATAGCACCAATTAATCGCGATTTATGCGATAAAAAACTAGGAAAACGATTATCTATTATCATTACGGGATCTAGAATAGATTCCGCGTACTGTTATTTAGCGTTTGCTTTGCCCCAGCGAGACTCTGGAAATTGTCATTCCGTTCAATTGAATACTGAAACGAAACCTGAATTGGACGCAAAAGAGAGATAAGAGAAACATGTACGATAATGCGTATATAGGACGATTATTAAGTTGCAAGAGTCTCATTGAAGAGACGCGTCATTAACAAATTAATTGACGATTTCGACGGCACGTTAATAATAATGCTAGATAAGATTTTCGAAGATGAAGAGAGGCCAGATTCGGAACCTCTTCTCTCGCTGATGTGACATTATAGTATTGGAACTTGATTGGATGATAGATGTTAGCGAATAAAGAGAACATTTTTGCGCTTATAGACGAGATGTATAGGACGAGTACATATAAATGTAAGGAATTATGCAGGATTATTAACGTGTTTACTGTCCACACATACGAACGTTCCTACGAATATATGTCGTATGGACGCATACGATTTCATGGACGTATCGCTCTGATAATAATGTTACCTATACGTTTATGATCACGTATGTATTATTATGCAATCTCTGAAATAAAAACCTTTTTTAGCCAAAATCAAGAGTGAAAATGTGTTTAATTGGTGATTCGAATAGTCGATCAGGATGCAGGCAGCGAGAATGTATGCAGAAAGCTGAAATAGATGGACAGTAAATGTGTTAAAGATGCACTGTGTGCGATGGCGAGAGAAAAAAATGCTGTCGAGACTTTAAAAAAATGAAATCAATGTAAGATTAACACGCAGATGTCGCCGGAAAATCTCCATCACACTTCTGGGACGTTTTTCAAACGTCTCTTGGACGATTTTTGGACTTCTGTGTTGTTTAAGATGTTAAAGTAAGAGAGTACGTTGACAGGCACCGATTTCCGGAGAAAAATATATTATAATAGACAAGACAAGATTTTTTTAAAGCGAGACAGATTTTAAGAAAAAACTTTAAAAAAATTTGACTAATCGGGAGATATTAGATGAAACCGATTTATTTTTATCGCGAAATAACATTGTCCTCAAAATTATTTACGTTACGCATATTCAATCCAATTTTTATAATCTCGATATTTTTCTTTTTTTATAAACGCGTCGACATAATTAAAAACGTTTGCGCTTGCAAGTGCATCTGGATTCTTTTCGTTATTTTATCAAATTATCAGCTGTTTCGCGTTTATATATATATATATATATATAATATATATATATATAATTAAATAATGTTACCAGAGATGAATAAACTATGAGGCTAATGTTTTCGAGATTTTTTTGTATTTTGAGAACAAGACGACGAAACGCGAACAATACAAAACTCCAAAAGACGTCCGGAAACGTCTGAAGGACGTGTAAAAAAACCACTAGGATTTTAAATGTATCTCGAAATATTAGGATTTAATAGATCCGACAATATATATTAAGATCGCAGGAATTATCGGTCCTTTAGACGTCTTACCGAGGATGCCTTCTAGTTCCGTGTTGTTTGGTAGACGAGAATAAAAACGGGAGACAGATTTGTCTCGTTTGAGATGCGCGCGTGACCGGAAGTCCCCCGTCAAAAAAATAAATAAAAAAAAAAAAAGAACAGAAGCGCTCAGGTCGTCCCGCGCGCTACATATCCGTTAAAAAAATAGCGCATTTATGCAGGCATTTTTCATTTTAAACTCGTCTTATCGAGCTCGTAAACAACTCGCCAACCGATCCTGCGACCCTTCTCGCCGCCGACCCGCGCGATTATTTATGGTCCCTCGCAGACTCTCTCTTTCGATATACATATTATATATATATATATATATATACATATAAATATAATATAAGTATAATTATTAAGATTGTGTATATTCTTAATTAGATGCAACGTGTTGGCGTGCGCGCGCGGTCGCTAGGTGATTTCAAATAAAAAGAAAAATGCACACATACACACACACACACACACACATATGCACGTAAATACATACATATACACACGGGGGGTTGCGGGCGACGGTTTGCAAACTTTCGCGGGGAGCTTTCACTTACGAAAAGGACGATATACGAGTACTCGCACGTGTGTCCTGCGTGTTTACGCAGTAAGGAGACCTCTGCCGCCTGTGGAATCTTTTGTGTATTATTTCTAACAGAATGTAATAAAGTAAAGTTTAAAACAAATATATGCGATCACTTCGCCTCCTCTTTTCTTCGCGAATTTTTTTTTTTTTTTCATACAAATACAGGGTGTCCCATTTTAATGTTCCACATCAAATAAGTTTTTTATTTTTGATTGTAGAAAAAAATGTTTCAGACAAAAGTTGTATGTAAAAATGTTTCATTATAGTGTTTTGAAAAGCTCTCAATGTCAGCTACAAGAATATGTAATGAAAAGTAGGTGGTTCCATTTAAGAAATTAAAGGTGACCTTTACATGACCCTCAAGCAACTATTCAAGGTCAAACTAATGGCACCACCTTATGTCCTCCTCGAAACCATACAATTTTTGTCTGAAACATTTTTTTCTACAATCAAAAATAAAAAACTTATTTGGGGTGGGACATTAAAATAGGGCATCCTGTATAGCATGTTCATAAATATCAAAATAATAATATAACATTTCAAGCATTAATACAAGACCATATGAGACTGTAAATCTCTATTTTTATGATATTACAAGTGACAAGTTGTAATTGGAAATAAATAAAATAATTGAACAGTATGTTCATGAACTGGGAAACACAAACGTAATATTAGTTATTTTGATATACGAACGTAATATTAGATTCATTGTAGTTGATAATCTATCATAAAAAATGTGTGTTACGAGATTTATCGGAATTACTTTATCAGAATACTACTGTAATTAAAAGTTTGCTGAACAGTCATAATTAAAAGTTTCTTAAAGCTTATCAATTTTTATCAATTTCTTCTTTAAAAAGGAAAAATAATCGAGATACCTATACTTATATTAGTGCGCATAATTCGCAGATAGAGAAATATTATATCAAGTATAAACTGTTTTATCTTGGTCACACGATTGAATTGCAACTGTTATCTGCAGTAAAAAGTCATTCGAGAACAGTCAGTCATCTGTTAAAGATCGTGGTGAAGAGTGAATTATTTGGTTGGTAAGTTTCTTTGATTTTTTTTTATATTTCTCGCGATTTTTTAACACGATTAATTCGATAAATTTTTTTATTTGCGAATATTACTCGATACGTATCGATCAAATATTATATAGTTCGCTGAATGTTGCGTTCTCATAAAATTGGAACTGCAATTAAACAAAAATGATATTAAATGCAATTATGATAATAATAATATACTATAAAATTAAGTATCTCGAGCACATGCTATATTGCAACACGACACTCTATTTACTATCGTGCTATAAAATATCAATCTATTGATAACTATAATAACTTTTCTTGCACGAGATTTCTAAAACGCGCGATTATATCGATATATATTATAAACCGTGAATATGTGCATATATAGTATGTGTATATATAGTATAGTATATGTAATATATTTTTTATCATATTAGAAATTTCTCTGTACTTTATCTCAGAAATATATGAATACACAGAAAATTTTATAATACAAATTACACGAAAAATTTTTTTATAACGTTATCATAAAGCTGGAATATGACATTAAGATATGAAAATTATAATTTGTGCATTTATTTTATTATTTGTTAATAATTATGCATTTGCGTGTGTATCAAAATATGCATTTGTAAAATATAATATGTATATAATATTACTAAATAAAAATATTGTAATTTTTCTTATACGTTAATATTCTTCAACTAAAAAAGAATTAAAATATATACTTTGTGTAATTTTTAGTATATTTTCTCTGTGTATATTTGAACCTATTATATTTTTACGATTCTGAAACATTACCATAATATTGCTGCATCTTGTCAAAATTTTACAATTTTGTTTCTGTAATATCTTTATATAATATTAAATCGTAATTCATAATATAACTGAAAGATTCTTATATGCATGGAGTAATAAGATCATTCATTAAGCTATATTTGTGTGTAAATTTTCAAAAGTAAAATACACGAAAAAATAAAAAGTAATTGAATTTGTTATTAAAATTTGACATTCTTTCATACATAAGAGATATAATTTTATAAGTAAAAGATATATCTTATATAATCTTTAACATAATTATAATTAACACGTATTTATTGGTTCCTCTTTTATAATTATTATATTTATGCATGTCCGTTATGCGACATTATTGTATGTTTGCAGCAATATTATGCATTATTATTTTTTCTACTATTATATTATAAAATCAATGCTTTTCTTTCTATTTTTCTCTCTCGACAAATATCAATGATCTTGTCTGTATTCAAAAATTACTTCTAAAATTATCAAATTATAAGACAAAAATATAGATTCATAATTTTTTTACGTTTTATTTTTTTTCAAGACAAAATATAATTACTTTTTCACAGATTGCAACTGATATTAATATCATTTTATTCCGATAAAATGGCAACGTATGTGTGTGTCGAGGACTACGAAAAATATGCTGTGGAACATTTGCCTCCTTCTGTGAGAGATTATTACAAAAGCGGCGCCGGAGAAGGATATAGTGTCAAATGGAATAGAGAGGCTTTCAAAAAGTATAAAGTTAAAAATAGAACAATTTTTCTCAATTTTTAGAAAAATTTTTCTCGAGAGAGAAATAAAAGAGATCATTGCAAACTCTTGAGAAAATATTTAAAAAATTATTTTCTACATGTACACAATCTATCTAGATATTTATATTGCATATAATTTCTCAAATAACAATTTACTCTTTAAAGAGAATATTTTTAAACATGCAATTCTTATGTTTAAATTGAATGATTATTCAATTTTTAATTAATCTTAATTTAATAAATTTATCTCAACTCACTCTTTTTCTCGCAGTTACAGGATACGTCCTAGATTTTTACGAGATGTGTCCAAAAGGGATTTAAGCGCAACAGTATTGGGACACAAAGTTTCGATGCCCTTAGGAGTTGCACCTACCGCGATGCAACGTATGGCGCATCCTGATGGAGAATGTGCTAATGCAAGGGGTAAGTAGATATTTTGTTGAAATACTTGTTGAATATCAGCATAAGATTGATTGATTGCAGTTATAACTTTATTGCGTATCTCCTTAATCTTATGTAAGTACCATCATCAGATTGGTACTTACATTCATCGTAAAATATATATAAGAGTTTAATACAAACCTTTTTTTTTTATTAAAATCATATATAAATATGCTATAAAAAATAGTCACAAAAATGAAAGATTAGCCCAAATACACCAACGATCACAGACAGTTAACGATATCTCTTTTATACAACATCCATTTACCACTTTACATTCGTTCAACGATCCATGCTAATACATAAACAAGTACATATAATATATTGATATATAAATATAAAAAAATTAAACATATTTTAAATGCTCTTGTTTATTTCTAACGCAATCTCTATGCTCCATCTAATATTTTGATCAGTTTTAAGTATATTGTAGAATAACTTTCAATATAACAATCACGATTTTCTATACGCATGTTTCATTAGAAAAGAATTTTTTTTTGTGAGACAATAAAATGTATCGGTTTCACTATTCAATGGAAAATATTTTAAAGAAAATAGATATAACTAATGTTATACGTTTTATTTTATACCTTGTACGTAATATCTTTTTATTGTAAAAAGAAATATTTCGTATTTGATGTTATTCTTCAATTTACTTGATACATTATGAGGAAGCAATTTTTTATACTTTTTGGCTAAAAATAATCTAATTAGATAAAAAAATAGTTCATAATACTTGTTCATACAGACTATAATATATGTATATTATACAGGATGATTGGAATCACCCTGTATAGAATGTAAAGAATTATATATGATTATTATACATGAGAGTTACACGAAGTATTATTACAAGCTATTTTTCCGAAAACTATCAAATAGAGCAAAAAGAATTTTTCTTTTTAATGTTATATGATTTAGTACAATTTTTTGTGTGATATATAGGCCGCTATTCTTTCTCTCCCTTTCTACTATTAAAGAGAAATGTAAAACATTTAAAAAAAGGAAGACTTACCTTTCTCTGTTCTCCTTAGAGATCTCGATTGCACATTTTATATATCACACACATATAAATTCTAGAAAACTTTAACAGATAAAAGAAACAAAATTTTGTTATACTTTTCATAATTTTTGAGAAAATAATGTGCGATAATTTGTAACTTATTCGCTATAAAAATTTTCGGCTTCTTTTAGTAGACTGTTTAAAATTTTGTTAATTTTGCTTCAATAACTTATACTATAATATAAATGAAATATATCAGTCCCCTGCTTAATGAGCATTTTTTTGAAAGAATGTAACGTATATTATAAGATTACTTTGAGCGATTGTTTTAAAATGAAAAACTTAAATGTGTTAAGATTATTATGATTCTTAATAAGTAGTAAAGTATTATATTTTTGCATATGTAATGTAAGGCACGATATAGCGCTTATGCGATATGTATAAGTCGATATATGAAAAAAATGCTTATCTAATCTAATATATCTAAAGGAACGAAAATCTCGCTTTACGCTACGTGCAAAATTACTCTGATTTGATGATTCTTGCCCATAATCGATCATCCATACAAGCGCAATATGTCGTTCAAGTTGAAATTTGTGATGACTAGCAATAAAGGGATCGTTCTCCAAGTAGCAAACGCTTGCTACTTGGATCCTTTCTGTATAAATAGGAATCCAGCCTACCTGTCTAAGAGAATGGCAGTACAAGGGAAAGAAGAAATTCACTTGAGCTTGGGTCCAATGTTCTCCCAATTATTAATGGCCTTCATGTTAACCTGCTCTATCCGCCACTTTTGAGTAGGCGACGATTTATCGCAAGCAGTCACGAACACCCTCTTGCTGCCCGGATCGGTGTCCAGGCATCTGGACGAATAACCGTGCTGCAACCACTGCTTCTCGATGTCGTAGCGCCACAATTGATTACCCTGCTTCCCGTGACAAGGATACAGGCTCACAGGCGCTTTCTCCTCGCCTCTGGACACGTCCAAGCAGTCTGTGCGATCCTTCGGTCTGATATCCTTGTGCCACGTCAGTCGGAATTCCTGCTCACCCGACACTTTCGGGTCGTCCTTCATGCAAGTATCCACCATGATGAGCTCGTCTCTCTTACGCTTTTTGGAATCCAAACATAACTCGGTCGCGCCCATGTTTCTAATCTCTCCGTAGGCGAAGTCGTCCGGCTCAACGGGCGGGTAAACCTCCACGAGATCGAAGGCTATGTTCTCGATGAACCAGTGGAACGGTTTACAATGTAATTTCACGCGCAGGGCCTTCTGCTCCGATAAATCTCCCGAATCCAGCGCCCGCAAATGCGGCCGTCTATTGTAGATGTATTCCGCGTATTCGTCCATCCACACCTCAGCGACCCTCTTGTAGTTCTTTCCTAAGAAGTCGCCGCGGCCGGGATTAGGGAACGGCGGAAACTTGCGATAAATGTGGCCGACTCTAGAGCACGGCGCGTCGTACATTTGTCCGCCGCACTGCCAGATCTTGAAGGATAGTTCGTACTGTTCGCCGCCCCATATATCCAAGCCCGGATCGTAACCGCCCAACTCCCAGAAGAACTTGGCACTGATGGCGAACAGACCACCCGCCATTATGGGACTTTTGAAGGGTTCCGCGGGTCTCTTCAGATCCTCTGAAAGCAGCGGAAGTCGTTTGTAATACAGCTCCCAATCGAATGCTCCTCGAGCACCTTCGTCCTGCGCCCTGTACTCGAAAGTTTCGTAAGCTATCACATCGATGAACGGACAAACGCAGGTTTTGTAATCCTGCGCGATGGGCTCCAACAATGGCGGTAGCCAATTAACGTTAGCCTCGCTGTGCGAGTCCAGGAATACGAGAACCTTCGCTCTGGCCGCCTTTGCGCCCGCCAATCGGCCTCTGATTAATCCCGAACGTTTTGTTAATCGTACAATCGACACTTTTGGCAAGTGTTGCATAATATAGTCGTCTAATTTCTTCTTCAACTCCACTTTCGTGCTGGCATCGTCAACCAATATAATTTCCTCCAGGAGAGAGGGCGGCGAGCGATTAATTACGCTCCAGCAAGTTCGTAGCAACGTGGTGAAGTGCTCGTTGTGGAAGGATACTATCACAGAGACCGGATCTAAGTTTTTTAGGTATTTCTTTTTCCTACAATCTGGATGGCGAATGTCAGGCACTGAACGATTCACCGAGATCTCATCGCTGAGAGCAGCATTGAATCCATTTACTTGATACAATTTTTCCTTCCTCGTATCGAGGGATGGGGAAAGGAATGCTGGTCTTCCGTGTTCTCCCATTCCAGTTCGCTCTTCTTCCTTTTTAATCTTCTCATAGTCATGCCAGTCGATTTTGTCCTGTGAAACATGTAAAAATCGAATTAGAAATAATTAGAAATAAAATATAAGATCGCTATTATTATATGTATAACGGGCTAATTTTCTTTAATTAAAATTTGCGCGTTTATATAAATTTCGAAATATATATATATATATATATATATATATTTTTTTTAATAATTCTCAACTTTTTTTTCATATTTAAAAATATTGCAATAGCTGAAAAAAATGACATGTGATCTATATTATGAGTATGTTAGACATCAGAAAATGAAATTTTTATCATCATAAAAAAAAACAAAATAATCGTCTTGGGGGTGCGTGATTATCTTCGTACATTCCTGGCTACTAGGAATGCAACAAAAACTCGTTTGCTAACTGTTGTGAAACGTGAATTTCCAAAGTATATATTATCTTTATAATCTTTTATCTTTATATCTTTGTAATCGGCATACAATACCGATTTATTTCTGACGCAAGAATAAAATATAAAATTTATCGACATTAATCTAAAACATGATAATTGATAATAAGCTATTGATAAGTTATATTTTCTTTTTCTACATCTGACAAATTAAAACCAATTAAAGTTACATATCAGTTTTAATTCCTCAATTGACAATTAATGTGAAATTTTATTCGTAATTTCTTTAAAAATTAAATTCAACAAAATATTAATATTTTTATACTCGCGGATAAATCGGTGCAACATATGTCAGAATTGACATCTGAATGAGAAATTACGATGGACTTCGTTGAATTCCACCTGTATCCCGTACCTGATCCAGATGTTCATCGTTTCCTCGACTGCTCCTCGGACCGACCGCGGCTGCCAAAACGTCAATTGGCGTCGAAGTCTGACGGCTAGGTGGTGACCGCATATAACGGAACACCACGATGGTCAGGAAGACCGTGAGCACCGCCAGGAGGAGGAATTTGATTAGGCTGATCACGTTTCGTCTCATCTTCGCCAGAGAATCATGCCGCGGGCCGGTCTCATCACGAGGACTTAACCTCGACTCCTTGCCTTTCCTCGCGTACGTGGCGAACGACCTTGCTGCGACGTGACGTCATTTATCCGCTCGGCAACCGAAATCTCCTCTTCGTTGACTCTCCCTCGTTGTAGCGTCTCGCGGATGCTGGATTTTGATAAGGAGAATTAGCGTGATACACACAAGTGACACAAACGATAAATCAAACGACACGCGCAACTGCCACGCGATGACTGACGCGGATCGGAGATCGGAAACGGTGTCAGCCTGTCAGCCCGGTTTTTTCACGTATGCGCCCTGGCGGTAAAATTTTGAAAAATTATTTAAAAGTTTATTCAACGCGCGTGAAGTACTTATTGTATTTATTTTAATATATATTTTCAACTCTTTTATAACTTAAATTGTTCTTTTATTAAGAATTATTTAATGTTTTTGACAATTGATTATTTAATTAATAAAAGATATATTACATGCGAATAACCAATTGTAAAATGTTAAATAATTCTTGTAAAACTATATGTATAATTTATATATTTATCTTATTTTATTTTATTACTTATTTGGTTTCTGGTTTTAAAATTAAATTTGTCATAATCAATAATTGTGGAAGTAAAATAAGATAAAAAATATTACAGGTAAATAATTATGAAATGTTAAATTATATATATGTAGATTCAATTATAGGATTTTTTTAATCGAAATGAACGCTGTAATTGCACGGACAAAAAGACTAGAAGATTATTTTTTTTTAATTTAAAATTTAAGATGTTCTTCAATAATTCATATATATATATTCTCTAACATTATATTTATACTTTTGATAATTAATATTTGAGAATATTAAAAATTGACAAAAAATGATAAAAATTGATTGATAATTATTCCAAGTTTCTAAACTTCTGATATTTCTATACAAAATGCATATATATAAATAAAATAATTGTACGATAAAAATAGAATATAGATATACTATAGAATATAAATATGTAAGAAAACACATAAATATATATATAATATAAAAAACACATAATTGCTTTTCTATTAGGAAGAAATCACCTAACATGTGTTACGAATAATGCATGTGATAATCATTGTGCATGTTGCATATTGCTCGCGTGATGTAATCATATAGGTGAAATCGGTTGGATAACTAAAATTAGTTTGCAATTAACGCAGTACAATTTTGCAATATAGCGTTACGAAAAAAAGAGAAATTAAATTAATAAATAAAATTAAATAAATCTACAATAATTAAAATTCTACAAGATAACAAACAAATGCGAATGAATTTAATCAATTTAGTTTTTATCCATTTTTAGATTATTCAAACTATTCTCACACCAATATGTTTACATCGTTTTATCGATTTGCAGCCGCTCAGGCAGCAGGAACGATTTTTATTCTTCCGACGATATCAACAAGTAGCATAGAGGAAGTGGCGAAAGCTGCTCCGGATGGTATAAAATGGTTCCAGCTCTTCATTTATAACGACAAAAATGTTACTTTGAATTTGATAAGACGCGTCGAACATGCTGGCTTTAAAGCACTGGTTCTTACTGTTGATACTCCGCTCTCCGGTGATAGACGTGCTGATGTGAAAAATAAATTCGCGTTACCGAGTCACTTGAGGTATTTCCTGATCTTAGATAGAATCAAATGTAAATAAATATCTAAAAAAATGCAAAAATACATAATTATACATAAATTATAAGTTATAAAATGAACTTTACTAGTAACTCTAAAAGTACAAATAAAGCAATTAATGTATATATGTATGTATGGACGCATCAAACTATTTTGTCAAAAATTAAATTATATTGTTAATTCAGTATCATAAAAAGACTAGATAATATGATTTTAACTTTGTTTCACAAATATTTGAAGCAAAAAAGATTGTCAATTTCTAATTATATATACTTTAATTTGAAAATTATTATAAGCACACAAAAAGGTATAATATTTATATGTACACATTTTTTAGATTTGCAAATTTTGAAGGCGATTTAGCACAAATAAATAGCGCAAAAACCAGCTCTGCTCTTATTGAATACGTGAATACATTAATATTTAATCCATCCTTGTCCTGGAGCGATGTCAAATGGCTTAAAAGGTATCCATATCACTGTTGATAAAATTTTCTTATCTTGACATATTAAATCTCTTCATATATTTAATGCATTGAGCAAATCAAATAGTATTCTAGTCGACTTGTTGTAGATCTACAACGCTACCAATAGTTCTTAAAGGAATTTTAACGGCAGCAGAAGATGCACGTTTGGCCGTGGAAAATGGAGAGTAGTCGATGGCATTATTGTTTCAAATCATGGTGCACGTCAAATAGACAGCGTTCCAGCAACGGTCAGTTCATAATTCTTGCTGAAAAAAATTTATTGAATTTTATGAGGAGTTTGTTAAACAATCAAATTAAAAATAATATAATATAATACACAAAGCAAGTCATTAAATAATCACATTTGCAGATTGAAGTTTTGCCGGAAATAAGCAAAGCTGTGGAAATCAAATTGAAGTCTACATGGATGGTGGGGTGACTCAAGGCATCGACGTATTAAAAGCCTTGGCATTGGGCGCAAAAATGGTATGACGACTTTATCGAATGGCAGATTACAACAATTATGTAAAAATATTTGAACAGTTTCTGAATCGTATTTTTCAAATATGATTTCTTTTAATTACTAAGAGAATTTCTTATTTGTACCTTTACATTCATCAATTGACTGTGCCCTTTTTTTCTCAGGTCTTCTTTGGTCGACCGATGCTTTGGGGTTGGCGTATGGTGGCGAAAAAGGTGCCAGCGAGGTTCTTGAACTTATGAGAAGAGAAATTGATCTAGCATTCGCATTAACTGGCAAGTTGCAATTTTTAACATCTCTCAATTTGTAATTTTGCGTTATCTTTTAATTTAATGAATTGTTTGTCAACGTTTTTCCAGGCTGTGCATCCCTAAAAGACATTACAAGAGATATGGTAATCATGCGTCATATTATAGTCGTTTATGAAAAAAGTTTTGCTTATAATGTAATATTAAAATATACAATACTATGATATTTTTATCTTATCTATTTTCTTAACATATTTGTATTTAAAATATGATGTACTATAATGCATTATATATATAGATATATATAATATATATATAATATATATATATATATATAGATATATCTACCATATCATATATATATGTATATATATAGTTGCTTTTGTAAAATATAGTTGGTTATATTTTTTTTCTAAACTATTTTATCTAATTGATAAGAATAAATAAATTATATTACTATCATGTTATACACATATATAAATGTCAAATATCATAATAAAAAAGAATTAATATTAGTTATGCAACAAATTTATTGTATAGAAGTAAAATATAATTACCTTAATTATACCTAAATATTAAGAGTAACTCTGTTATTCATTATTACGTATTTCTTAAATCCTGAATCAATCCTAATAATTGCATACGCTTTTTTGAGACCATTTCTGTAACTAGACTGCAATCACAATCTCTTATTTTCAAACCTTTCAGAATATATCTCGATATTAAATCTGCTAAACATAAGACATATAAACCACAATCATAGCCATTATTTTGTTGTGGACAATCCATTTCACTGTATCTTCTTTCTTGCTTATCAAGAAAATATTTGATTACATCCTTAGCAAATTTTTCTGCAATAGCTCTGTAATACTGTTTGATGAATCATAATGATAACACATCTCGTCTAAACGAGAGAATATCAGCAAACTCCAATGCGAGCCACCTGGTTCATTTCTTCGCAATCATTCAAAGGAAAAAATATAAAGTCATAACTTGTTGCTTCAATAGGATCAAGAAAATATTGTATTGCGAAGGGGCTTGCATCTTCAATAACTGAGTTACTCCTGGATCAATAAATAATAACTGTCTCTTATTATTCTTCTTATATTGTTGATCCAAATATTCGAAATAAAATCCTATTACGATATCGTTGAGCCATGTATCATTTTTCTCCAACAACGCAGCATCCGATGATCTCACCAAATAATTATGATAACTCAACACAACATCATTGTCTTCCTCTAGATTCACCATAAAATCAGCGCTTAAGTGCTTCGAAAAATTCAGGCAAAATCGGCATAATACTGAAATCCAACAACAAATATAAATATTTATTTAATGGGATATAGTTATAGAAAGTAAATTTGCATTAAATACTTCAAGATAAGCATACATTAAGATGAACGAATGAATTACTGAGGAACAGAAAAGATTATAAATGTCTGTTTCTTAATTTTTTCTTGTCGTCTGTTTCTTTTAGGACACTCTTCTATATCACTTTGTCTCTCCGTCTTTTTTTAATCTTCTGTTTTATTTATTTTCTTTTCCTGTAATAATGTATTATCAAATATAACAGCATGTTAGAAATCTGTTGTGCACTCAATGTCTTATGAATGAATTTACATTTAAGATATGCATACACTGCATATAAATATCGTATCTCGATATTTATACACATATCATGAAATTTAAACATTTAAAATTATATTTTTATCAATTTAATTTTTTTAATACATATATTATTATTTACTTTAATTTGATCCTTAAGTCATGATGCATGAATATTTAGATTAGAGACCTATAAATAAGAGATGCACCAACTCCGAACAGTTTTTGATTGGCTCTTGGAATCACGTGGCTTTTCCGCCATCTTCTAGTCATTGCAAGCGCGCGTCGACACAATTATTATAGGTCTCTATTCTGCCCGTGAAAAACGCTATAAAATATACGATTGGATTGATGGTTAAATATAAAAAACATACCACTTTTTCATTTATTTATTTAAAATTTTTTGAAAAATTGATAATTTTATAATAAAGTTCAAATTTTCACTTTTTTTTACATAAAGTAACAATTTTTAAAAGTTAGATAGATATATGTCATATTTATTAAAAAATGTAAGTATTAAAATATATGTATAGAATAAAATTTAAACATATATACAATAAGTTTCTTTATATATATATATATTATATATATATACAGAGGTTGGACAAAATAATATGAACACCTGACATATACACAATATTTATTTATTAATAAGGTGTTGGGCCACCATTTGCTTGTAGAACAGCTGCAATTCTTCGCGGAATAGATTTGTAGAGTGTCTGAATAGTTTCCACGGAATGTTGTCCCATTCTTCTACCAAAACATCCGCCAATTGCTTCAATGATGTTGGAGATGGAAATCTGTTCCTTATTCTCTGCCTCTAAAACTCCCCACAACGGTTCAATTATGTTGAGGTCTGGCGATTGTGCTGGCCAGGGAAGATGTTTGATGATATTCTGATGCTCCTCAAACCAAGACTGAACTTTTTGGCTGTGTGTATGGGCGCATTATCATCCTGGATATGGCATGGCAGTGTTTGGCAGCAGTATGCTAGTCATAGTAAGAACTTCATCATTGAGGATGTCGAGATATTCATTCGCAGTAATCCGGCTAGTAATGTGAATGAGAGGACCAGCTGAATACCACGATATAGCCGCCCAAATCATAACGGAACCTCCCCATGCTTGACTGTAGGAAGCAGGCAGTCCGGATCGTAGGCTTATTTTGGGGTTCTCCATACATAAACCCGGCCGTCGTTAGTAGGAAACAATGTGAACGATGATTCATCGGACCATACTACATTTTTCTAATCATCAAGTGTCCAGGTTTTATGAGGCACCACTTCTTTCGCAGCGTTGGCTTCCGTTATAAGGGGTTTTGCAATTGCAGCCCTTCCATGAATGTTAGCTTTGTGGAGTTCCCGCCGTACTGTTTTTGTCGAAACAGTATTACTCAGGTGAGCGTTGAGTTCTGCTGTCACTTTTGCCGCGGTAGTTTTATGTTGTCTGGCCACAATCCTTTTTAATGTTCGTCGGTCTCTGTCAGTTAACTTTGGATTTCGTCCACTATTCCTCTTCGCCGATGATGTTTTACCATGTTTTGTGTATGCTGTCATTACTGTGGATACTGTCGCTCGTGAGACGTTAAACAGTTCAGCTGTTTTCGTCACAGACGCTCCCGCTAACCGAGCACCAACGATTTGCCCTCTTTCGAAGTCTGAGAGATCACGCATTTCACCGTCGCAGAACAAAGCGTATAATACACTGAAATATAATCTACAAGACTTGCCACGTAAACTGTGCATTACATACGCATCGAATTATTTACACGGAAAGCAGTGTTGTCACATGCAACAAACTATACTATATTGCATGGTGTTCATATTATTTTGTCTAACCCTGTATATATATATATATATGTATGTTTAAAAAATGTGTGTGTTTATAAAATATCTCCTTTATAAGTATATCTCCTATTTTTTATATATACGATAAATTTGCAATGCCATTTTTCTCATTCTACAACTACATATGATTCTCTTTCTAAAAATAATTAATAAAAATTAAATGTTACTTATATGTGCATTTATCTTTCTTTGATAACACAAATAACAAGAATAAAATATAATACAAAGCAAGATTGCAATTGTGATGCTTACTTGATATTTTTGACAAAGAAACTAAAATATTTAAAATATTTATCACTATTTTATCATGGTTCAATAGTAAGATATACACCATCTTTGACTGAAAGTGTAATGTATATATGTTATTATTATTTACAATATAATTAATATATACATTATGTATAACTATAAAATAAAAATAAACTATATTAAATATATAAAGAGATATATATATATATATATATATATATATATATATATATATCTATCTAGTTTTACATTTTCAACAAAAATCATATATAACATTTTCTGCATTTGTGCAAGAAATAAATGTGAAATTGAAGATTTTCTCATATCATAATTCATATTTAATAAATTAGAAAATGTCTCACATTTTGTCATATTATTTTATGAATAATTTTAATTACTTAATATAATTATGCTATATAATAATTATTCGTCCAAAAAGAGCAATATATTTATATTTTATAAAGTCTTTATCTACCTACATCATCTCCTTTTTTCTTTGTTCTTTTTTGTCTTATTATTATATTGTAAGGCTAGGCAAAAATGCAGATTAATATCAAAATTAAATATCTTTTTCATATATATTTATATAAGTATGAGAGATGCTTTGATATAAGATGCTTTCAAGGTGTACTAATATATAAAACTGATTTCTGTATAAGTTTATAATTAATGTAATTATAATACATATAAATCATTGATCAAATTACTTTGCTAATATAATTGTTCAACATGAATATATGTAAGAATTACTCGAAAATATATAAAAATAATGAGAGATTACTAGATTTTTTATCAAGATATTATCTATAAAAAATTTTATAGAAATTATAAATTTTGGTAGAAATTATCGAGTCTTTTAATTATTAATTTGCAGATCACATGGATAATGTTCTGCCAACATCTTGTTTGGTACATAATAACAATTTTCAAATTTACAAAAATATCGACCAATTTCTTTATGAGTAATCCAACTCGGTATAGATGTCTTCTTTATAGCATCTATATCAAAAGAAACATTTTATGCAGATTTTTATATGTAGATGAGATCATAACATAAATATATAATTATACATTATACAATTTATACACTATACAATTTATAATATAGAAATATATTCATAAGATTTATAAGATGCTTCTAATATTTTCTTATACCTTCAATGACGTAATATGCTTCATTGTTTTCACAAAAAACTTTGTAAAATGGTTGTAATAGAGTATCGGAGTCATTATATAAGGATCTGCATTGTGTCCATTCTATATCTACAAGTGCGTTAAATACTTCGTCCCATCCAATAATTACGCCTGTTAAGGAACGAGTTCTGATTTTATCATAACATGTTACAATCATTCCAACTGCAAACATCATCTCCTTTTTTCTTTGTTTTCTTTTTGTCTTATTATATTGTAAGGCTAGGCAAAAATGCAGATTAATATCAAAATTAAGTTTATTATTAATGTGATTATAATACATATAAATCGTTGATCAAATTACTTTGCTAATATATTTGTTCAACATAAATATATGTAAGAATTACTCGCAAATATATAAAAATAATGATTAAACTCTAGATTACATATCTCTTTGTAAAATTAATATTAATATTATAAATATTAATAATATGATTATCATAATTATAATATTACCAGATGTTTTGTATAATTCCTAAATTTATTCAACATCATTTCGGCGCGTCTTACTTCTGCACATCTACTGTTCTTAGAATTATTCTGCAAATAGATATAAAGAGAAGATTCTTAATAAATCAAAGAATAAAAAAATTTATGATTCTATCTATATATGAAAAAAATTAATTTATATACCTGTATTTCAATCAATTTAACCATGAGATCTGACAAATCCATGTGATGCTGTATATAGTAGCGACCTAACTGTGCAATTGTATCTATGTTATCTGGTTCTATCAGATGCTGGAGTTCTAATAATGAACGTAATTCTGTCCTTTTGTCACGGCTTACCATTTGCAAATAATTGATCATCCTCAACATTATCTTAAAATATAAAGAATAAAATAAAATATAAATCTTAAAATATAAAATATAAAGTTAAGATTTACAATAGATAAGAAATATTTTTCTAATTGTCTATGAAATGTTTTATTGACCCATCATATATTTGCTAATATCTATGCAACTGATTATTTATTATGTTTACTAACTATTGAAAAGCTGTCATATGTATATGCACAATATATGTATGTAATATATAAAAATTGCCAACCTCTGTAGGACTAGTCTTGTTGTATGTACTGAAATTTGCTATAGGACACTTCTTAGTACCACGAATTTTGGGACAGTCATTTCTGGTTAGAATAGATCCACGATGCAGAACATCAATATAGAAGCATTCTTCATCTTCAGGATTTGTTGTGTTGCTGTAAGCAATAAGAATATATGTAAAATAAAAGCTGAATAAAATCGAGAAGAGTAAGATGTTTTCAGAAAAATAAAATTTTATGCTTACTATTTTGACTTCCAACTTAAAAAGAAGTGACTTGGAAAAGATATTAGATCGCAACGTATACCAAGTCTTCTCGCCACACTGTGAAATACTATTGCCAGGGATACTGCATTACCATTTTTCTTTTCCAAAACCTATGCATTAAAAAATCACAATAAAAATTAATATTTATAAAATATAAATATGAGCTATATATTTATAGTTTAACTATTATTAATATATCATAATATACATTACCCTCCATAAGTTTGGAAACACCTTACATTTTACAGTTAAACAATCGTATGGCAGCAATCTGTGTAGATTTTTTGTATCAATAAATCGTTAAATATTTAAATGACATTTTTATTTATGACAGATCCCTGCCATGCGATTGTTTAACTGTCAAATGTAAAGTGTTTCCAAACTTGTGAAGGGTACAGTATGCAATAAATAACAAATGCCCATTTATAAGACTGTTTTTTGTAATCACGATTAATAATATTTCAAATAATATACTGATAAAAAACATTCCATTAAGTTTATATTTTTGCATGTTATGAATATCTGATTAAAGAATATTTCTTTAGAGAATTTTTCTCTTAAATTAAGAGGATCCTTTTGACAGATCTGTGCAGACTTTTTGTATAAATAAATCATAAAATAAACGTAAAATATTTAAACGACATTATTATTTATAACAGATCGCTGCCATGCAATTCTTTAACTGTAAAATGTAAGGTTTCCAAACTTATGGAGGGTACTGTATAACTTACACAATCTATAAAAGTATATTTTTGACTGGTGATAGCAGGATCCACACAAAGCCATCCACAAAAACCCACTTCATCAAATAAAACCTTTCGTAGAGTATCTATAATCTGTTTTCCCTCTTTAATATTCCATTGGTTATCATCAATATTATTATTTTCCCAAAAGGAAAATAGTTCAGTGGGCGTCGAAAATATTGAATGCTCAGAATGTTCTTTTTTAAGGCACTCCAATACTTGCTGTGCAATACTTGTTAATGATGCTTTTACACGTGAGTAAGAAACATGTTTTCTAGGTTGATACCATTGAGCTACAATAGTAGCTGCCTGTTCTAAAATCTGCTGTTCTTCAGGATAATTTATAAATTCTTGCCATATACTTTTTAAACGACATTGCTGCAGGTATCGAAGAAGTTTTTTGACATAATATCTATGTGTTAAATTGGATTCCCTAAAAAGTATATATATTAACTGCAATAAATCCAAATGTTGATCAAAAATATTTGAACAGTTTATTAAATCTTACCTTGGAGATTGTGCAAGGATACTCATTAGTTCATCTATGACAAAATAATAATTCATATGATATGCACCTTTTTCTAGATGAAATAATGAATCAAAATCTTTCATGTCACTATCAGATAGATCATCTTTATAATAGTGGAGATCAGACATTTGCTCCACATAATGCCATAATTCTTTCCTGCATTTCACACTTGCTTTTACTTCATTTTTAAAATTTATATGCCTTTCATATTTCCGTTTATTGTAGACTCTTTTCAAATCAGGCCATCTAGAATTAAGACAAAAGATTGATACTTATATAATTTTCTGAGTATGTAATATTTTATCGTTCAGAATGCATGATGCTATTGCATTAATAAATTTTATATGAAAAAATTATATATTTCAAATAAATTAAAAAATTGTATAATATAATAATCTTCTTTTTAATGCATAACAATTTTTAATGCCTAAACAATAAAATATAATATCAATAAGAAATATTATTTATATCGCCACTACATAGAATAAAATTGCTATAATTACAAGATTACATCATAATAGGAAATCTAATAAGGAAATAATAGTACATTAATCATTAAACATATATACATATATGACTAAGCTTATCAACAAGATCCTTGTTTGCGTAAGCAGATATAGTTCTATAATAAAAAATAATACAGGCATTCATATCTTTGTTTGCCATCATATTAAATGAAAAATTGAACACAAAAATTTTATTATTCATTATATTCGCCATTTGCATTATCTAATTATTTGCTGAGAATACAATGAAACTGAGTCCTTATACATATATAAGTGAAAAATAAAAAATACAGTTTATCATGTGCTACATGTCAAATAAATCGAAATAAGTCGAAGAATATAAAAAAAATATTTATTTACAACTGGATTCCACAGTTAAGTACAAAAAATATTACTTAAGGATGAGGAAGATCATTACCTTTGATAAAGTTTGTTTTGCCAAAGTACATTATCATCGTTGATCATATCATGGAAACCTTTACACGTAGAGGCAAAACTGACGACGTCTTTAATGCTGACACTGACATTTCCCAGGATAATGCTGATCACTTCGCTAGATAAATGTGTTATCGCAGCCATTGCGAGATAAATTTGATGAAGTACGCAAAAAGTACGATTTGCGATCCGCGTTAACTCGCGATGGACGTTTATTTGTCGCACGATTAATTACGCACAACTTTAACTTACGATATAAATTCACAAAAATTGTACTAAAACATCCGAGATTGACTGCTACATTTCTCAAATATTCATATATTTATTGTCTCCATCTGTTCACCAGTTCTATTTGTTTGCCAATGTTAATTATCATAGAGCGTATAAAATTAATAGACGTGCAAATGAAAATCGAAATGCGATCTCTCTTCGATTCCTTTGGAAACAGAAACTCGTAGAAAATGGTGTGGTTGGGGAAGCGGCAGTGCGCGTCAGTTTTCCCACCATCGTCCCCCACTGCACAGCACGACGAAGCGAGACAGAGGGTTCGTTCTTCATTGCTGCACTGATGAACTAGTGTAATAAGTTAGAGTGAAACAGAATATATTTATCTTGCTTTAACTTATTGCACCAGTGTGCACTTGTTCACCAGTGCAGCAATAAAGAACTAATCTAGAGGTATCTCTCTTCTCTCTCAAATTTGACAGTTTTGACAGTTGTATGTGCAATTGACAGCTGTTTGATGATGTATAATTTTTTAAATGTTTATTAGGATATATTATTGTTAATTTCTCACAGAACCTACAGTGGTAAGTATCTAGATTCAAGTGTTTGCAATAATAAATATATATAAGTACAATAATATATATAATAAATATTAAATTTGTAATAATATAATATATATACATTCTAAGGTTTTTGCAATTATTTCAGAATTGTACAAAATAAAGAGATTCTCTTTCTTTTTATTCTACGTACTAAGGAGCAGATTATATTTTTTTAATATGGAAATGGATGTTGCATTAATGTGCATTGTAAAGACTTTTCTTGAACCATCTTCGTACATTTACGAAGACGAAAATGCGAGCATTTTGCAATTGATTATGGAACAAGATTTATTAGGAATTACGGATGTTTCCATATCAGGTCAAGAAAACTCTGAGGCAGAAAATTATGTTGAACACATAATTCCATCACTTAGCAGTACACAATTCAAATCTCACTTTCAGTATGTATTATTATTGTATATTTGTACATACATACACGGTCTTAATGAGGACTTAAAAATTTGTGAAAAAATTATTTTGTTTATATTATTTAACACATTTATTTGATGACAGAATGCTACCATCGACATTTGAATTTATTCTGGATCAAATTGGAGAGAAACTAACTCGTGCTACTGATGGAAATGAAATGGTGCCTGCGGATAAGCAGCTTTTATTAAGTCTGTGGCGTTTTGCAACTACAGATTCATATAGGCATGTGTTGAAATTATATTTAGATTGTTACAAATCATGCTAAATCTTAACAGCTATATGTAAAATAATATTTTTTTAGTGCTATAAATCAACGATTTACTGTGGGCAAAGGCACAGCTGTAAGATCTGTGCGTCGTGTTGCCAGAGCAATACGCGAGCTCTCAACAAAATATATAGTATGGCCTACAGGAGATAGAATACAGGATATTACACATGGTTTTCTTCTGCAAGTGGTTTTCCTGATACCATTGGTGCCATAGGTGGTACTCATATTAATATTCCTTCATCTAAAAATAACTCTGAAACCTCTGTACATCAGAAGAGCCATTATTCAATTCAGCTTCAGGTAAATATATAATATTTTTATAACATTATATTATTGATTGTATTATTTATTATATAAATTGTTACTATTAATTTAAAATATTTATTATAAAAATAACTTTATAAATTAACAAAGTAGGATTTGTGTTATATTTTTTTGTAGGCTGTTTGTGATCACACAAAATTATTCACACATGTTCATGTGGGAAATGTAAGTTTGGCTCATGATGCTCGTGATTTTCGCTTATCCGCTCTTGAGGAATATATCAATGATTCAAATCAATTTCCAAATAATACACATCTAATTGGGGATGCTATTTATGGACTGCGTCAACATCTTATGGTTCCGTATCTTGATAATGGAAGTCTCACAAAACAACAGAAGAATTATAACTTATGCCATTCTTCCGGTAAAATAATGATCAAAAAAGCATTTGCTCTTCTAAAAGAACGCTGGAAAAGTCTGTTACACGTTCTGGCAATAAGTCGCATGGATTTTACATCTGATCATATATTGGCGTGTTGCGTGCTACACAATATCTGTTTGCTTAAAGAGGATGAAGTGCAATTGCAAGAGCAAATTATTGTAGACATGGAAGAAGCAGAATTGCAAGAAGAAAAAATAGAATATAACATAGATGATAAAAATGTTGCAGAAGCCAAAAGAAACAATATATGTGCCAAATTATGTATTAAAAATGTATAAATAATAAATTGTTAAAAATTGTTTAAAGAAGAAACAATGCTTCTTGCAGTGTTTTTTCATTATTACATTTTTATAAAGCAATATAATTTGAATAAATTTCTTCAAAATGTATTTTGAAAAAAGTGGTTCATTAACGCGATCAATGTTGCCAACATTAAGATGCGTTCTAAATTCATCAAGGTTGTGTTCGTAAATTTACTATTTAGAGTACAGTAGATTTCGATGGACCAATCAGAACGAAGAACTTGTTTATCTTGATTGCTCAAAGAGCAAATTTTTGAACACAACCCAGGAAGACCGATAATGGAATAATTTAATATGGCGGAAACGTTGCGTCGACGAAGCTCAATCAGTGTAATTTTGTGAGGAATCTGATACAATTGATATAATTTCGGCACAATTTACAAGAATATATACTATTCTATAAACGATTCAAGTGATATAAAATTGTACAACAACGAGCGATAAATTCCACGGTTGTTGGCAAGTCGCAAATATGGGTTCTAATAAACGTCATAAGACTGAAAAATCTCGCGACGCCAAGAAGAAGCGTCATCGCAGTCGTTCCAGAAGTTACACGCCCGATCGCGAGAAGTCGGAGAAGCATAGGCATCACAAAAAGCACAGGAGGAAAGAGCGCAAGGATTACGATAGCGATGGTAAGAATTTTGATCCAAAGATTGTTTTTTATACATGCACATTATTATGTATTACAAAGTATAAGATTTCTCTGTCTTTTTCAGTCGAGATTGTTAATGCACCACCACCACCAAAAATATCGAAATTATCTCACCCATCGACGCCTCCACCGCCAGAAATTTCTAAACAGCGCAGTCCATCCCCTGCTAAAGGTGGAGCGTCGCAGACTTCATTATCTATTGAGGAAACTAATAAACTACGTGCAAAGTTAGGATTAAAACCATTAGAGGTTGATAATACACCGAAAGATGATCCTAATAAAATCAAAGATGATTTGGGAGAGTTTTATCATAAACCTGCTCCAAATAATAATCAGAAGATAAAAGCACAGAAATTAAGAGAGAAGATCGGTACTCAAAAGGAAAAGAGACAGATTGAAGCAAATTTGTCAAAGGTAAAAGCTTTGGGTGAATGCGACTCTGATGATGATACTCAAGCATGGATCAATAAATCGAGACAATTGGAGGAAGAGAAAAAGAAAGCAGAAAAAAGGGTAATATTTATTTGTTTTAATATTTTTCACAGTACTTGTATAATTAGTACTTTACGCATACTTTTCTTTAAATCAATTCATGTATTTTTTACAAAAATATTTTATTTTAATTTAAGGCGAAGATGTTAGATCAATTAGATGAAGAATTTGGAATTGGTAATTTGGTCAGAGAGGAAATACATACTGCTCGTAATACAGCATATACAGAGAAGGATTTGAAAGGCCTCCAAGTCGAACATAATGTTGTAAGTATAAAATATTATTAATTATTATAAATAGTTTAATTATATAAATACATTTGAATATATGTATAAATTTAAAAAAACAGAATACTCATTTTTTTATCTTATAATAAGTTTTAAACAATGTTGTAGGAAACATTTGAAGAGGGTAAGACTTTGATCTTGACATTAAAAGATCAAGAGGTATTAGATGACAATGCTGATTTACTTGTAAATGTTAATATGGTTGATAACGAACGTTACAAACGTAGTGTTTTAAACAAAATTAAAAAACCTACATACGATCCATACGCTGATGAAAATTTTGACGAATATGGATTTCCGAAAAATAAAATTTTGGAAAAATATGATGAGGAAATCGATGGGGAAAAGAAGGACAATTTTGTGTTGGGTACTAATAATGCAGTAGAATTGAAACGACGTCAAATAGAGACAGTGAAGCAACGCTTAGCAAATAAAAAACTAGAAACACTACAGATGGCAGAACCAAAATTGGCAAGTGAATATTATAATGAAGAGGAACTTGCAAAATTCAAGAAGCCAAAGAAAAGGTGAAAATTGTTTTCTTATACTCTTATATGCAAGATTTATTATAAATATTAAGTACAGTTATTAGGATGCAATTGTATATTGTAGCTTGTTTTTAAGAAACAATATTCTGTGATACATCATATAATATAAAATATACATTTTTAGATTCGAAAAATTAGAACAAAAAAGAAATTTAAGGTTGATGACTTGGTACCTGTTGATAATGACTATCTTAGAGATCTTGGAAGTAGAAGAAGGAAAAAACCAGATGATTCAAAGGATAATGATGCTTTAGATGTTGACGATTTAGAAGGTACTTATATATCAATCAAAGATATTCTATAATTTTATTGAAATTGTTATAGATAAATTAATCACTTGTAAATTGTAAATATAACTCTGAAGTGAGATATTAAATTATCAAATTATATAATCAATTAATTATAATTAATTTTTTATAATGATCTCAATCTATATATGTGTATATTATTAAATAATGTGCATACATTTTTCTGTTCTTTTAAATTTTCTTTTTATGCAAAGATAAAAACAATTATATTTTTTTCTTTCTCTTCTATTTGACTATTCAAAATTGTGTACAATTATTATTTTAATAGCCCCTATAGAAGATCTTACTGGAGTAAAACTGGAAGAAGACGATAAAGAATTGGAGTTACAATTGGCTTTAAAGAAAGCACAACGTTTGAAGGAGGGACTTTCAGTTGGCATCCAGAAAACTGTTGAAACAATAAAACAAGAAATCCTTAATTCAGAGGATAATCAGGTTGGAAATATCGTTCTTAACTCGACTGCAGAATTCTGTAGAACATTAGGTGATATACCCACATATGGACTTGCTGGAAATAGAGAAGAAAACGGACAAGAACTCATGGTATGCTGAAAATAATATGTTATTTGGTATTTATGTATTTTTTATAATCATTTTGTAAATTAAAATGTTGCAGGACTTTGAAATAGATGGAATTAAAGATGAGCCACCTGTGAACGAAGACGAAGACGATGGTCGTGGTGCTTGGAACACAGTACACCTAGGTTAGACAATATTACTCTATATTGATGTTAAATATATTATAGATTAATATAAAAACTGATATATATTTTGTAGAGAGAAAGAAAAAAATTACACATGTTTATATGTATAGTTAATGTTATAATGAATATGTTATAATTAATGTTTTTCTTAACGTGAATTCTATGTAAATAGATGAAAATACATCGGAGCCAGTTGTAATGGAAGCAGCAATTTTAGACGCTGAGCCGTCACTCGGACACGGTGTAGGTGGAGCTTTAAAGTTAGCCATGAGTAAGGGCTATTTGCAGAAAGAAGATAGCAATCGGCCCTCAGCGTCACGATTTGCGCATCTACAAGCTCAGAATTATTCAATAGAGGATAAAACATATGGGTAAGTGAATTATATATTATCGCGATTCGATATAAGATAATTTCTTACCTGTTTCAAATATGTATTGCGGAGAAAAAGAACTTGTAAGAAATGGTTCTTATGTCGAATACGCCTCCACAAGTATTGTGTTAGACAAGTCTCTAGTGAATTTCTGAACTGTCAGTTAACAGTTTTAAATAGAGCCCGGAAATCGGTGCTCGGAACGGGTGATCCGCTACCACTACAAGAGTTTACCGCTTAATCGGAGGCGATAACAGATGACCTGAGACAAGAGTAGGATTTGTTAAGGTATGTTATGCGATTCCATTGCTGCGAATCGTGCTAAGATTTTAGACAAAAAATCTGTTTGGACTTTGTGAGAAGATCAAAATCAAACGTTGATTACAAAATTATCAACATGGATGAATTATCAAAATGGATGTTAAAAAAAGTTGCCTCTTCTTTTTTTATCTCTCTATACAATTCAATTACGATTGTTTTATATATAACTATAGGGCTTGCATGTTTAATATAAATCAAGTATGGAGGAGCATTTTACACGACTATCTGTGCTCAGTTATTACAGTTATTTAAATTGATTGATTGCTTTTCGAGCACTTGAACAAATCTTTAAATAAATATAAGAGTGATAAAAAAAGACGGAAAATCTCTATATATATTTTTTTATGTGCATGGACATATTAATATCTGTTTATATTTTTATACTATCGATATATAATATAGTACAATATTTATATTAAAACATTCATTAAATGGTAATTTTAATGTAGAATTATGTATCGAAAATTTAATTATATTATATTCGCAAATATCGATAATATTTGTTACTTTCAATAAGTAAAGTAACTCGTTTATTTTAGTTAAATCACGTGCATAATGCATATCTGAAGGATTACAAGCATCATTTGTAATCAAGATTTATTAATACTGGTAGTGGACACAAGTTTCAGAACACCGCATTTCTAGGGCTTTAATTTTTATCTTTGCTTCTGTAATAATAAAATCTAGTTAAATAAGACAATAACAGTATACAAATCACATTTCTAGCCGATATTTGTGGAGAAAATGGGACAATTGATAAAGAGCTCATAATTTGAAATGTCTCTTTACTCGTTCATGTATTTTTTTTTGTTTCAGTGATGACGACAAATTCGGCAGAAGAGATCGTTTTAACGGACCGACATCTGACTTTAAGGAAAAGGAAAGTTTTAAACCCAATGTGAAGCTTGAATATATCGATGATGACGGTCATGTTTTAAGCGCCAAGGAAGCTTTTCGATATCTATCGCATAAATTTCATGGAAAAGGCCCAGGGAAAAATAAGGTTTTTTATATTAAATTTTAGAAATTAAACCACATGTACTTGTATAGCTTGAAACTTGTATAGCATTTAAATCAAGATCCATATTTGCAAAGCTGTAATAATTCTTCAACATGTATTTTAGGTGGAGAAAAGAATGAAAAAAGCTGAACAAGAAGTTTTAATGAAGCGAATGTCTTCAACAGATACACCTTTAGGTACACTAAATTTATTGCAAGCAAAACAAAAAGAAACTCAATCACCATACATAGTGCTTAGTGGCAATAAACAGATGCAAACGTAAGAACACTCAGTAAATTTATATAAAATAATAAATTAGCGCGATTAGAATGTGTCAATATATATTTCTAAATATGCTTACTTTTCTATAAATAATTTCTTCTAATAATTTTACTTTTTTACATATTGATAGAGGTCTAATATAATATATATTCTTTGCAGGACTAGCATAGCTAAAACAAAACATTGAAGAATAAATGCAAACAAGGATGAAAATTGTATATAATCTTACATATATATAGTTGAATTTCCGAAAATAAATTTGAGTTTATAATTTCAATGTAACACAAGGATTGTAAATTATGAGAGAAAAGGAAGCTTTGTTAAATTGTATAACCATAATAATTAAGAAAATATTCACAGGATCTATTCACAGATTTGATGAGATTTTTTTAAATTTGCACAACTTTGGCTCTGTAGTGTGGAAAAAAAATAATAAAGAAAGTAATGATTTTATAGATAATGCTTAATATAAAGCATATTTTGCAAGTATGAATGTATTTCTTGATCAATAAATATGTTTTACAGCATATCTATAGAGATTCCATTTTTAATTCACACTTAAATTTTGTATTAATGCAAATGAAAAATTAATGAAGAAAAAATTCAGATGGAAAAAAGGAAAAGGATAAGTTACTGAATTATTTTACTCAATGAGTTACCATGAATGTAAAGCAATCATTTTGCTTCTTTGTACATTACTCCTTTAATTATTATTATACATCGTGTACTTCATAAAACAATCTCATTTTTATTATATATATTCGATATTTTTATCTATCATTGTAATCAGATTAGCAAGTCAAAAAGAAAAATCTATGAAAATCTATATATTAAATAAAATTCTTGTCGTCAAATACTAATACAAAATATAGTCTATTGTCTATTCTAATAACAATGTTTATGATAGCAATAAACAATGGAACATATAGAATACTTTTATTTTCGTCGTAAGATATGATTATACTTGCATTACTTTGTTACAAATTGATACATTTATCTACAGTTTAAAAATAATAATCTAGTCTAATAGAATATTACAGGCTCGAATACTACAAAATACAATTTTATCATATTTATGGATATACATATCTCTATTTCGTAAGTATCTGTCAAAATGTTAGCAATTTTAAATATTTTTTGGGAATTGAGTGATTAACTGGTCGCTAGTTTACAACACTTTTGATATGAATGTTACAGGTCACTAATACTATTTTCATATTAACGATGGTAAAACTTCTTTACTATAAAGAACAGTGAGTGTATATATATTTTATATATACGTATATATGTATATATAAAATATATATTGTTAACTATCCCTGATATCACAAGGCTTGTTTTGTGCAAAAATAGTAATACTTGTATAATATTTTATTCTTACAGTGCATAGCAGCCATATATTAATGGCTTTCATAAATATGTTTTTTTTTTTTCAACAACACAGCTGCTATGCGTATGTGTATGCAATATATATTTATATGCACATACGTATATATAACTATGTAACTAAAATCGTTTTTATTTTACTATAAAATATTTATTCTAATACAGAGAAAGTTTGGCACTTTCTTTGGCAATCTGAAACTGGTTAAGCACATCACCTTTAGTACCTTATTTTGATATCTATCTCATTTCCTGGATACGAATATATTCTTGGTGCATCTTTATAGTTTTAAGTATTTATTTGTAAATAATGAATTCTCTGTCTACTATTTACCTGCATACGAGGGTTACTATTTATATTTCGGGAATAGGAACAAATAGTTAAACTGCGAATATATTTTTATTGGTTTTCAAAGTACTCGCCACGATGATTGATACACTTTTGCATACGCTTAAACCAATTTTCAAAGCATTTATTCCATTCCGAATGAGGTATCTCCAAAATATGATTTTTGAACGCTTCAATAGCTTCTTCGGGCGATGAAAATCGTTGACCACGCAGCAGTTTATTCTTCACGAATGGGAACAAAAAGAAATTAGATGCCAAATCAGGGCTGTACGACGGATGACCCATCAATTCGATGTTTTGAGTGCTCATAATCTCTTGTTTGAGCCGATGTGTCAGAGCTCGCATTGTCATGATGAAGAACAATCCGGCGTCTCTTGTTTGTTTTCCTTATTTCACCGAAGACTTCTGGCAAACAGATGGTTGTGCACCACTCAGAATTTACTGTTCTACGATCCTCTAGAGGCACTGTTGCAATATGACCAGTTTTTCCGAAGAAACAGGCCATCATTTTCTTTGAAGTGCTTCGTGCGCGAACAACTTTTATTGGATTTGGTTCATCTTGGAACACCCATACAGTCGACTGCTGCTTACTTTCGGGCTCATACGAATATATCCATGATTCGTCACCCGTCACGATTTTATAAACGTCTTTTGAAGCACCGCGATTGTATTTCTTAAGCATTTCCGTATGACGAAATGTTCTGAGTACGTATATCGTCAAAAATGTCAAACTTTACGATGGAACCGTCAGATAGACTCACATGACATCAGTGTTGCAAAGTTCCCGAAATATAAATAGTAACCCTCGTATTTACCTGCATACAATATTTTCATGTCATATTAAATACTACACTTTAATATTTGGCTAATTTTTATAAATTGTAAAAAATGATATCAGATCTCAATATAAATTAAAAATCTTTGTTTCTTTTCATAATTAAATAAATAAATTACGCGGTCGTTTTGAAATTTTCCTGTGTGAAAACACAAAGATAAATAATCAAATATAGAGACGCAATCACATTAACATTTCTTTACTTACCAATATCGTTTCAAATACATGTTTTTTATGAAGATTCTCTTTGATAAAATACTCTTTGAAGACGTATTCGAAAGTAATTGTTATCTATTTAAAGAATCGGAGGCCCTTTGGTCAGGTTTTTGTTTGTCATTATCACAATCTTCCTGACAACTCGGACTAGATAATCTAATAGGTTTAATAGACTTTAATTTCGTGGTTCCGCCATATCGGAAATTCACATCGCTACAAGTGTCAAGTGGATGTACAGTCCCTGTTAGATTCGTTAACGAATCGTTACTCGTAACTTCGAGCTTACTGGTGGGAACCTTCTTTACGGATCCTAATTCATACGTAGACTTTGATTTTAACTTAAGTTTTAATGGCAACGATATCGATTTCTCCAAATTGGTAGCCGGAACTTTTAAATTGTTCTCGTTTTGCGGTTGTGGATTGTTAACCAGATTCATAGTATCCGTAATTTGAATGTCAATGTTGACCGTTTTGGGGTCATTTTCATCATTGTTACCTCTCATAGTTTGTTCCGAGTATTCGTTTCTAAGAGCCGCTAACTGTGCGCGCTGCTTTTGTATATGATTGTGCGAATTCGAAAAGAACGAAGAGACTTTCTCTAATTTTGTCGCTAGATTGGGTTGACTCAAAGTCGATTTTAAAGGATACGGTGTATCCATACTATTATTTCTAATAATATTTTGAGATTCTCTACCGGTAGAATTACTTTTTATCATTCCGTATTTGTTGTCCTCGATAACTTTCAGAGGATACGATTTAGTGCTTGGATTTCGTCGTTTCTCCACCATATTCAGCTGTGCAATTATCCGACGAACTTCGCCTGATACTTCGATATCGGCACGTGTATCCACTAATTGCTGAATAAACGCGCCTAATGTGGCTACTGTTACTTCAAGACTGCGATTCTGAGACTCGAATCTATGGATAGTCGCTTGTTGCATCGAGCGCGCCGTTTCGAGTCTGTGCAAATTGCTCATAGTAATCTGTAATGTAATTTCCAGCATTATAATAATTTATATTAAAAAAGAAAACTATGTATTATGCATACACGAATATTTTAAGAATCGAAAATCAAATCTTTTAATTATTTATAATAGATGTTACATTTTGTATTACCTCAAGTTGTTCGCTAAGTTGTGTGACTTCTTGTGTGAGTTGCTTGTTCTGGAATTTGAATTTCTCCAAATTCTCCATTTGTGGTTTCACTGAGATCATTTCCTCTTGAAGCACTTGATATTCCACTCTGTATTCGTTTAATTGTTTTGAGATTTCCAAATCAGGATAAAATACACGTTTCATTATGCGATCCAAACTTTGTTTGTCCACTGCTGGCACACGTGTCTAAAATCAACATAATAAAGATGACACTTGTATAAAAATTTATTTTTGAATATAATTTGATATTCCACATACTTTGAGATATTCCATAATTTCTTCGAAGTTATCGCAGCATAATAATTGATCTTGATGTTCTTCTAATAATGCAACCGATACACGAAAGAGGACTTCGGAGTTTTCCAGAAAAAGTAGATCTGAAAAAAAATTAGTTATTTGAAAAAACATAGAAAACCAATTTTATAAATTAAATAGATGCAAATTAAAGTTAAACAGATAAAAAAATATTGTTCTTACCAAAAACTCTGGTCACAAAACCTAAAGGAAATTGGCTGGCAAATAAAGTTAGCAACCACGGAGCAGCATATAATGTAGGCGAAACTTCATGTTTGTCAAAATGATTATAAATTGTTGGTAAGCGGTCGTGTAACAGTCTAGAGAGCTGATACAAGTGCAATTGCAATGCTGCCATATCTGGCAAATACAATTTTCTAAGTCCTCGGCGAAACATCAAATGTCGTAATAAGAAAAAGGCTTGATCCTCTGCCATCTAATAAGAAATTTAAAAACATAATATGTAACATGAAAACTAATTGTTATAAAATAAATACAAAATTACCGTAGAATTAAATATAAATCAAAATTGTACTCACATGCAATAGAAGTACTCCGGCGACGAAACTGAGGCCTTGACAATAACCAACTTCGTGATCCAACAAAGAATAGGCTTTTAATAAATTGAAGAGTGCTAACTGACCAGGTCCCAAAGGTGAGCTAAAGTACGGATGATTCGGGAACGTTCTCCCCAAATCAATAAGAATAGCATGCTGTTGCGATGTGAGTTGCTTCAGGAGTAATTCGTAGGGTGTATTATAATTTGGAAAATTTTGAGTATCTATAGGCGGTTGTTTTAAGCAGAATTGTTCTGCTAGAAATTGCCAAACCTCACCTCTCTTTCCTTTCGGTACACCTACATTTAAAAATATTCATTGTATATAGTAAGAATCAAAAGAAAATGTTTTTTAAACTTTAGAAATATTGTATTTAATTACTGTGATATCATGTTTCTAATTACCTTGTTTGATAGCGTGCAAAAGCATTTGATTATCACATTTAGTGGAGACTCGCGATTCCTTACTAACAAGAAGATCCCAAACTTCTACCACTTCACGTGCACAGCTACTGAGTTCGTCATATTCCAGTTTAATTCTTTTTACCGTTGCTTCCTCTTGACGTTCTGAAATTTCAGCAGAAAATTGGCTACTGTAAAGTATCATTATATATATATATATGTATATAAAATGTACAATCAAAAAATTAATATGACATTTGCAGATACATAAAAAAATTTTACCTCTAAGCTTTGCATTCTCCTTTTCCATTCTTATGAGTATTAGTTGTTGATTAATCGCTTTCTTCCACAAATCTCGTAATTCTTGTTTCGTTCTACGTTTAACGGGCGTTTCTAAATTTTTGATGATGCTAACTTTCTCATTTTCTGTGGCGTTGTGATCTTTACTCGGCGTCACGACTCTGTTTAGTATTGTTTGCCGCCACGAACTATTGGTTTGTATCGTGTTACCCCCCTCAGTTTCCGTAGGAGATGTTTTTGGCGAGTTACCAACTTTTAAAAAGCTGTATATTTATACGTAAGAAATATAATAAATATAACAATAAGCGATACAATTGAATGTTGACAGTAAGAAATTGGAAACACAATTTAATTATACTAACATGTCCATCATAGAACTCTTTGGTCCATTATTTATAACTATCTGCTGTTCAGGCGAGACACGTAATGATCTCGGTCTACTAGATTCCGGCGAGATGTCTAATATAGATGGTTGCCTCGAGCTATCTGGACTTTGACTATCATTCTTTTGCATCCTCGTATTCAGATGATTCGAATCGCGCAATTGTGGACCCAGACCAAAATCGTCACGCGAACCTTTCCTCTTCATAAGATTATCAAAGCTATTTGTAAGAGAGCGTTTCGCTTTCATAAATATCGTACTACCAACACCGACGCCTAGATATTGATTGAGAAATTCACTCCTGTAATGTAAAACATTTTATGTTGAAATATCTCATTCATAAAAAACCATTTTCATTTACATCTGTAATATATCATTAGAAGGTTTATATTTATATGTATAGTTGACGCATTACCTATTCTCAGCCGTATCGTGTACATGTCTGGCTTGTTTTAATTCGCAATGTGCACGCAACAATCGCATTAGGAATTGATTTTGACTCGCGGAGCTCGTACTAATGTTACCCGCAGCTTCGGCGCTCTTATACTTGCTCACAACAATCTCCTGCTCATCCTCCGGTAATAATTCCATACGCGATAAGATAATGCTTTGCACTTTCTTATCATTTTGTCCTAAAAATATCTCATGTATAAAATCAAGTAATTCAATACTTCTCTAGAATGTAATCGATACAAATATTTTACCTTCAATCTCCTGACATAGTTTATTGTACCAGTACATGGGGCAATGATCACAAGAAAATACAGAATACTTTTCCTTTCTCGTGATAGTATTGGTTGTAACAAAAGCTTGGCTAATTGCTGCAAAGAAAATTGAGAAATAGAAATTATTATCGAATACGAAAAAAATCAGAACTCTGACAATACAAAAAAAAAATAGTTCATGTATTTTATTATATTATAAAAAAATGTTGAAAAATCTTGCCTGCAACAAGATCATCCGCGACTGATCCAGATTGGCATTTGAAGACGTATCCGATGAAGCATTCCGATTCTTTGCAAATAAATCCAAAGTGATCCGGATTTTTCGCACCTTGCGCACAACTGGCTATGTCCTTTAATTGCTTGTGTAGAAGAACCTGCTTTCTGTCTGGGCTAATCAATCTCAAATCAATCCGCCCTACCTGAAATATAAAATTTACATACACATACTGTAAAAATTTCACACAAAAATAAATCTAAAAAAATTGTTTTTCTATATATAAACAATTTTTTTTATAAATAACTTTAGATGTTAATGATAATTGCAAGATGATTAACAAAAATAACAAAAGCAAAAAATTAAAATAAAGATTTTTTCGTACTTGAAACAGCATAGTACGATTATGCTCATCGTTTCCTTTAATAGAATTAGAATCTCTCCTGCCATTTAAAACGCTGCCGGTAGACGCCGCGCGACTTCGCATAACATCAGGTACAGTGATATTAGAATTAGCGGAAGATTCGGACATTTGATTCTCATCACGACTGTCATTTTCCATGAGATTAGTAGTTGTTCTTGGAAAAGTTTCCACGGAACTGCTTAAAACTGGCGGAATTCCAAGCGGATTCACATTTGGAATTATACTGTTTTTCGACACGTTCTCGATACTGCCTGATTCGCTAGCGGTAGATTCCTGAAAACGTAACGGTATACCTTCATTTACCATAATGTACTTAGCAAAGATCGAATCGAATTAATTTGTTCGTATTAACTGCAATATATAGATACGTAAGAAATTTTTCTTAATCATTCATCATCAGAAAAGAACAATGGTAGAAATTAACATTTAAATATTTATATTTATAATACACATTATATATAAATCCTAATTTAATATGCACAGATGTTTAATATTGAACGGCATAAGATAATTCTTACCGTACTATTTCTTCTATTAATGGAAGACATCAAAGCTTGGCGTTTCAATCGTTGACAATCTGACAAAAGATTGCTCGTCGAAGACCTGGTTTTCTCGATTCCATGAACGCGAAATTTTATTAAAGCGTCATCAATGAAGGATTCCGGTACTTTTGGATGCGATACTTTAATTTTGCCAACGTAGAATACCTGAAATTCAAATGTCGGAAAATTGGATTAATTTTTAAATTACAGAGCTACAAATAAAAAAAATTACATAAATTAATTTTTTTAATATATGTATGTATATACTTTTTCTAATATATTTTTTAATAAAGATTACATATATAATTTTTTTCTAATACTTTCTAAAATTTGTTCTATTAAATAAATTTTTGCATAAACTGTCGCCGTGTATTAAAGATCCACGTGCGATAACAAACATTTATATTTTTCATTATACGAAAGGAAAAAGAAGACCTCACCTCGAAAAATTGGGAAGAACTTGGAGATATATCGGCCCCTATAGACGTCAAAGTAGCAGCGCTGCTTTGTGAGCGTTGCGGCAAATCCTTATCTCTCTCCATTCTCTGGGCTGCCGAATGTTCCTTCATGTCTCTTAAAAACTGTTGAATCTGCAAATGAAACAAACATAATCATGGCATTACGTAATTGTGATCAATCGTGATGCATTCGCTATCTCAAAAAGTTGTATCTATTTGAAAGGAGCTACACAAACCATTGTAAAAGGAAACTGTATAAAAAGGAGCAAAAATAATTCCTCTCTATTTTGTTAAAATAATTTACGTCAGATTTCATTCAAATTAATATTAATTACCATATATATAGAATATATTTTTAAAAATAATAAATATAATATATTAAAGATATGATTTATGTATCAATTATATTGTTAAATTTATTAAGTAATTTTTACTTTTTTATTTTGTATACTGTTCTTGTTTTATCTATGCAAAAATGGTTTTATAATGAAACATATGTGTGCGTGATTTTTATTATTACAATTTTTTAAATTATTTTATACGAGATATCAATTCATCATTAATGATGGATGCATAATGAAATTTATTCTGCTTGAGAGTATATTCTCACAAAAAAAATGTCTGATTTTTTAGAAATAATTCAAAATGCAACATTTCGTTGTGTCGGGATCTCATTAATATACTAAACAGATTTCGCAAGAAAACGTGCATCGAACGTGGTCGACGCGGCCGTGGACCAAAATAACTCATTTTAGCACTCGTGGACTGCATGGCTCTCATTCTCCGTCTTTATTAGTCTTCTCTTTCACTCTTACTCTCATCTAGTTTCTTCAACATCTGCTACTCATCATATTTGCGACTTCGTCCGAAGATATTTCCATTTAATTCCAGGATACATATAAAAAAATCCAGACAATTGCACAAAAATAAAATATATTATATATAAAAAAAATAACATAGCACATTCATTTTTGGATCAGATATAGTTTAGAAAAATTAATTAAAATTATAGACAATATTATAATAAAATAAATAAATGCAGCTTGTGGCTATGAAAATTATGTATTCATGCATTCTAAGATTAAATGTATGCATTGTGTTCTTCTATCCTACGGTAATTTTTATGCATTTCCGCGATATTTTATTTCCAAATTATTGAAATTTTGATCTTTTTAATATTAGTTGTAATAAAGATTGCGAATAAAATATTAATTTCGTCGAATTTGTTTAACTTCTTCGCGTTGTTACTATTATTGAATATTTGCATTCTCACATTATGTTTCGACGTGGGAGTGAGCGCGACATAATTTTTCTAATGAGTTCTTCCAAATGACGATGAAAATTATAGAGGACAAGATCATATATTTATACTTATGACAATGATGAAGACGATCTAGTTTTCTACAATACTATAGTACTATAATATAATCATAATTTTTGTCGACGACGACGTCATGTATAAACGTCAAGGAATGATAATCAACGAAGTTATCTCGCGACCATAAATATTTGATTACTTTTACTATACGGGAAAGCAGGATTGTGTCTGGCAACACAGAATGCAGATAGTTGCTTAATAGAAGGGCTTCTCGTATCCAATTAAGGTACGTGCTTTGCTTTATTATGTCCCCTCTTGTATTTCCGTGATGTACACTGTTATTGACATTCAATACGAACATCACATACATATACATATATATACGCGCGATTCTTTGTTAAACTTATCTATCAACTCTTTGTTATGATCTGTGTATGCAGTAATTTTGGATTAATAGATTAAAAATGTGAAATAATTACTTTATTATATGCGGAGAAAGAAGATAAAGAGAATAAAAGTGGAGAAATATGAAAATTTACATCTTGCAATTTTATAATATAAGAATAGACACTTTTCACATTACAATGTACTCCAAAAATTATCGTCTTTTGTGTACATCGCATGTGACATATTTGAAATAAATAAAAAAAAATACATTTGTCATTGTAATGTATATTATGCAGATTTTACAAAATAAAAGCAATGGCTGTAATTTTCAGAAGAATAAAAGCATTTAATTCCTTTGACAGCAAAGAAGCTGTGCATATATTTTTTGTTGAATAAGAACAATTCGTCGAACGATGAAAATAGACACGTTCAGACTCTATTGATGCTATGTTTTTCTAGCACTTGGCACTTTGTGCGTTCCCGGTGTACACGCTCGACTTTGTCTCTGATCCCAATTGATCGAATTAAATTTGTTGGTGTACGTCATCCCCGATGATGCACGAATCGATGTCGTGAACGTGGCGATTAGATTCACGTGCGAGGGAGCAAACTTAATGCGTGCGTGAAGCCGAGTTTCGTTTCAATTGAGACGATTGCCCGAGGATACTCGGTTGTTCATTTATAGATATATTTCTATTCAAGGATGAGATGGCAATGCAGATTGCGCACAAAAAAAAACATACAAAGATTAATTTTTTCCTTCGTCTCTGATTCATGTCTCCTACTCTGATTCTTAGTTGATCAAAAATATATAAAAAAATAATAATAATTGTCAAGGAAAACTATTTCTATATTTTTTAAATTATATGCAGTTTATTAAATTTGTAATTTGATATAGTTTTTTTTGAGATTATTAAATAAGTCCTTTGCTGCTATATTGTATTAAATATTTATACTTCACGAAAGGATTAAGATAATTGTTTAATAATAATTGAAGTATTTAAACATGTTAACAAAATAGTTATTATTATTGTATTCTCATTCTTCAGAAAAAAATTAATGTTATTAATACTATTAATATACTCTATTAGGAATACTACCTACGTTTTCCAGATTAATTAATATAATGTTATATACATACATCTATAAACACACACACACACACACACACACACACACACAAATAAAGAAGATTATTTTAGGATGTATGCGTGCAGGTGTGTCTCAGGGTCGCGCATAAAAAAACAGCAAAAGAGAATGTATTAAATATAAAAAGTTAAATGTTAAATAATATCAAATCAATAAAAAGTAATTGCAATGTATAATGTATAACATACGCTTGTCTACTTAACATAAATATCCAATTACATCACACAAACGAGAATCCACATACAGAATTGTAATGTCTAGAAGCAGCACATAGGAAGTAAATATCTACATGTGCGGAAAAAAATAATTATGTCGTATGTCTTTAAAGCAATTCCTATTTTATCTCGTGGCCAATTACTATTATATACTGCGAAGACATTTTCCGTCAGAAGAAATTGCTGCAATGACAATCGTGAAATACAATATATAGCATAAAGGTTGCAATGCAAGGAGCTAATTTATTCCTCGTGCGAATCTTTTTCTGTATACCAGGACGCGGGAAAGAACCAATTATTGTCTTTCTTTCTCCCACGAGCGACCTCCGACTGTATAATGCCTCATTAGCAGTCACAACACGAGACTTATGTAAATGCATATTCTGGAGATGAGACTAACAACGTATCAATTATTAATAATTAACGATAATAGAATAAGTGTGTCACCTTCGCGTCGACATTCGCCAAGCAATCCACAAAATGGGATTCCCCGTATAATTTTAGCAGATAGAATTTAAATAGCAATTAATAACATTGTTGGAAATGTCAGATCTGGCAGCTTCTTTAATTATTAAAGAAACTTGTTTCTTTTCTACAAAACTCTACTTTGCGCTATGTTGGTAACTGTGTTGATACAAACTGACGATTTGATAACACAAAATACCACATATTAAGTCGAGATGTATCTAGGTATTTTATGCTTGACACTAGAGGCAAAAAACACCTGCTTTTCAAGCAAATATTAATTCTCCGCATAATTATATCCAGGCAAATTAATGGTCCTAATTCGAACAGTCGAAATTTCATCCGCAAAGTTATTTAAGCATTATGATCGATGTGTATTACAATATATACATATGATATTTGATAAATTTGACAATCATTTGTAGATCAATATTTCAATCCGCATCTAATTATTTATTTGATGTAAATTTGTTTTTATATAAATCGATGAAGCTTTTAAAAAAATTAACACATCTTTGCGTATGACAGAGAAAATAATTTATATATGGTACATCTTGTAAAATTGTGCACTTACTGAAATGTCTTATTGTTAATCAAAAAAGTAATTATTCATTTAAATAAAGTTCTACAATCTCATTTTTTAAAATAATATTAGAGGATGAAGTTAATAATATGTAATTCTTATATATAATAAATCACGTATAAATTATGAATCAATTTGGATTTTAAAGTTCTCTGAAGTTAATTTAATCACAATACATTGTACATTGATATTACGTAAAGTTGATTTCTACTGCAAAGAGAAGACTAACAGATGTTCAAAGCAAAATCATAAATTTATCTGATCACAATTGCAATAATAGTTGCGTTATTGAGATGCAAAACAGCGACAGATATAATATGCGCGTGCCGGAAGGAAATGTATTTTTATTGAATTTATTTTATTGAGAAACAGTGTCCTTCTCGATGCGTAGATGGAAATAATTATGTTTCTCGGAAAATCTTGAAGCGCAATGGATGTAACGTATAAACGTTTGTCTTGTACGTGACCGGTGAGATGCAACAATGGAACTGCAAACTGGGAGTACGAATAATCTCGGGGAAAAAAACTTACTCGCCATGTTCGTCTGCCTACATTTGCATAAAACGAAGTAAACACAAAGTTGACGAAACGAAAAGAAGAGACATTAGCCTACGAATAGTATTTCTCAATATTTTCATATCTTATTTCTTCGATCTGCTTTCGGTTTTATATTTTTTGAATGCTGCCTTTTTCTCTATTTTTTTCATGATTTTTTTTTATATCTAATCTTTTCTCACAGACGTAAATAGGTACTTATACACATGTACACGGAGAGAATTTTTTCTTAGAATTTATCTTAAAAATCATGGTAATCGTGGGATAATATGGTATTGAAAGAATTGTTTAATTGTAAGTTTCTCTGATTAATATTTACCACAATAAAAGATCTTAATATCTACCGCAATAAGATATGAAATCCGTTCGATTAATTTTATTATGTACATAATAAAATTTAGTATGTATGTACATATATTAATATTTTTATTGTGATAAATATTAATCAGAGAAACTCTTATAAAATTCTTGCGATACCATATTGTCCCACGATCACTATGATTTTCAGGGTAAATTCTAAGAGAAAATTCTTTCCGTGTACTAATCATATAGAATTAATTTTAAAAATAAAAAGATATACCATTTATTTAAAAGTTTTCTACATTTAAATTATGTTTTTCACATTTTAGAAATGTGCGTAACTTCTTGGAATATCGTACGACTCGTGCTGATTGTTGTATTATTGATGACGATGATAAATTAATTGGCTTGATCATTCAATTATGTCATCATTTTACCATCAGATCATCGTTCGTATTATTATTTATCGCGGTCCCAGGAACAACATGCGAAGATCACATTGACGTCACAAATACGTCATGTAATTGATGCAGTTGCTCCTAATAATTGGTACAAAAGTTAATGCAGATTTTTATAGGATAATAAGAAAATAAACAATCATGAAATTTCTTTTCTTATATATAGCAATTATCGTGACACGTGTTCGCTCGTTTGCACGTGTCAAGCATATATCATCGCGCACGCAAATGATGCGCTCATGTGTAAAGGCCTTAATTATAATTAGGCTTGTGTAAATTGTTTTGACGAGATTCAGTATCGGATTGGGTTTTAAAGGATGTAGAAATTTGTTCCATATATATGGGATTACGTGTCTGCGTGAAAAATAGTCTCTCCTCACAGGAGAACTTTGGACCAAGACTTTGGCACGAATTAGTGGAGTACTTTGGCCCAGACTTTGACTAAGACCTTTCGGGAAATTCGTCTATGAATGAAATAACAAAGTAATAGAAGTGGAGCTTTCAGAGCTAAATCGCGCATGTTATTAAATTCGCGATAAAGTATTGAAAAAATGTGTCGAAGAATTTCGAAGAGAAACGATCGGTAGAAACCTTCGTGCTTCTTACGAGAAAATCGGAACACGGTCAGTCAACGGTCTTTGGCATGCTAGCTTGGGATTTCACGTCGCTTGTCCGACGATATAAATTTAGACTGCTGTACGCTCGTTTTGCGAAAATACGCCTTTCCTTGCTAACGGAAGGAAAGAGGAAAGGAAGAAAGAAAGAAAGAAAGAGACGGAGCTTGGTGAAATTAAAACAAACCTAACGAGGAACGAAAGAATGTAACCAAAAATACAAAAAATTCACTTGCCAGACAAGTCAAGTAAAGAAGATTTTAAGAAAAAGTTTGCCGCGCCTACTTTCTACACCTGGCTCTAATTAGTCCATTTCTTACCTGGAATGTTTGTGTTTGCATATCAGAGTTTTGTTTATTTAACCGAAAATGGTTCTGCAAATTTTTTCGTAGAAACTCGATTATATTTTAATTTTATTTTTTAGCTCTCGACATTGCTTCCGGTTTACTTTTTTTCGAATTTCGTATGTTAAAAATGCATGAAAATTTGCATATTTAGATTTGCTAAAACACAAGAAAGATTCATAAAATAAAATATGAATAATTCTATTGATAAAGGGTTAGTTTTGCAATTAATTTTTCATTTTTAGCTAAAATGCAACCGATGAATATAAAGAAAAAATAGACAAATTTTTAATGTCACTCGCAAAATGATTATTTAATCTTTGGGAAGGATAGAGCGATGAAGCGAACGATAATGACTGCGAACAGATTTGACGATAAGAAATTTATGGTGACAAATGCACGATGAAGGAAATTAATAACGTCGTCGTTCGTCGTGACGTATTGAAGCGACACGTTCCACTTACAATAGCACCGACTTAGCTTTAATTAACCCTTTGCCGCGCGTGTCGTCAGCAATTACAGCGAAATTCCTTGGCATCCTTGATGAAGGATTCAAAGTGAACAAAGTGTTTAATTTGTTTTATGTAATTATCGCATAATTTTAGATAAATATCAGTGTTATGGACAATATACAGCATATAATTGAAATTACACTTTCATGAACCTTAGGTGGTTTCTTTTTACTTTTATCAAAAGTGTTATCGAAAGTGCAACAAACAGACGTCTTCGAAAAATCCTTTATATTAGCTGACAATAAAATCAAATATTAAAAGAAAACATTAAAAGAGAATCTTTTTTCTAAATTTAATTTAAACGTGTGTGCGCACTCTTATAAAATAATAAAAGAATAATCTTGAGAATAATCCCTGGTTTCGGAATTTTTATTAGAGAAAAAAATGTATTCTACATATATCTCTCTTATATATATAATAATTGTAGAGATATTCGAAAAAACTAGTATCAGAGGAAAAAGAACTTTTATTCTTATTAGGTTATATCTATTTAATTTTGTTCCATATATTGAATGCTATCTTTTTTATGAATGGATAATATTTTAATTCTCATTTAAATATCCCATTCGGGATTACAATTAATAAATACGTTTCAATCCCTATATATTTTTCATTATTTTATCATATATATTTCATTATTTAATCACATTATATCATATATTATATATGTATGTTGAATAAATTTGTTGCTGTAATAAAAATTCCGAAAAAGGGATTATTACCTTATTATTTCAAGAGTGCGCACACACGTTTAAATTAAAACTTCGAAAAAAAGAATTCTCTTTTAATTTGTTCTTTTAATATAAAGAATTTTTCGACGACGTCTGTTGCACTTTCTTTCGAAGAAATAACTTTTGATGGGAACGATAAAAAGCTACGTCAGAAAATTGCGACGGTAAAAAGGAAAATTACGTAAAATGATTTTAAGAGGTCACAATGTACGGCTAAATAATTCATCGAGGTATGCAGTTTCGCTAAAACTATCAATTTGACGACGAGTGCACGCGCATAGCACGCTATGCACAACGTTAGCTATCAGATGCTCGACGCTTATGTAATTACGAAATTTACGTAACTCAAAAATATACCATATCGAATACGAATTGAATACGAGCATTGAAAAGGAAAGAAGGAAAATACGTGCAGCTACGGCACGGCTTTACCTAGTCTCAAAAGCGGGTAAACACACGTTCGCGCATACAAATAGCGAAGGATGGTCTATCGATGCACTCACCAAGGGCTTTTTGACAGCTGTACTGGCATCGCTGTAAGACGTGACCTTCATGTAGGGACTGGAGGCTGACATCGGTACCGTTATCATCTTAATTTTTCAGGCTTTTATCTCACGAGATAAACTCTTGGGAGTTTTTATTTTACTGACTTCATGTAAAGAATTTATTTGCACACTTTACTCTATGTACTCAGTTATCTGTGTATTTTTTTCAAGTCGTCGAGATGTCATTGACCGCAATCAAATTTGAAAATCAGGATCTTTGAGATTATAACTGTGCATGTGTCCGCATTATCTTCCCGTTGAAATTTTCTCCTGCCAGGAGCATTAATTGTTTCTGATAATTAAATTTATAATATATTTATAAAATAATAAAATTGGATAAGAAGTAGACGAAGAAAACGAAGAATATGAAAGTGGATCTGATCGTGTAAAAGTTTGATTCGAATAAAGCTAATCACGCGAGTATAATTGAAAATTTGGACAACTCCAAATATCCTTTTAATATCTTTGCGTGAATGGGAAGAAGACAATTGATAGACAAATCTAATTCGCAAGCAATTTAAATCGAATTAACTTGCAACTTGCTCTTGACAGTCACATTCAGCTTTTCATATTTAATATAATCAAATTGCAATACTATCAATTTCTTTTTAACAACAAGGCTCTTCTATTTCTAGAAACTCGAATCTATTGATGGAAGTTGAACTGTATCACTATCTTTTTTCAATCGAGTTATTGTGTCGGCGAAAAATAGAGAAAATTCCGAGTTACCAAAAACAAGCGCGACCTAAAACTAATCTTGTTTTCTCGCGGCACTTGCAAAATGTGTTGTTTTCGTAGTTTACGTTAATACGCGTTACGTCGCTCGTCTTTGCTGACGGTCGAGCAAACATAGACTGACATATGAGAGCGCCGCGACGCCACGAGACGAATGAAACGCTCGATTGGTGGTTGCGTGCTGTCAGGTAACGCGCGCGCGATCCCTGTTTAGCATGCCCAATATTCCTCAAACGTTTCCACATACGTGGAAAGACAGTAGCGTAGCTAAATCGACCCGAGGTCAAAAATTCACCAGTCAACAATCGCGATTTTCCGAATAATTTCGGGGACAAAATAAAACATAAACTTATTTTTTCAAAAACAATTAAGGCTGACAAATTTAATGCAAAATCTAAGATTAATAAATTTTAATTGGTCGAGAGAAAGAGAGAGAGAGAGAGAGGTATGACATAAATCAACAAATTAAAATTAAATTTTAATAAAAGACAAAATTAATTGCACCGTTTCTAAATCGATCCGAGGTCAAAAATTCGCGAGTCAAAAATTGTGCGATTTTCAGAATAATTTGTGGGACAAAATATATAATATTTGCCACATATATCTTGTTAAAAAACATATTAAGGCTATATTTTAAAACCAACAAATTTAATGCAAAATCTTATTGATGATCAGTCTAAAATTAATAAATTTTACTTGATCAAGAAAGAGAGGTATGACATAAAATTAAAATAAATTGAAATAAAATGTTCAATAAAAGAAAAAATGAATAGCACCGTTTCTAAAATAAATATAATATTAATTTCAGATCTATCTTCGATTCCTAGATACGTGTCAGATGCTTGTACGCGCCTTATCATATGTTTTCTCTCGTTTATTATGCAGCAACTCGTCGCGGTTTATATACTCGTATTATCACAGCAGTATGTCTTTTGTAAACGAAGATGAAGCAGCGAGACGACAGCATACACTTACACTAGGTACAAGCGATGTATAATCGGTTCGTTTCACACAAGCGATCGCGACTGTGTTTGGAATAGGGCGATTCCTGTCTGGGAATGAAATAAGAATACAAATTGCGTGCCGGTGAACCATGAAGGAACCTTTCGTTTCTTTTTCTTATACTTGCGTAAGCTATGTAATATACATTATACATTACTGTTACGATCTCGTGAAGGACACGTATCACGTCATTTTTGTGACTTATGCACTCAACGTTGAAAATTATCAAATAAAAATGTGAAAATATATATATACGATCGCAAAATTGTGTTAGATAGTATCGAAGAAATTGGAACAAAAATTTTCAAGACTATATTATTACGAATATTTTTCTAATCGATCAATACGATTCGATCATTCGATAATTAATGCTGTTTCACTCATTAAAATATATGTGTAAGCAATTGTTTAATATATTCCTGTTTTAAAATAATTCGCAAAAGGTTAAAAACACATATTTTATCACATCTGCATCATCTTTTCTCAATAATATATAATTATTATACACTTTGCAAAAAACGTTGAAAATTATCAAAAAAAAATATTGTATGAAAATATGATAAGTTGTGTTCAGTATCAAAGAAATTGAAAAAATTACAAGACTATTATTATGAATATTTCTAATCGGGATCAACACTATTTAATCATTCAATAATTAATGTTGTTTCACTCATTAAAATATGTGTAAGCAATTGTTCAATATAAGTATTCCTGTTTTCTTGCCTGCTTTAAAATAATTTGCAAGACGTTCAAAACACATATCTGAATCAGTTTTTCTTAATATGAGTTATTATATAATTCGCAAAGAACGTGACCGGTGATAAAAAAAGATCACGGGATAAAAAACAAATAATCAGAAGATTACTGTTAATAGTTTGCTGAAAAAGTGAACAAATATGTGAATAGTAGTATCTGGAAAATTCCGAGGATATAATCACGTGCATCGTTTGTAAAAACCTTGTAAGGTAAATGTCAACGGCAACAATGAAAAAGATACGTAACATTGAATCAGTACATCGATTAAAGATCGATTAACATCGCGTTTATCGATCGTTATATAGAGCTAAATACTGTAATGACTCTATGTTGTTGATTATTGGAGTACACTATCTTCTCGCATCGATTGAAATCAATATATGAAAGAGGAATCATATCGACCATTGCTTTAATAACATTTTAAAAGATTTAAATTTTTAAATGTTAAACTTTGAACATAAATATTGCATAATAAATACTTTAACATTTGTGTTAATCTTATATACATTATTAATCGTTGACATATAATATCAATCGATATATTATGTAAAACACAGAATGTTGATAATTAAATAGTCACACAAATATTTACTGTAACAAATAAGAAATAAAAAATATAATAAATTTATATATGCATATATATAAAGTTATATACATAAAATATTATATTTTGGGATTTTATACGTTGTTTGCGGAAACATGTAACAAATTAATCAATAAAGTACGATAAACTAATCTCCCCGCTAAGTTGATATATTTATTCCTGTCTTGATGCAAAAAGAGAATAACACGCCATTATATCCAGACACATTCGTATTATCTTGTCCACAATGACTCATAATGAGGCATCGAACGAAACATCTAAGTTTATCATATATGAGTTTTGTAATGTATGTTATTAATTGTGATATTTTTGTTTTAATTATCTTCTCACATAAAGAGATTTCGAAGAAATAAATTTAATTCCGCCCAACCTTCTCGTCAGATATAATATAAATATGATGCTATCTGTTGCAATTAATTAATTTTTTTAATCTTTTTAATCTTTTAATATTTATAATGAAACGCGAAATAAATTTTTTTTGTCGTAATCGAGTAAATATTATTCATATATATTAATTTTATTTAGTGTTATATAAATTCGTTTCGAAAAAGTCATTTATTTGTAGATTAAAATTAATTTTTTGGGGAAAAAGTTTTAATGTCGAACGTTTTTTATATAACTATGTAATGTAATACAACCTTGTTTAAGCTGTTTATATGTATGACTCATTTTATATATATATAATTTTAAAATAAAAATAAGAAAAATATAATACTTTAATGATTAATTTTTTGTTTACTTATTTAACTGTTTGTTTGCTTGTTTACTCGTAAACTATCGTTTAAGTTTAGTACGCGTAAACTAGTTGTTTATACGTAAAACTTATAGCTGATTTATCTTTGCTTTAGCCGAATTAAATAACAGGGCCAAAAGGCAAAATATATTTAATAACAACTTCGAGGCACGCATTATATAATCCTCAGCCAAATCTTTATCATGCATAAACAACACTGCGTGACTAATAAAACTTAAATAACTGCATATCAACTCAGTGTCAGTGATTAATATTTCTCCATAAAAGAAAAAACCGAAGGATAAAATTCGCGAATGAAAATCGTGTAATAATAATAAATATTAAGAGTTCAATTTCCATTCGCTAAAATAAAATGTAGAAATTTTAATATTTATAAATTTGTTTGCAAACAAATTCTTAAAGTTTTTTTAAATAGTCCTGTATTTCAATTTATATCGATTGTTTTGTTAAAATAATAGTTTCAGAAAACAAGTTATTCCGATAAATAATATAAAATATGCATGATATAAAGCAATATATGTAACACATATATAATCTTAAGTTTTACTTGGTTTGAAAATTTGTATAAAATTTATGTATACAAATTTCAAGCTTTGAATTGCAATATTTAGTGCTAAATGTGACTGCCCTAATTTTTGCAACGTGATTTATTCTACCCTATCACTATAAAAAAATATATGTAATATATTACACATAAAAATATATAAAATTACATAATAAATAATAAAATGTAAAATTGCACGATAAATGATAAAAACGTATATACAATTTCATTATTTATATTGTAATTTTACACTTATCATTTAAGTAACTTTGCATATTTTGCATGTAATTTTGTTTTTTTTAGTGTGACGGAGGGTCACTTACCGCGAAGAAGCGCTTTTCCTCTCTTTTTCAAGCTATCCGATCCGAAAATCAACGTCGGTTTAAAGTCGAGAACTGCTCTCGGTCGACTTTCACTGCGCGAATCGTGAGGCAATAGGAGGCGAGATAAAACGACGCGAGACGAACGAGGCATTCGATTTTTCAAGACTGTCCAGCTCGTGTAACGCGAAAGACGCGACGTGCAATTCGCGCGACAACACCTAATGAATCGTGGGCGATAATCCTGACAATCGTTAAGGACAAACTTAATAATAGTCACGGTGAACAGCCGATATATGACGCCTGTGGACCACGATTGGCTGCTTGGTCGGCAGCGATTTCTCGATGATTGGCCACTTTGCATATGCATATATCGCGATCGACGATGATCGGGAACGCAGACAGGAAACGCGCACTCCGAGTAATTAGTAATTAGAATTTGAGGTTTAGCGTGAGAACGAGCGTAAAAAATATGGACATTCAACGAACTGGCAAAGATTTAAAAAAAAAACTTGCTACGTGTTTTCATAATTATATTAATTATAATAACATATGTTATGTGTTATATATTATTATTATAAAAATTATTTTATCATATATAATGTCACATAAATAATGGCTTAAATTTCTTTAAAATATGTTTATGCTTACGAAACTGACAATGATTTATGAAAGTTTCTTTAAAAAAATACTTTTTGTTTTAATAATTATATTATATGTGACATATATAATAGAATACATTTTTTATAGTAATAACATATGTTATGTGTCATACATATATTATTACTATAAAAAATGTATTCTATTATATATGTCACATAAAATACAATAACGACTTAAATTTCGTCAGAATATTTTTATGCTTCAATAAATTTCAATATTTTTTTGTTAATCAAATGTGTGTACAAAATGTGTGAGTGCCTTTATCGATTCTCACACCTATTTATTTCAGCTTGTATGTGTGAGAACTTTTTCGTACAATCTTTCTCGCACACATACATCAAACCGCAATTTCTCGAAATACCACGATAACGAGCTATTGTCGATAGCGTTTTAAACATATAACTCCGTCAATCGCAATTATAGCAATCATAATGATAACGATCGGCAATTGTAGGAACGCTTCCTGTTTACGTGCTCTATGTGCAAAAGTCGCAATACAACCGAACAGCGACGTACATACAATTTAATAAAGCACACACGTTCAAAAACATAACCTAATTTTGCAAGAATTTCGGCAGGATAATTTCGCAAATTGCGTTCTCGTTATCCGATTCGAGGAATCACGCTCGAAGAATGATAAGATATTCTTTCAAGTGTCCTTACCTCGTACACGATTCACTGGCTTTTTCGTAGTCACTAGAAATATACTCCACTTTCGCGAGGGTCCGCTCGATAACACCAGGACGCAGTCCACTCGTCCTTTATTCACCTTGTCCTCTCGTCGTCGACGATCTCGCTCTCCTCCACGTCCTCCACCGTGTCGGTCCACTGGCCGCGCAGCGCATCGCTCAATCAGGACACGCAGGACCTCGGATCATCGGACGCGAAAACGAAGACTGACGGAGAGACTCTGGTCGCGCGCGCACCGCGTCACACACACACTTATACGCGCACATACGCGCACGCACACGCGCGTACTTCACCTGCGTAATACCTTGACTACCTTGATAATATCGTTCTCACTGACAAGACGAAACTCGCTTTAGCTGTCACCGCCGCGACGACCGACTTGCTTTTGTTTACTCTCCTGCCTGCCTCCTGTCAATGGTGTGGGAGACATCCTTTCTTGACAGCTCTCGGCCGCACAACAGGTAGACGTAGATGTCTTCACCCTCTGTAGAATCCAGGCCCAGTGGCGGATTATCATGCTTCGCATCTTATTCGTGACTGGAGATTGCGAAGGAATGCTCCGAAATTTCCAACTCCAGGAGATTATAGGATAGGAGCATCTAGGACACGTGTATCCTTCGATCTGTCTTGCGAATTTTTGATATATTATATATCAATAAAAAGGAATTAAATTTATGACGAGGATTATAATGTCGTTTCGATAAAAATGATTTTCAAAAAATATTTAAAAATAAAATAGCGCGTTCTTGAAATTTTATAATTGAGAACATTGTAATGAGATTTTTTGGGTTGTTACGAGGATCTTTTAGAGATTAATACGTCACTGAACTTCTTTCAAATATTTTTGCATAATAAGATTATCATATTAATAATACTATGTCAATAATTTATGAAATTTTATATTAGGCTCAATTAGGCTTACCGTGAAAGGATGAGTACGTTACATATATCGCGAATTGATGTTTAAATCAATATATCGTTTAATAAATATTGATAATTGCAAGTTATTTGATTCACGCTTCGTATTTACGTGGGATTTTAAACTATAGATTAAAACTTCACAAATAGTCAACATCATAAAATACTGTAAACAATGTAATTATCCAAAAATATATATGATGCGTAATATATAATGTATGTATATAGATTGCACAAAAAATCAACTTTGACCATGTTGCTCCCTCTTGCGACAAAAAATTGAACCTCCAAATTTTTAGGCGCGTTTTTAAAATATATAAAATAGCTGAAATATATATTAAAAATTTGTTTTCATATGAATATTATATAATAATAATCTTCATATAATATAATTATAAATACCACCTTGACGAATATTACTGTTAACATAAGAAGTTAAAATACATGTAGATTATAAAATCATTATAATACAAGAAATACATGTAATAAAAATTTATATATATTTATATGTATGTACAAATATTTTATATATTAATATATATAAAATAGATGTACATGTATATGTATACACATTTATGTATACACATTTATATACACACAAAATATAATTATAAATTGATTGGAAAAAAATTAATGATAAAATATAAATTAGGATATTCCTAAATATATATTGCTTATATTTATATTATAATTAAATTTTGTCTTATTCAAATCAATTTTTATTCTATTAAGGAAGCTAATCTTGTTTTCAACAAGTTGGATGCAAGATATATACCTATTAAATATCTAATAATTTTGCGATTATTAGCAACAAAATTCATTTTATTAGTTTATTATATAAGCATTTTAGACATGTATGGACCATCAAGTTCATAACCTAATTTTCTGTAGTAATTACGTGTACCAACACCTGAAAGAAATAGTTTATCATAAATTTCTAAATATTCTATTGTTATTAATAAAATTTATAAATATTTAATTCAAAGTTTATAACAATTAGGAAACATTCCTAAATATTTAATTAGAAATTTATGACTCAACAATTAATGCAAATATAGATATAAAATACTTTTTATATATATATACCTGAAATTACAGAAATTTTATGAGATTTGTGTTCCTCTGTTGCAATTCGTTCAGCTTCTTCCATCAAGAGAGTACCAAAACCTTGATGTTGAAATTTAGTAGGATCACGTGCACTTACAGGCACTACACTGCCATAAACATGAAGTTCTCTTACTATAGAAGTTCTTTCTTTTAATTCTGATCTACAAGAAATTATAAAATTTATTAATAATTATTAATTACATATTGATACATCATAGTCTACAAAATTAATCTTTCAAGTATTTTATAAAATCTCACCTGAATGTGTTATCGGAGCATTTCCTCAATCTTAGTAAACCAACTAAAATATCTTGCATAGGATCTTCATATGATAGAAACGTTTCCCATCCTTCATTACCAACGTAATCACGTCGTATAAGTTCAACTTCATAGGGCTGCACTTTATTATGTATTTCTTGAATGCCTACTTCACGTGTCCTAACATCGCGGCAATCTGTCCCTAAATCCTTCATTCTGGCTAAAGCTAACTCACGTAAATTTCCATGTTCTACACCGGAACTGGTTTTTTAAAGTAAAAGAAGAAAAATATATATAGATATATGTATAATCTATCTGAAGAAGAAAAATATACATATATATGTATATTATGTATAATCTATCATAAATGTATAGATTATCCATATGATTTAATATTGTTATATTTACCTTACTAATGGCATAGGTATATCACGTTGTACGCGATAAACCCGTGTCCATGGTGGTATTAAGGATAGAATACGAGCTATAAGATCGATCAGTACACTCGGTGCATAACTTTTGTATCTTCCGGTTTTCCATAATTCGTACAAACCAGTTCCACGTATGACAAGTGTCGGATAAATTTTTAATCCATCTGCTCGAAACGCAGGATTTTTGAAAAATTCCTACAAATTATAATATTTATATAACAATATATAGAAGTAATAAGAAATAATTAAGTTAATTAATTATATTTAAATATTAATATGTACAAACTAGAGAACCATTACTTACAATAAACTGAAATACATCTCGTTCAAAGTCAACATTTGGTAAATCTGGCATCATGTGAGCTATCACTTTAAATCCAGCATCTTTTGCTAGCTGGAAACTTTCACATACAGCACGCACTGTATGTCCTCTGTTAGTATCACGTGCTACATCTTCATATATGGATTGAACACCAACCTCTAATCGTGTGCATCTGTTAGATTTTAATTAATTACATTAATTTAACTTATTATTAAACTATTTATGAGTTTCCAATATTAAAAATAGACATACCCATAACGTAACATATCTGAAAGATGCTTCTTAAGACAATAATCAGGCCGAGTTTCAATAGTGATGCCAATACATTTGGTTCGACTACATTCAGAATATTTAACTGCTTCGTCAACATTACTGCTTGTATGACCAGACAATGCATCATGTAAATTTCGTATAAAATAATCTCTGTAATCATCTGGTAAGGACATGAAAGTACCTCCCATAACAATAAATTCAACTTTATCAACACTATGTCCTAGTTGCTTCAGCTAAAATATAAGATACATTTATTAAAATCATGCTTATGCAAATATTGAATATAAATTAAAGTTCATCTGAAATATGAATCATAGAAAAACATACTTGTTCGATACGATGTCTAGTTTGTAAGAAAGGATTATATCTTGCACGTATTGCTCTCATTGATGTAGGTTCATATCCTGTATAAGATTGTGTAGAATATTCAAAATCAGAGTCTGGTCCTCCAGGACAATAAACGCATATATTACCCGTCATATTAATATGTGGGCATCTATGTGGTTTGCACATTACCGCTACAACTGCAATCTATAATAGTTTGATCATTTTTTCCTGCATCATTACATCATGACATTATCACACACATTCAATACATAATAATAGTAATTAAATACTGACACCACTAGCAGTCCTAATAGGTTTTGCCTTCAACTTTGGTACAAGTAGATGCCTAGCATCACTAGGCACAGCTGCAATAATATCGACTAATCTTGGGGAAGAATCCAAACCATATTTTGAAGCAATTCGTGTTTTCAATTTGTTTAGATCGACATCTCGATTTTCGTGATGTGCCTTTAATAGATCTTGTATAATCTCTCCGATTGTCATCATCATACGTTCTTCTTTGCTCTGCTCAAACTCTGAAGATATATATTAATTAAATATGAATTATATTTATATATATAATGTGTGTTATACTCTGATATAAAATTAACGTGTTTCACAAGATATAAGCTTTATATAGAAAATAAACATTAATATTGATATATTGCAAACTTACCAGTTCGCTTTTTTACCATGATTGAAAATTGTTTGTAATCTAATTTATAAATGTATTAAAAATACTATACACTATATTATTCTATTTTATATTTCGTAAAACTTTTACGCATATAAGTCGCACAAGATTTCAATATTTTGGTTAGAAACGTGTTTCAAGATTGTGTTCAAAAATGTATTAATTGAATGAAGCACATTTGATTGACCAATCAGGATCGTGCTACTTCTTTATTCTGATTGGTCAATTTGTCGTTACTCGATTGTGACAGATTTTCGAACAAACTCAAGAAAGTCATATGATAGTTGCTTCTAGGTCTCTAGTTGCTTCGTACATCGTGCATGCGTAAAGTCTCTCTGGTAGTGTACATATTTTATCGGGAAATAATACCTTGAGCTCATCGCAGGAAGAAAAGTGGAATAGTAAGTATCTAATACATTAATAATTTTGTGTATTTTATATATTATTAATATAAGAAACATTGATTAAAGTATTCAAAATATATGAGATTCTTTCTGTTCACAGCGCTTTATGTGTTGCGCATCTACGAATTTCTCGAAGGCAGTCACGTGATCAAATCCCGCCAATTTCCTCTCCTTTTCCCGCGATGTGCCGCAAGAACTACTTCCCGCAAATTCGTCTCGATGTATCATCATTCAGTGTAATTGGTATGTAAATTCTGTCTACTTATTAAGCATTGTGCAATAACAGGTTAATTTTTAAGATTGAAACATAAACGCATTCTGCCAATAGCGTTAAACATGCGATTATTATAAAATTCAGCAATATTATTCGATGCGAGGCTATCCAAGGTTAAATATGGTGCATGTTAGATGCACTTTTTCGCGAAGATGCAGTTGTATAAATTTTTCTGGAACATTTTATTTTGTAATTACTTTCTCTCGCATATTGTTGACAGGTATATTTAAAAATGTAACGTTGAAATAAAATATTAAAATATCAAAAATTAAACTATATAACTTGAATATATTATGCAACTGATTTTTCATCGAGTAAAAATTTATCTCTTAGATTAATTGTTTTTTATTACAACTATATATATTTTATTGAAAGATATATTTAGAGTCTATTGCAGGAAGAAAATGGAATATTAAATATCTAATAAAACAGTATATTTTTCAACATTATAAGAAAAATACATTATTGAAACATTAAAAAATTATATACGAGACCCTTCCTCTGCCCGCAGCTCTTCATATATTGAGCATCTATAAACATTAGTTTGTCGAAGGCAGTCACGTGATCAGTCGAAAGATCCCGCCAACTTCACGTTCTTCCTTCTTTTTCTGCGATGTGCCGCAAGAACCACTTCCCGCAAATTCGTCTCGATGTATCATCATTCAGTGTAATCGGTATGTAAATTCTGTCTACTTATTAAGCATTGTGCAATAACAGGTTAATTTTTAAGATTGAAACATAAACGCATTCTGCTAATAGCGTTAAACATGCGATTATTATAAAATTCAGCAATATCTCGATGCGAGAGAGGCTAAGATTAAATATATGGTGCATATATTAGATGCACTTATTCGCGAAGATGCAGTTGTATAAATTTTTTCTGGCACATTTTATTTTGCAGTTACTTTCTCTCGCATATATTGTTGACAGGTATATATTAAAAATGTAACGTTGAAATAAAATATTAAAATATTAAAAATTAAACTGTATAACTTGAATATATTATGCAATTGATTTTTCATCGAGTAAAAATTTATCTCTTAGATTAATTGTTTTTTATTACAACTATATATATTTTATTGAAAGATATATTTAGAGTCTATTGCAGGAAGAAAATGAAATATTAAATATCTAATAAAACAGTATATTTTTCAACATTATAAGAAAAATACATTGAAACATTAAAAAATTATATATGAGACCCTCTCTCTGCCCGCAGCTCTTCATATATTGAGCATCTATAAACATTAGTTTGTCGAAGGCAGTCACGTGATCAGTCGAAAGATCCCGCCAACTTCACGTTCTTCCTTCTTTTTCTGCGATGTGCCGCAAGAACCACTTCCCGTAAATTCGTCTCGATGTATCATCATTCAGTGTAATCGGTATGTAAATTCTGTCTACTTATTAAGCATTGTGCAATAACAGGTTAATTTTTAAGATTGAAACATAAACGCATTCTGCTAATAGCGTTAAACATGCGATTATTATAAAATTCAGCAATATCTCGATGCGAGAGAGGCTAAGATTAAATATATGGTGCATATATTAGATGCACTTATTCGCGAAGGTGCAGTTGTATAAATTTTTTCTGGCACATTTTATTTTGCAGTTACTTTCTCTCACATATATTGTTGACAGGTATATATTAAAAATGTAACGTTGAAATAAAATATTAAAATATCAAAAATTAAACTGTATAACTTGAATATATTATGCAACTGATTTTTCATCGAGTAAAAATTTATCTCTTAGATTAATTGTTTTTTATTACAACTATATATATTTTAGTGAAAGATATATTTAGAGTCTATTGCAGGAAGAAAATGGAATATTAAATATCTAATAAAACAGTATATTTTTCAACATTATAAGAAAAATACATTATTGAAACATTAAAAAATTATATACGAGACCCTTCCTCTGCCCGCAGCTCTTCATATATTGAGCATCTATAAACATTAGTTTGTCGAAGGCAGTCACGTGATCAGTCGAAAGATCCCGCCAACTTCACGTTCTTCCTTCTTTTTCTGCGATGTGCCGCAAGAACTACTTCCCGCAAATTCGTCTCGATGTATCATCATTCAGTGTAATCGGTATGTAAATTCTGTCTACTTATTAAGCATTGTGCAATAACAGGTTAATTTTTAAGATTGAAACATAAACGCATTCTGCTAATAGCGTTAAACATACGATATTATAAAATTCAGCAATATTATTCGATGCGAGGCTATCCAAGGTTAAATATGGTGCATGTTAGATGCACTTATTCGCGAAGATGCAGTTGTATAAATCTTTTCTGGCACATTTTATTTTGCAGTTACTTTCTCTCGCATATTGTTGACAGGTATATATTAAAAATGTAACGTTGAAATAAAATATTAAAATATCAAAAATTAAACTATATAACTTGAATATATTATGCAATTGATTTTTCATCGAGTAAAAATTTATCTCTTAGATTAATTGTTTTTTATTACAACTATATATATTTTATTGAAAGATATATTTAGAGTCTATTGCAGGAAAAAAAATGGAATATTAAATATCTAATAAAACAGTATATTTTTCAACATTATAAGAAAAATACATTGAAACATTAAAAAATTATATATGAGACCCTCCCTCTGCCCGCAGCGCTTCATATATTGAGCATCTATAAACATTAGTTTGTCGAAGGCAGTCACGTGATCAGTCGAAAGATCCCGCCAACTTCACGTTCCTCCTTCTTTTTCTGCGATGTGCCGCAAGAACTACTTCCCGCAAATTCGTCTCGATGTATCATCATTCAGTGTAATCGGTATGTAAATTCTGTCTACTTATTAAGCATTGTGCAATAACAGGTCATTTTCTAAGATTGAAACACAATCGCATTCTGCTAATAGCGTTAAACATGCGATTATTATAAAATTCAGCAATATTTCGATGCGAGGCTATCCAAGGTTAAATATGGAGCATGTTAGATGCACTTATTCACAAAGATGCAGTTGTATAAATCTTTTCTGGCACATTTTATTTTGTACTTAATTTTCTCACATATTGTTGAAAGGTATGTTAAAAATGTAACGTTGAAATAAGATATATTAACAATATCGAAAAACTATATTTAAATATCGCAATACATTAAAACACCGAAAAATAGCGCCAAGAGAACTCTTTTAATTTAAGATGATATTCTTAATTTATTCTTATTTAAAAAAAAATATACTAAAATTTAGAGAAATTTTTTAAATTAAGAGGATCCTCTTGGCGCTAAGAATACAATTTTTTCGGTGAATGGTTTATTTTCATTGAGTAAAATATTTATCTTTCAAATTATTATTTTATGTTACTATTATATATTTTATCGGGAAATATATTTAAAGCCCATCACAGGAAGAAAAATGGAATATTAAATATCTAATAGATTATAATATATAATACATACTATATATTTCATACATTATTAAGATAAAAAATATACATTAAAACGTGAAAAATATATATGAGACCTCTCAGGTTATTGTTTTTTATTAATATAATATATATATTTTTTTATTACTGTATATTTTATCAGGAATTAAATATACATAGATCTAGAGCCCATTGCAGGAAAAAATGAAATATTAAATGTTTAATAAATTAATAACATAGTGTATTTCATACATTATTAAACATTAAAAATATATATGAAACTCTCTCTTTGTCCACAGCTCTCTAGTTTGTTGAAGGCAATCACGTGATCAACCGAAAGATCCCGCCAATTTAATGTCCTACTCTTTCTGCTGTGCCGCAAGAATTATTTTCTACAAAAATTTGTTTTGATGTATATCATCATGCAGCGTAATCGGTATGTATGTTCTACCTACTTATTGAATATTGTGCAAAACTGGTCATTTTCTAAGATTAAAACATATTTTGCTAATAGCTAAATACTATTGTACTGTAAAATTCAGCATTATTTTAAAGTGAGATCTAACATCAAATAAGGCGCATATATGCCTTTATTCGAAGACAAAATTGTATAAGTTTTCTGGCACACTTTACTTTGAAATTACTTTATCTCGCATATTATTGAGAAATACGTTAAAAATACATAACGTTGAAATAATATTGAAAACTAATCAAGAAACTATACATGTGCAAAGTGCATTTATTTATATTATAAAAAAAATATATATATTTCGATTTTGTAAATATTTATTTATATTTATTTTTATAGTATACGTATAAATATTAACATGAAATGATTTTTATGAAGTCAAATTTATCTCTCAAAGATTATTGTTCTTTATTACCGTTATATATATTTTCTAAAGTATTTTATATTTAGTGACGTTTATTATATTAAAAAGTTTTCGATTGTGTTTCGCTACAACGAATACTCGTACAGTAATGAAATATTTTATTCTATTAATCATTTAATTATATGATAAGCAGTTAAATATATGTCTATAGGATTTGCACACGCAATCGATGAGGTCGTAAGACGTTATCGCGATTTCCACGATTGGTCCAAATCAAAAAGCTTCTAATAGAACAGTTAATTCAAGCGGTTTCATCCGTCCCGCTGATTGGACCGTCGTAAAAAATTAATCGAATCCGTGGGTGTGCGGTGCAATATCAAGGGAGCGGTTACGTGATGCAATCTCGTTCTCGACCGATCCAGCGACCTTATGGAAAATCGAGTAGACGCGCGTAGGTGCGCGTGTATCTCTGTGAGATTCTGTATTTCAGCTTGGCGGTTTTATGATATTTTAATCGTTTCTCGCATATATCGACCAATTAAATCGGATGCGCAGCGAAGCGACTGCGAAATGAGAAATTCTGATTTTCATCGCGATTATTGCGGTTCTGAGAGATTGCTTATTACACGTTCGCACTTTGATAAAAGAGCAACTTTCACAGTCATCTATATATACTATATATACGGTGCATTGACAGAATCTATTGATTTAATAGATTCTGCTTTGTAAGAATCAGCTTTGAAAATTTTTATTTTTAATTTGAAAATAATGAAAGCTCGTATCTGCATTTGATTTCGAAAATATAATAATGTAAATAATATAATTGCAATAGCAAATAAATGCAATTAAAATCTAAAATTTGCACATCGATAAAATTAAGAAATACGAATATATAAAATCCATAAACAAAATTGACAGAGAAAAGTGATAAAAAGACAGACGCGAGGGAGACAGATCAACTTTCATAGATTCCATCACGGCGATCGTTCTTCTCGAGGTAAAAGGAAGACGGAAAGGAAGGAAAAGTACGAGGGTTGGAGGGAGATAGGATAAATTCCTTTCTTAAAACGTCGAAGTTCGCGGTTTTTTTCACATTCGATCGCGCGAGGGTGCGACTACTGCTTTCAGCTATCGATGTTATTAAAGCCTCGGCTCAATTTCTATGCATCTCATCGCGAAGTTGCCGATCCAAATGGCGTCGGGGATGATAGGATGGAGATCGTAAGTTAGACAGATGGGAAGAGGAGGAGGAGTTCGTCGCGCGCGGTCGACTAAATCGGGGCCAGGTCGTATAGGGCGAAGTAGTTAAGATATCGAACGAGGTCGAAGACGAGGGTGGGCCCCGCCGCGATTAAGTTCCTGCACCCTCCTCATTTTCATTTCTTCCCTTCCTTCGCCCTTCTCTCCTCCTCCTCTTCCTTCTGTCTTCTCACGCTTTCGATTTTCTATACGGTCTATGGAAAAGCCGTCAGAACAAAATTGCGTCACGTAATGGCACGGTAAGGAAATTTGTAATCGATTTTAGATTTAATTCGAATGAGCTCTCAAGTACCTAATATTTCGAAAAGTGGAAGTTTGAAAAACATATATGAACGAACGCGGATAGATAGAATATACAGGGTGTCCGGTAACTAACGGACCAACGATTACAAATGGATTCTTTGGTCAATTTGGGAACGATTTTTTCTCAGCGAAAATGTCGAAAAAGGTCATCATTTTTTATAACTTTCCAATATTTGTCATTATGTATCTTTATAACTAACAATAAGCCTCAAATTAAAATTTTATTATAGTAAACTCTACCTGAAATTAACTGAAGAATGTAATTATGTTAGACTTTTAACTCCAAAACGTTTAGTTTTCAAAAAACCCATTTTTTTTGGCCAAAGAATCCGCCCTTAGTCATTGGTCCGTTAGTTACCGGACACCCTGTATATCAAATAATGTATAGAAAAATATATGATTTTTTTTATATATCGATCTCATAGATATTCTAGAGCTACTCTTAGTTTATCTACTTAAAAGTGTCCCTGGAGGCTTATGAAAGCTCCGAACAGTATCATTAGAATCCTTCGGGGCCTATTGGGAGGGAGAGATTTCCCTATGCAGCTCCTATGCAGTTGCTCTCTTTTCAGCTCTTCTCTCCTCATCCCCCTTTTCTTCTTTCTCGTACATATTCCAGCATCCAAGACGGAAATTTATGATACGTCGCGCATTTATATTCCCGCGCCTCTCATAAATTCTGCTTTACGCGCATGTAAGTGGCTCCACTTTTGTTCATAGATTCCTACGACTGTCAGATTTATACTTGCGTACGTGGCGTACGATTCGATGCGCGAGAGACAATCCAAGATTGCGGAAAGAGGAAGAAAGAGAATTTGCATCTACTGAAGGAAGGAATGCGCGGTCGGCGCAGCTGCAACGAGTCAGTCGCTCATCTTCAAGTTCTTTCTTCTAGAAAGGTAAGAATATTTCTATTTGAAATTTTTGAAAAACACTTACATTTACACTTACACACAAAATAACACATCTTTTAGATAATAAGAATTTTTCAGGTTCTCTTTCTATATATGGGCGTCCGCAGAGGGAGGCATTTGGCCTCCTTTGGAACCAGTCAAAAATTAAGCATTTGCTCTTCTTTTAAATAAAGACTGGAATCTATTCGCATATTTAATATAAAAAAAATGAAAATGACAAAATAAAAATTAAGAAAGAACAAATAATAATAAAAAACAAAAAATAAATGTTTTGGCCTCCTTTGGAACCAGTCAAAAAATTAAGCATTCGCTCTTCTTTTAAATAAAGACTGGAATCTATTCGCATATTTAATATAAAAAAAATGAAAATGATAAAATAAAAAATTAAGAAAGAACAAATAATAATGAAAAACAAAAAAAAAATGTAATTATGTCCCCGTCTGGAAAAAAATCCTACGGACGCCCATGATTAGTTAGGGTCCCTAATTTTCTCAATCTTTCGCCGTGCATTCTCGATCGTACCTCTCGATTCACATCAATTGAACAGATAGGATTTTCGTATGCGAACATTTCCGGCGGGCAATTCCGAATTCCTTTATTTGTCGTGGCCCGAAGGGCTTCGTCTGGACATGGGGCAAGCGTCGATATATCGACGTGTACGTACGTGAGCAGGACGATAGCTCGGGAGAGAAATTCAACGTCGTAAATGGGAAACCCGATATTACGTACTTCGCGACACAAGCTGAGCGAAAAACGCCCCCGGGTCTCACCGCCATCGTCGTCGCTGTATGGCACAGTAGGCTGGGATTATAATAATTCGCGTCACTGCGTTCAATTTCGATCTGGACGAGCAGGATGTATCGGCAGGAAGCGCAGGACTCGCTGCTTCGTTAAACGAACCCGTCACGAACTTTTATCGCGTACTTCGTAATATATATAGATTTTTTTTCTAACAATAACTTGGAACTCTGTGCGCAATATATCAAACTCGTGTCGAGTTGAAATGAAAACTATCAATAGTTAAATAAATTTTTTTCTCATTTTGTCTTCCATATCCCATGACTAGACTTAAAATATTAAATATGATTGGCGTCAACAAGAGAATGCAAAATTCTTGATTTAGAAACGATAGATGAACGACATTGCAGAATCTTAAGTTACAAATTCCCTCATCACAGTTCACTTTCCTTCATTTCAAAGTACTTCATTATCTTATTATTAGGAAATGCTTGCTCGTATAATATTTGATTTTTATTATAGCTTTAATGAATATTATTCCATGTTAACTTATTACATAATACGGAAAATATTTAACTTGATATTGAACAATCGCATTATACTAACAGCAGAGCGATATTGATTTTCGAAAGAGCTTTATTTATTGCTTTAATGAGCGAGATACGAATATAAACGCATTATGTATTCAAGCTCTCGTTAGGGCTCTTTGATAAACAGCGAAAATGGAAATCACGAAATGATAAATCGACTTTAAGATATATATCTTCTGAAAATGTATAATTAATAGCGCTGAATAATTATTTATCATTTCATGATTCATCACATCCAACATTTCAAATTATTGATTAGATATTGAGAAACATAATACACGTATGCGGATATGTTCATTCGCGAATTAAATTAAATTATTTAAAATGTTTCCCCGTTAATCCTCTTACGTTCGTTTCGTTTTTACCCGGGGAAACGCTGCGAGCGCGCTTTGTGCGATCATCATCCCCTATTCAGGAATTGAATAGCATATTCGATGTATTTGTTTATCGCTGAATTCAAGGATGACAATAGAAATGAGGACGCTCAACGGCGAATTTAACGTTCGTCAAGCATTGTGCGCAATAAGTGTTAGACCCTCTTCGTCGTATAATCCTCTTCCTCTACGAGTCCTATCTCTCTCCTTCTTATACGGTCGCAAACGCGTATGTCGCGTCGCGTCGCACGTATTTCCGTTCCTTGGAGAGTGAGTGTCCATGGCGTACGACAGGTGAACGGTCTATGGAATAAAGCCCCTCGCTGATCCCGTAGAGCGGAGATCTTCAACCTTACTGCACGACCTGCTTTACTGCCGGCCATTCTGCGCTTCCTCCGTCCTTTGACGGTGGAAGCTTGTGATCCTCCCTCGGTGCCGTGATTCTATTTCTAAACACGCGGCGATTGTCGCACCGAGTGTGTGTATAAATATTTATTAATTGACATTGACGTATTATACATTGAAAATGTTAGAATAGATATAGATTTCCTTCCATTCGTTCATACAAAAATATACAATATATGCGCCATATGCGACTAAATGTATATAAAAATAATTTTATAAATTATCGACAGAAAAATATAATTAATCGTATTGCTAAAAAATTATTTTCTAATATATAAATTGAGTAGCAATTAAATGCACGTCAATTTATTTTTTCAAAATCTAATTTTTATAAACAGGCCGGATCTCTATCCATTAATGATTCGTATTTTATTCTTTTTGATGAATTAAAGCGAATTATTTTAAAATTTAAATTTAAGAGAAAATAGTAATAAATTGAATAAATTGAAAATTAGTGAAATGTGTTTTTGCAAACTCTGTTTTGGGGGAGCATATAGGAGAAATGCGCTACACTAGTTTTATCCGCGGGTAGAAATATCGCGTAACCCAAATGAACGCGCGAGCAGCATTGCGTTGCGATGCATCCATGCGCATGGTGGACCGGCAATAGCGTCCAGAACGACACACAGCCGCTATGCAACAATGCACGCGTATCTATAGCTTCCTCCTTTTTGGTGCACGGTATCATGACGTTCTTCTAACTGTCACGATACTGTCGCGTGTTCTGTGCATCAGATTTCGTCCGAGAGGGCTGGCAATTTTCCGGCTTGCGGTTTAGCTTTAATCCCCCACCGCGACGTCAAATTTTAATACATACGGCATATGCACATTGAGGGGAGAGAGAGAGAGAGAGAGCGCAGTGCTCCAAAACGCAGAATGTAAATGAAAGGCGTGTAACAAAATGCACCTACGCGCCGGAATCTGCCCGTTTATCTATACGTCCCTCGCGATATTCATTTAAATTTGCCATATCTCGCGTAATTATAACTTTCGGTCGGCACTTCTGTTGCGCCGAGTTTATTAGCGACAGCTGGATCCGTTAAATTACGTGTGTGATTTAATTAAATTTTCACCGACGGTGCTGGAGCACCGAGCGAGAAAGAGAGAGAGAGTCAAGAGGGTGAGAAATAGAGAGATATTGATATTTTCACGCTCGACGTTTGTTAACGTGGAGAAATCTTTCCCGACGAGTTCGCGCGATCGAATTTTATGCCGATTATGCAAGATATTTATAGGTGGAAATCGAGCTTCTGTCGAATCTCCATAATTCCTTACGTTCGCAACGTGGTTACACAGCTCGATGGAGTTAAGTTACGTATTTCATACTCTTTCGGGGATGACGTTTATGCACGAACACACATTGGTTCGGTTAACTTTAATCGATATACATATGCATTTCTTGCCTCATCATTCGGCACTAACCCGCTCGAAATACTGTTCGCATATCGATCGCGTTTAGTATTCCTAGCTATTTGAAATTTAAAAAATAAAAAATATATATATCGCAAAAGAGGAATGGAAAGTGCAACTGAGCGATGATTCTTTCAGAGAGGAAAAATGCTGGAAATTCGAAAATACTCGAAACTATCAACGCGCGCATTTTTAGAGATAACTATATAACTCTCTGACAACGAGTAAGTTATATTTTTCCAGCGCTTCCTCAATCGCAGCGCTGAGATAATCGAGTACGAATTTATCCGTCCCGATATATGCGCATACAATATGGTTTGACGTACGCCGCGGACGACTTAATTTCCGTTGTCAGACGATTACACGGACTGATGCATTGTCTATAAGGCGATATCTTATTCGACATCGTACCCTTCCCTGTTTATACACAGCCGCATTTATCATACGGTAGCACATTGTGTGCGCGATATCGGTATCGACGTGCTTTCGTGGTTGCGCATGCACCAACGACGATGCATGTACATATCCCGTACTTCACTTAAGCTAATGATATCAGTCACCAATCAATTTATGCACTTCACGAGCAAGCGAAAACCGGTAATTTCACATTTCGAGGAACGTCGCGCGAAAATTTAACGCGGATTTCATTACTGCACTTATGCGCGCGCTTTAATCATATATATAGTAATATATATGATTATATCAACAATTCTAATATTATATATATTTAAATATATTACAAATATGATATACACTGCGTAAATATTTTACCATATATTATAATAATATATTATAATATATGTATAATACATTATATATTTTTATTGTTGTATAATATATATTATCTAATAGAGTTAATAACTATGACTAATTGTGTGATCGTACACGCCAGAATGAAATATCCACATTCGCTGCAACACGTGTTAATATATCCATATACTTATGTTTCAATGATGTGATTATCCCGATTCTCTCGGCCTCATTTATTCCCTCGTCTCGAGGAGGCTCTTTAAGGTACTCGATGACGACGTTTCGCACGCACTAAAGCGTAAGTGCTTGCAACAGCCATTATATCCGCTATATTCCCGCGATATCGCCCTATATACACGGAAGGAGGATGGGGGAAAGGCCGCACATGCATTCGGGCAATATGGTTACGCGGGCCGCTAAAGTTAAACACGTTCCTTGCATAACAACACCAGGTTGGCGCGAACACACGCGATAGGAACAAACACGGATAAACGCGACGCACACAAACACTCCATGTCGCATCGGGTTTTCCTTATGGAGACGCATAACCGGGCTGGAAAGGGGATGCAACGCGGAAAGTGCCGCAGCAAGCCACCGCATCCGCTTGTCAAGTAATTGCGTTACGTATTGACTTAGTTCCTGGCGGAGGAAATATTCCAGGTTATAGGCGAGCGACGACGGCAGACCGCACGAGGCTAGCTTGAATATTAATTACCTGGTAATTTCGAATGGCCTCCGCTATCGCGCCACTTTCGGCCAGTTTTCAGCAATTTCCCGTCACAAGTGCTTAGATCGATATATATATCATCTTCAACGGCGGTTTCCCTTCGAGACTAAATCGTTTGATTATTAGATCCCGGAAACCGACGAGTTAGATGCTTCAAACAAATGTAGACTCTCCGATTTCAACATTTATTTTCGCACCTTGTGTCATCAATTTCTTCTTCAAAAGGAAAATGTAGACAATCATTGAACAGAATGATACAGATAAACAAGTTATTGTGATGTAATAAAAGAAATAACCGACATTACATCTAATAACTATCTATTATTAAACAAAGTTTGTAAATTTTACATTTATATATGTGATATAGGATTATAGGATATATTGCAATAATATATAATAATTTGTTTGGTGCCAACAAATTTTGATATTTTTATTTTTCAATATTACACTAAATAAGAAAGAAATTGGTAAAAAATTTATATATCAAAAATTTAATTTTGTATTCATAATTTTTACATTTCTCATATTGCGCAAAACGAAAAATAAATTGATAAAAAATAGCTACATAAAATAAAATGCAGAACCTTTATAATTGAAATGGACCAATCAATTGTCATTTCAATAATATGGCGAACTAAAAGAATTTATTGAGCTGTTATTTAAATAGCTTCGCGCGATAATATTATTTTATCTCATTATGAATTTATCAATCCGCCGAGGATAGAAAAATTTGGTTTGGTTGATTTTTGTGAGGAAATAAACTTTTTATCATCGTATATATGTTATACAGGATGCATATTCGCGATTTGCAACTCGGTATTATATTTTTTAATATAATTGCATATAAATCGTAAAAAACATATATAGGAAGGAGCGATACGTCGATTTCGCGTACCCCGAATGACGCTTTTAACGCGCGGCTGTGATGAAAGTTTAATGCAACACAACTCGTAGCCATGAAATTTTCAATCAACAGACTTTCGTTTTATCCGAGACAGATTGTTTCCCCGTTGCAGAAAACGACACGCACCCGTCTCGTCGCGTCGATAAATCTCAATCAACACGTATTCACTGTACAACACAACCGTGTCCAATCTTTCGATCTAATATCGGGTAAGTGCTGCAATTTACGATTACGCGATACTTTATTAGAAATTCCCGAAAGTCTTGAATAAAATGCAAAACCAGTCACGATTTTCCAAAGTGCAATCCAACTTGCATTGTCCTTCAAGCACATACGAGTATTATGGAGTAACACTCATGGGACACAATTAATCGGTACTCTTTTCGAATTTGCTGAAAATCAAGCATTTTTTTGCAAATTAAGATTCGCAAAGTTATTAGTAAATGAGACAAAACTTGATTTCCTAAATAATTTCGAGCGATTTTTATTTTAACGAAATTTTATAAATAATTTGATTAGAGTAAAGTAATTAACAGTAAAAAATTTACAAATTATGAAGATGCCGTTTCATCAAAATTTTGGAAAAAAATCATGTGAAAGAATTGCTTAAAGAATTTGTTATTAAAAACAAATATTTACAAGTATTTTAATTTAGAACATTTTTTATGTATCAAATAAAAAAAAGCTTACGATTCAGTATATATCATGTTTTTAGATGCTGCTTTTATCAAAGAATTATTGCATGCAGTGTGTCGGCGCGAAAATATTTTTTAATTATATTTCTAATTTTATCGCTTAAAATTAAACAGAATTAATTCGTTAAAAATAAAGAATATAGTGATTGAGATAATTTTAATCTAATTTAATTAAAAAATAATAAGTTAATTAAATTAATTGTTATGCGTTCCATTATAAAATATTGAAAATATTTTCTAAAAACGTCACACATAATATTTGTCAATTTGTAATTATTATATATTCAGATAAAAAATCGATCACGCGAAATTATGATACGAAATTTTTTCCGAATTTTTTTACGTAGCAAAAATAACGCGCCTGTAGAAAAGATATATGTATATCTATCGCATTTTCTCCGTGATATACACAGGTTGTGGCGAATAATGTTCTGGTCGGGGAAAGTATATTTTACCAACATCGGGAAAATCCGCGTAGCTATTATCACATTTCACTAATTTTCTTTTTACTTTTCGGCGACTCTACGGCACCGTCTGCACTTTTTAACGATGCATATCGCATGCTTTTGTCTTCGGATAACGTATAATGTGTAAAGTCCAACTTTCTTGCTCACATTTTAGAATACTTTATGAAAATGTTCTGTAATAATGTGATTAACGGGATAACGAGATGTATATATACATAGAGTGAGTTTCTTTTTCGCTTTATATACGAGAAATGTCACGATACAGCGCAATAATTCCTTTAATTAAAGAGAATTCATTAGAGAAAAAGTAACTGGAGATTATTAGGATTATTAAGATGAATCGCAATAACTGATATTATTATAATTAGCTGTACAATATTGCAATATTTTTCAAAGATACAAGTAATTATAACAATAATGTTTTAACTATTGTATAATACACTGAAAAAAATATTTATGCAAAACTACATGATTAAGCTAGGCTTTTTTCCGACCCAGCATAATCATGCAATACGAGATTAAAAATATTTCACTGAACATGTAATTACACATAGGAAATGTTAGTAATGTATAAATGCTATAAAATAATTTTATAAATAAAATAGATAAATACTTATAAAATAAAACTCTAATAAAGTAAAAATAGTAAATTTAAAAGTAAATATGATTTTTACATAAAAATAGTACTTTTACCTATATTTTATAAGTATTTTTACATTAATATGTATTTTCACTTTAAAACAAATGGAAAAAAATTACAGTGATGAAGCAAGTAACTTTTCCAGTTCTGAACTAGTAATTTCCATGTAAAAGTACATGGATTTTTTTCAGTGTATTATTACTAAATTTGTCTCATTAAAAGTATGTATATTTTAGTGACATATTTATTCCGCTTCCAAGGAAATGAATGAAAAAATTGGATTTTTTCACTTTTCGAATAAATCACGTAAAAAGATTTTCTCTTTATAGAATCGTTCCTTTTTTCTAAATTTACAGTTCTTTTCACGCTGAGAACGTCTGCCTTGCGCAGCTTCGACCATTAGGGGAAGCCTTCCAGCGATTGACGCGAAGAACATTTCTTTTCCAAGGGGAAAAAGACACGGAGCAGTGTCTTTGAATTTGGATCCTCTCACCGTCGCCTTTTCGCCCTCGATTCTCGCTTTTCTTCGCTGCAAAGGTAAGAAAGCATACGATATGATCATGTATAAGATATAACGGCATATTTTCGCAATGCATCGAAAGAATGCTACGGATTTGTGTTAACAGAATGGCTGTCTATTATACACATTCTATATTTAATGCGCATTTGATCGACTTGCATAAATAAGTAGCGCACATCAATGTCTAATAACATAATTAATAACATAGTGTATCACATGTGTTTGTTATAAGAGAAGAATATCGATGTCCTGTCGATATCGTATGTCGTATAAAAATAATTGATATACTTGTTAGCTACGTGTATATTAAACGACGAAATATATCATTTAACTTTTTAATTTCCACAATTTGAAATTTAAAATCAAATCAATATTTTTGTTTTTATAAAAGTAATTATCTTTTCTAATTATATCATAATACTTTAATAATATTTTTACAATTATTTACAAAGTACAAATATTTAACATTACAAAATTACAAATATTTAATTATCAAAAAATTTGCTGAACAAAGGATTGCTCATCAGTGCAGTGATTGCCTAATAATTAGCATTACTTTCTCGGGTTCTTTGGTTTTTTTATCCAACATACGACCGAAACAAAAATCTGAGTAGGATTATAATTGTAATAAAATTGAATAATTGCAAAAGAAAAGAAAATAATTTTATTAGAATAGAGCGGAAAGTTAATCTTATAATCTATTATCTAATCTATTATCTAATAAAGCAGAAAAATATCATGGAATATTAACGTTTTTGATAAATATTCAAGAAATGATTCCATAGATTTTTTTTACTATGTAGCAAAAGAGAAGAGAGAAATAAATGATGGTACTAATATTTGCATTAATGAAACATATCAGTTTTATGGAAAAAACTTGCTTTGAATCGCAACACAGATATTAATATCCGGTTTGTGAGAGAGCTGCGAAAAACCTTATTTGAACATTTATCGATTATTTTTGCGAGCTAATCTTCCAGCATGAAAATATATATCACGCGCGAAATAAAACGACGATTTCTTTATCCTCTCTTTTGTAACTCTTGTAAATAGAACAGAATAGAAATTATTTCTCGCGAGAGATTTAAAAATGAAATAATCTTCTATAAACACACGTCATGCACGAGCGAGAAAATATCCATTATTTGATAATCAGCACGACGCATAAGCTCCGCGTCAATGTTTAAAATTTGTCGCAATATTTGTTAAGCAGCGATTGAATAAATGATAGAATCGCGTTTCATGTTCGCGTGTTTAGCGCGCATGCGAGTGCCAAGTTTCGTGTTTTCCGGAGCGGCTTCGTTTCGCAGGTATAATATATTTATGACACGGGAGGGTTGTCTCCTCGCGCGGGCCACACGTGTGCAAAGCGGTGCACGCAGCGTTTTGTGTGTATGTGTAACGTACGGTTTATTCGGCTTGGGGTGTATCTCTTCGCGCGAAAACACCGATGGATGCACAATGCAAGCGCGAGGGCGCGCGCTATGCGCGCAGCGAACCGCCCGAAACGGCGACGTAAAACTGTGAAGCGAGACCGGCATCGTAATTTACTCTTTACGGCCGGACTTTCCCAAAATCCCTTCTAGTGCTCTCCGACACGCACACCCGCTCTCGCGCGCGCATTTGCGGCACGTCCGTATCGCGACGCTGCGCGGATATCCATGTGGCCGGACATGGGAAGGTGTACACGTGTGATGCAACCGCTGGCTGTGTGCTTTCTGACCCTCTCCCTGATGTGTGTTGCTGAAAATTTTCCAGTAGCTATTTATCGTGTTTATGTTCCGCGTACGAGTTTGGCCACGTGTAATTTGTGATCTGCTCCGGTATCCGTGAAATCATGTTATTATTGCTTATGTGAGCAAAATGGGGAAAACGTCGCGCATCGTCTTATTAATCGACCGATAAATCATATATTCTATTATATGTAGCTTAAACGAGATAGAGAGATCTAAAACCAGGTATTAAGTTAGAAATGTGAATTTGAAATATTAATAATAATTGTTTAAGGGAGAGTTATATCAATTATCAAATTTTGCAAACATTTTTTGTCAAATGCATTTTTGCGATGCATATTTTTGCAAATTTTTATCATTTTCTTTGAATATCAGTATACTTTTAAAGTATATCTTTCTTCAGATTCATTAAAATATGTTTTGACGTTGAAAGGTTGAATAGATATCTCTAAAAGTATCTTCTATCTAATTAGGATAGATAGTCGGGTGTCTTTAATGCAAATATTGAGTCAATTTTATACAGATGAAAAGAAATTTTGCTTGAAATAAATTGCAAGCTCATGTTGTATATTCAATATTGTTGAAGCAATTCAAGGGGCTTTGTAGGGCTTCGAAGCATAAGGGTGTCTCGAAGAAAGCAAAGGGCTTCCGGTACCGATTTCACAAGTCATTGAAAGCTCTTCTGTATTGCTATTATTTATTTTAAAGCCTGATAAATGAAAAGAAATATATATTCATAAATAATTTCATTTCAATTTATTGTCACTTTTTAAATAATAAATTTTATATTTATATCAAACTACAAATTCTTTATTTTCAAGAGCAGATATATAATAAAGAAAGAACACACGTTAAATCACGTGAAAATTTGCAAGTCTTATACAATAAAGAAAACTTAAAAAGAAAGATGTTAAAAATAATTCACTATAGAAAAGAAGATATATATTAAAAATAACTTGACACACAGAATGTCTATTTTTAATAAATAATTCGGTAAATAATCCGAAAAAAGCATAATATTTTTCACAATTTTCTAAATCTTTTGGGTCTCTATTAAAATATCTACATAATACAAGGCATGTTACGCACTATTATTCGCATCTCAATGTTTGCTAACGCGGCAGGTTTTAAAAGTCATATCCTTCCGCCGCACTTCGCGTATGTGCTTTTATTATTTGAATACTGCTCCCGTGGACGAGCGAAATAAATTTTGAAAAGAATACAGAAGCGGCTATAAAAATATTTTTCCATGCGCAACGTACGCATGTTGTTATGCGTATCTATGGTATATGCTGGCAAAAATACACTCTTTGTTTGTGAAGCAGCACATAAATCTGTCGTTTTCAATTTTGTCAGGGACAAAATTGTCAAATTATTACGATAGACGCCCGCGATGAGAACTTTTTTCTTTTTAAATAACTTACAAATTCTCTGTGTATCTGTTTTATAATTTGTTAATATTTGTATTTTGTAGATCAACATGTGCAGTGTGTATACAACTCCGCTGTTGTACATGTAATATCGGTGAGTCTTAATTTGCTTTTTAATGGACTAATTTTACAAAAAATATTTTTAAAACTAACAATATAATATAGTTAATAATAATTAGATAAAAATTAATAAATTTGACTTATTTCAGAGTGCCGAGTGAATTTTCGTGCAAAATTGCCGTGTTTTTCCCGTCGTTCGAAACAATAATAAAATGCGCGTTGAGTGTAAGTAATTTACGTCGGGAGTGCCGTACAAAGTGCCGTGCGATTGTTATTCGTTGTTATGCGCGATCGTAATTAGTCGTGTTTTCGCGAGCGTTGTGTGTGAGTGTTCAAATGTACGAGCAGCAAAGATGACCAACAATAGGAGTGGAGGAGGAGGCCAGAGGAGGCATCAGGCAATAGCGGGGCAACCGTGAGGTGAGTGAATTTTAATTATTTATTTAATGCTTGACAATTTTATGAAATTAATTATTTATTTATTTTAATAATGCGTTTTTGGTTGTTGTGTAAAATATGCATAATGTATTTTATATTTTATTTTAAAATATTAAATTATTTACAATAATTCATTTTTTATTTTTTCTTATAATAGTTTAATCTTTAAGAAACATTCTTCTCGTAAAAATATTTTTTGTGTAATTTTTCTTTGTAGTATTTACTTTAGTAAATCAAGATTAAATATAATCAAGATTAAAAATAGTCAATCGATGGTCAATTAAAAGAAATTGAATAAAAACTTTAATTAATATTTAACTTAATTATTATTTTTTAAAATATTAGTTATTTTAGACACAGATTTTTAATTTGTTAATATTTGTATTTTGCAGATCAACATGTAACTACAACTCCGCTGCTGCACGTCATACCGGTGAGTCTTAGTTCATTTTTTAATGGGCCAATTTTGCAGCAAACAGCTGCAAAAAAAAACGTTTTTTAAAAAATATTATTCCTTGTATGGTAAATTGAAGAGTAGCGCACTTTGACAACACAAGTGAGTCTTAGTTCATTTTTTAATGAGCCAATTTGCAGCAAACAGCTGCAAAAAAACGTTTTTTAAAAAATATCATTCCTTGCATGGTAAATTGAAGAGTAGCGCACTTGTGTTGTCAAAGTGCGCTACTCTTCAATTTCCCATACAAGGAATAATATTTACAATTGTCCTAGTCAAAGTGAAATGACGATCGCCACTTTGGTAAAGTTATCCGAACGCAAGTCGAGTCGAGATTAAAGTTCGTATCGAATTGAGAAAGTACTCGCTCGGAATTGGTTCGAATCGAGGTTAATTAAGGATTAAGAGCAAGGAAACGTTTGTAGGAGATAGGCGAAGGAGCGCGACCCAAGTTTGGGCTGACAGTAGCTGCATCGACTGCGTGGCATACATTTTTCTAAAGCGTATTGTCTTCGCGAATATCGTCGTCAATTCTCGAGAATCGTTAAAAAACTTTATGGTTTGTTAATTTGCACGAGTTGCATTATTATTGGAAATAATCTTCTTTCTCGTAAAGAAATAATAGAGGAATATTGTAAGAGAAGGGAACATTTTTTTCACGAGGAAAATATTTTTAAATACATATATATATATATATATATATACAAAATATTCTTTTCTTGTTTTAATTAATGGAATTTTGCTCGTTTTATGCATCGCGTTACGTCGAAAAATAAGAAAAAACTTTTTTAATTATGTAGTTTGTTGCAATGTAACTAATAAGAGTAGGTAGATATCGTACAAGAGGAGAGTTTTGATTTAAGAAAAGTCAAACTAATTCTCATACTTTCTCTTCCTCTTCCTCTTTCTCTTTTGAGACTTCTTTAAGTTTATAATAAATAAATTTACAGTAAGTACATAGTCTTTTACGTAAAATGTTCGGATGATGATAAATCAAATGTGTTGTTGTGAAATACTATTCTAATTTATATACGCTCATCAATCGTTATGTTTATTTTTCACTCACTGCGGTAAATCGCATAGAAATACGAAACATACTCAGTGCAATTTCAAACTCGATTGCAACTATGATCAAATGTATTGCGCCGTCCGTCGCAGTCTAAACAGAGGAGGATATGAATTGATTGATCTCCTGACTTTGAGCACGGGACACTGTTTGCTTGCCTGTGGTGTTCGCAGTTACTCGGTACTTCATCGGGTCAATGCATCGAATTGCAGTATCGAATTTCGACCACGCAGCCGGCCACCGCGGCAACCATTAACCTGCCACACGCGAATATTATCAAATTTATACAGAATATTGTGTCGTAAACGACACATTTCGAATATATGTGACGTCGCACTAACATATTCTGCTCGTCCTATAACGTCCAAATCAATTGGACCAATTAAAAAAGTAACATTTTAATAACATATTATCGTGGTGTAAAGAGTGCCTCTTTCATAAATTCACCGATAATTGAATTGATAATTTTTTTATGATCATTTTTAGGATTATTTCAAAATCTATGAATGAAAGTTTGTAGGGATTAAATACGCATATATAGAGATTAACAAATATTCCGCTTTCACACGTATTTGTGGATTACACCTTCTTAAAAAAACAACATTATTACTGTTTATATTAAGCTTACAATTCTTAAACTGATCCGAAAAGTAAATGAGAAACTGCATACACGTTAGTTAAATACCATTGGTTACGGGATGAAATTAGAGCTTACGATTTTAATCTCATTGTCGTGCAGTTTATGTAATAGAGACAAAAAGAAGACTATATATATTTCGCTGAGAAATAAATATAATTATCGCGTATCACTTAATTGAATACAGAGCCAATGAAATTGTTATTTAAAACAATTAATATGAATTCCTCGTCGTTGACAGCGCTCATATATTTAATGTTTCATTTATTTACCCTCGCAAAGGCGCGAGTCTGCCGATGATGAGTCATTTCGTCTCGCATAATTCAGAAGCGCCTATTATCCAGGCGACGGCTTAACAATACACCGCGACGTAGATAATATACTACTTGTAAATCCGCGGGAGTAAACCTGCAAATGCCCAGCAGCCGCAGAACTTCGCCACGCGCGAATACAACCGCGCCAAACTGCTCCGGCGCAGCAGCTCGCGGATTTGAGGATAAAAACGGATTGGCGTTCGCTTTATTTCCCCCCGGTTTAAACCGAGCGCGAGGAAGCGTGGAAGGAATATTACTCTATTATCTATAACGGTTTTTACAGCTTATCGCGTTCCCCATTCGCGCTCTTCCTTCCGGCGCGGTACCGCGAAAAGGCTACGGGACTCTAAATCGCGGGAACGGATTTGCGAACGAAAATTGCACGAGGGATAATTTCGCTTCACCGATGCAGTTCTAATATAATACACAATCGCGACTTTTCTCCGATTCGCGATCACACTTGTAGGTGAAATTCGAGACAAAGGGATGGAATATGTATAATACATTTGAAGAATAATATTAATTATTAGTTGGTTATTCGCGATTGCATTAAGTGTTCCAGTCTGACTCATTGTCAGTTATTGTTCGCCTCCTTTTGTTTATGATACAAATCGATCAAAGAATTCACTCGTTCGGTCATTGTGACAACAATATATCCAATCACTCTTAATCATGCGGGAGAGCCACCAATGTTAAAACTCCAAAATTCAGTCTATATAAAATGCAAACAAAGTACACGAGGTGACATAAAACTAATAATAGAAAATCGTAAACTATATATATATATATATATATATATATATATATATTCGACCTACCGAATACAGTCAGGTCTTTTCGTCCCGTTTGACGATGTTTAATATAAAATGCGAACAAAGGGCCGATTAATTTCCTGATATCCGAGCCTGGGAGAGAAGGTGGGAGCAAGGCTCGCTATTGTGTCCAACTCGTATCGACACTTGAAGCCGAAAGGATTGGGATGCATCGGTTTCATCGATGCACCGTATGTGAGGACGATGACAGAGAGAAAGAGAAAGAGAAGGGATGAGTATATATCGGCATACGTCGACTATAGGCGAGTCGCGGTGTGACGGACTATTGTGTGGTTTCCTATGGCAAATATCGCACGCACACGAGGACACGGGTAAACACGTGGGTACGTACGTGTAGGAACGGTGGATGGAGAGAGTTAGAGACGGGGATGGAGAGAGACACGCGTGCATACGCAACCCCTCGCTCGGTGTTAAACCAGCGTTAACAAGCCGGCGTTGGATCGCGCGCGCTTTGTGCAGAGTCCTCGAGCTATCGATCGCGACCATCGAATACCATCCCGTGAAATCCACTCCTGAGCCTATCACGCGAGCCACGCAACCGCGCCGCTTTTTTTTTTAATTGTCAACATTCCGGCGAAATCGTGGCGTGCACAGGCACGATGACGGGGCATCTATTAGAAAGAGGAATGTTTAAATATTTTTTCGGATAAACTGTTACGCATACAAACGCTCTTAAAAATTGCGATGTCACGTTGAAATGCCATGGTAAAAGTATAACGTTCGAAATGAAAAACTTTTCCATTGCTCGAGTGCGTCGATAAATTGGCAGATTCTCAATATATCCGATATAGAGATGGTAGATTCTGCGATTGAAGATAATTGAATTTAGAAAAAAAAATTCTTTAGTATTCCATGTAAAAGAATTTAGTTGAAAATATATTTTTTATGATAAATAAATTTATTAATCATTTAATTAAATGAAATATTTTTAAAAATAAATTTACTTTTGAATATAAATATTTGTGTCTGTCAAAAATAAACTTTTAATTATAGAGATTAGATTTTTCATCATCTTGCATTGATTGAATAATATTCAATAGCATTTTACACACTACACTTAATTGAAAGATTATGAAGATAATTCGTTAGTGAAGCAGAAATGTCGAGATGCGTAAGAGAGACGAAGAGAGATAAATATGTATATTTCGGCATTTTTTAACCAAAGTGTCTTTCTCTCTTAGCGGTCAGGGAATTTTATAAATCTGGAATTGTCAGTAAAAAGTGAGGAAATTTTATTATTTATCTGGATTTTTTCACATTATTCTACATTTGTCTCAATAATTTGAAATTTTTTATTAAATAAATATAAACTTTTCCTTGACTCCCAGCATGCTAATTTTTGTGTTGTTAAAAATAGATTCTTCTACAGCGTGTTCGTTAATTTATATTTTCATCGTTGTGTTATTCTATTTCAAAATGTGTTTGATAGAGACAAAACTAAAAAATTTGATATAATATATATATAAAAAAACGTGATTAAATGCAGATTATATAATTGATTAAAATTTTTGTTTTTTTAACTTCCGAACCTTTTCATTGTTAACAAAAATATCTCAAGGATTTCATGATTTAACACTTAATTGATTTATCATATAGATATATGCAAATTATATATTTGTAAAAAATGATACTAAAAAGTCAGGGAAAAAATAAATTTGATCTTGCAAAATCCGAAAAAGTCAGGGAATTTTTGTATTCAGTCTGCTGGACACCCTGTTAAAAAGATGTAAAAATTTGGAGCGCGCAGGATAGTCTATAAATTTCTCTGTTCATACCGATGTAGCTCCCGAGGCGTATTTCGACGAGTATTCGGTCGAGTAACTTCCGGATGTCTAGGAGAGTCCGCGCTACCTTCATCGAGCGGGAAATGGTCACGGGGAAACCGTTTTGCCACGGTCCCCCGAGTGGCCAAAACCGATTTTGCACGCTCGGCGAAGCAATCGGCCGGCGATTCGCAACCAACGTAAGCACGTAATTTGACCGGAGACGTCGGGTCCGGTTCAACGTTATTTATGCATGCATATACATACGCGTTTGTAATACAGTCGCAGCCCTACGCCGCCGGCGCTTGTCACATTTGCACGATGTTTCCCCATTGATAACCACTACTACTTGTTTCACATCACATC